GATGGTCTGAATCATCAAGAGAACTGGTGAATGATTAGTTGTAAAACATTGATAGCAGTCAGGCAGTCTAAGGCTGAACGGTGAGTGTGATTTGGATTGCTGGGGGGGACGGAACGTACCAAGCCTAGAGAGTCGATAGGAGCAAAGGACTCAATGTAAAATTAATAGTCGCTCCACATGCTAGAATTGCTGTACCTTAAATGTTAGGTGGACCATTGAAGGCCTCCTGGTCAGGGGTCTCGCCATATCAGGGAAGTATTATTAGAGAGTGCAAGGGTGATTCAGAGACAACATGAAACAATTTAGAGAATAAAGGAGGATGTTGAGGCCGTGATGATTCAGACTTGCTGTGATTAATATGGTCAGAGGTTGACATGAAAATTCAGATTCCGATGATGTGGCAACTTATTTTAATTGATTAATATTTATTATTATAACATTATATTAATTATTATACAGCGAGCAGGTGCGGGTGGGACAATATGAATGAAAAGACTTGGGTGAGGGTGAACACGTGTCACGAGTACCTTTAACGAACCATTATTCTTTCTTGAATCTTCCTAAGTGTCAATACACAGCGCCTAAGTCAAACCCTAACCCTACCCTGAAAGTGTCTATCATTCCCGGAAATACCTTTAGCGCCCACAACACGTGTCTTCGATGTGACTGATGAAGAAGATGAGTTCTTTGATTGTGATTAGATTAGATTAGATACGATAAGATAAGATATGGTCACATGATGCTTCTTTAATATTCTACGATGTTCTATGGTACAATTCCCTTTCCTATTTTATGATTGGCTAGTAGTTGTAGCTCAGTTTCAATCTCAGTTTCAATAGTTGTATATAGGTAGTACGTCTTGGTCGATAGTTCTTTAGTTCAAACCTCTTGTATCTACATTGTAGCAATCCAAGATGTACTTGCTCCTCATCCTTTTGTCCAATAACCTTTGTTTGAGTCCTAGTCTCTGCCCTAGCATTTATTCGTTATTGGGTTGTGACAACGCAGGAGGGAGGATAACTGAGAATAATGAAGTGAGAGTGATTCAGATCCTGAACAGCAGCATGATTGTTGTCCGTATCAGCGCCTGGGCCAGGTGATAGGAGGGATGGACTGGGAGAGGGTGGAGATCGTGGTAGGTTGTCTGTGCCATCAGGGGGAGAATCTGAGAGAGGAGCAGCCTCATGAGTGGCAACCACCCCTTCTTGCAGGAGGGGGGGTCTGAGAGGCCTTCAAACGGCTCTAACACTACCTGAAAGTTCAGTGACGAGGCAGGAGGGTAGTAGAAGAGGACAATGAGGCCCTTCAAATGCTTACAATTTAAAATCTCAAACAGCTCTAATGCCACCTGAAATTTCAGGCGATGGAGGTAGGAGGGTGGTAGGAGAGGACATTGAATCAAAGCTGGATGGGGGATGTATGATGAGAGAGACAGTGGTGAGTCTGGCATGGATAAAAAGTTCCGAGTCTTAAGAAATATGAATATATAAGAAGTTTGTCTGGAGAGATAATGTATGGTTTACCTCTGGTATTTGTGCTAATTGAGTTGATGTTAGTAGCGAATGGCTAGTAAGAGTGTGTGCCACCGGTCTGCAACAATGTCAGTGGTGATCAAGGCAAGCTCTCATCAAATGAAACAGTGACTAGCAGACAGTTTTCAAGCAAAAAAGTATGTTGTTAATGGACGAAAGGACTATTAGCTGTAAGTACATAGTATGACTGCACTAACCATTCATGACGCCCAGAATTCTGATATCAGTATTATGCAACACCATTGCAGGAAGAGCGGCGAGGGGCCACGTCTGTGCTAGCCACAACTGCCTTGCCCTTTCTCCTCCCCTTTTTCTGTGCCATGATCTTTGTATCTTCACCCTCACCAGACACACCTTCCACAGATGCTACTGCTACTTGAATAGCAGCAGGGCGGGATTGGGGAGCAGGTGCAGTAGTGGGTGCAGTCTAAGGTGCAGAAAATATCAGTCCAGAATGACTACCACTGTTTCTCTGAATGGCAGTAGGTATGGACTGAGATGTGGGGATATGAGTGGCAGATGTGGTGACACTGGGTGAAATGGTAATGCAGGGTGCAGGAGGTGCAGTGGGCAGTGCTGGTGCACTATCATAGATGCCAGATGGGCCAATGCTGGCTGGTGGTGCTGCCTGTGCTGCATTGTCATCATCTGAATCTGAGTTGTCATCATCCAAGTTGGCCATCACCCGCTGTAGTGCATCAGTACAATCCTCCATACCCATAGCCTGAGCATCTGAATTGTCTGCATCATGGGCGGTCTTGTCAATGTTTTCAAAAACATAGCTGTTCATGTTTTTCACAATGACTTGAACATGTGGATGCGTCCATTGGGCAACAAAAAAACTGCTTGATAGTTTGAAAGACAGTGGAGTAAGATATTGATGAGGTGGCACCTTGACCAAAACTCATAGTTGGTCAATTTGTAACACGTGGTGAGAAGCTGGTCTCAAATATACAATGAACTAGCCTAGGATAAACCGTCTAGGCTCTGGACTGTGCTCTTGAACATATGTTACTTGGTTGAGACGTGGTCTCAATAATACAAAGATATTGACCAAAACTCGTAGTTGGTCAATTTGTTACACATGGTGAGAAGCTGGTCTCACAAAACTGAATTTGGGAAGCTGGTCTCAAATGTCACAAGTCTCTATAGTGAGAAACTTATGTAATCTCAAGGGATTCAGTGTCCCTGCACTTGTTTCACTTCAAAGGCACTTGCTTTGTAAACAAAATATCTGACAGACAGATGTTCACAAATGGGAGATCTCAAACAAGTGAGATGTCTTGTTCCAATAATATGGGAGATCTATTATTTTGGGAGAGAATTGGCTCTCCTTATATACATTTAGTGTGGGAAAGTAACCTAGGTTCACAAACAACAAAAAACAGGAGGACCAATCAAAATATTGGGTCAAACCCTAATAAAAGAATAAAATAGGGAGCTATGACATCATTGTGGAGCAAAAGATTCCAGAACTTTCCATGAATGAGTCATTGTGGAGCAGAACATTCTAGAATGAAATGATATCATAGATGATGTCATTGTGGAGTAGAATATTCTAGAGCTTGATGACATAATATCTTTCAACAGAATACCTGCAGGAGTATCTGTGGAGCCTTATGACTGTTATGACTTGGATAGTATCTGTTGGCGACGCTCAAACAGAGCTTGTGTCGTCAACGGTCTGTGGACGTCCTTGGGCTAGCCCAAGGTTAGGGGTCGTACTTGGCGTGTCTTCGGCAAGTACGATTTAACACCTATGTCCAAATCGGGTAGTTTATGTCACGCAGATGCGAGACGATAAGCTATATCGGCCTAGGCTTACGACACCCGAAGGTTAATCGTAAGGATCGTCGTTAATTAGAAGGACAGAAGTCCAACTAGTTAACAGGGGCTTTGCTCGTCAACGAAGTCGATGAGTAAAGGTCGAGACTATAGGCTTATCTGCGATGAGCAAATAAGAAGATAGAATATAGACTGCTGGTGAGGCAGAAGGATCACTCTGGTGAGAGTAGGAGGTCAAGAACCAAGTAGATTCAAGTTAGGGAATATGGTACATGGTAGCGAGTTTATATAGAGGACAGGAAACGTATTAGTGGATGATAACTCGTACTACCGGGAGAGGCAATCGGTAAAGGGTAAGACCATAACAAGAAGGCACGTTCGATCTGGGTAGAACGTGCTAGATAAGAAAGTGAGTCAACGATCGAAAATAAGAAGTGAAACGCGCAGGGGCACGATCGTGCAACTGCAGATCTAAGTATCAGTCGCATGTGCGACTGCGCACCGAGTCAGAGATCATAAAAGGGAACAGGGCAAAGGGGATGCGTCGTGCATCATATCATAGGTTACCGTCCGGACGGTAAGGGCAAGGGGACTGTCCGCAGGATCAGTCAGGTGGTGAAACGGAGCATGGGTATGCTTCGTCAGCGAAAGGATCCGGCCAAATGTACTGGCTTTGCTGAAGCGACAGGTAGAGGGCGAAAGGGAATGCGAGGATGACGAGGATGACAAGGGTAAGGTCGGGGTAAGGGTATGATGCGAGGGCTGATACGAGGAGGATTAGGAGAAAAATAGTAGGGGCCCAAGCGTCTAGATGTTCTTGTAACAATGACATCATAATGACATCATGCCCTGTAGGTATAATTTTATGAAGTATCCGGTGAGTCAAAGCTTCCTAATGAAAAAGTAAAGTAAAGAAACACTACAGAAGACTATGTAGCTAAATACTACTAGCAAAGATACACTAAAGAAAAGTAGGTAAAAAAATAATACAGTTGGCAGGAATTGAAACCTGGTCTCAAAAATAATGTGTTTGGTGAGAATTGAAACACAGTCTCAAAATAATGCGGTTGGCAGGATTTGAAACATGGTCTTTTTTGGTTGACTAGTCTGCAGACTAAGCTAACAGACTTTGTCTTTTGAGGGTCACCTAGTATTCATGTCCATGCATGATTCCCACATCATGCCACATATTACAGTAACATATTTCCATATTATACAGGTCACCCGACCTACATAATATCCCGTATAAGATGGGCCAGCGGATGATGGGCTGATGTGATGTATATCCTCGATGTTGACAGATGGGCCGGGAGGGATATTATTTCCGATGGAGGCGGGTGGGCCCATGTGTGGAATATGTAGAGTAGATGAGTGGGCCGATGGACATGAATATTCTATAGACGGATGGGCTGAGGTAGTTGGATATTATGTGGATGGGTGTACCAAGGTAGGTGGGTATCAGAGAGACGGGTATGCCAAGGGTACTTGTCATTACATACACGAGTGGGCCCAGATATATACTATATTAGACGGGTGGGCCGGCCGAGGGTACATGGTGTCACATACAGGGGTGGGCCCAGATATATATTATCTTAGATGGGTGGGCCGAGTGTCAAGGAAGGTGGGTATCAGATAGATGAGTGGGCCGGCCGAGGGTACTTGTTATCACATACATGGGTGGGCCCAGATATATATTATCTTAGATGGGTGGGCCGAGTGTCAAGGTAGGTGGGTATCAGATAGACAGGTGGGTCAGTGTCACAACCCAATAACGAATTAACGCTGGGTCGAAGACTAGGACTCAAACTGAGGTTATCGGACAAGAGAGGAAAGGAGCAAGTACGTCTTGGATTGCTACAATGTAGATACAAGAGGTTTGAACTAAGGAACTATCTACCAAGACATGCTAACTATATACAACTATTGAGACGGAGATTGAAGCTGAGTTACAACTACTAGCCAATCATAAAAAGAGAAAGGGAATCGTACCATAGAACATCGTAGAATATTAAAGAAGCATCACGTGACCATATCTTATCTTTATCGTATCTAATCTAATCTAATCACAATCAAAGAACTCGTCTTCTTCATCAGTCACATCGAAGACACGTGTCGTAGGCGCTAAAGGTATTTCGGGAATGATAGACGCTTTCAAGGTAGGGTTAGGGTTTGTCTTAGGCGCTGTGTATTGACGTTTAGGAAGATTCAGGAAAGAATAATGGTTCGTTAAAGGTACTCGTGACAGTCAGCCGAGGGTACTTGTTATCACATACACGGGTGGGCCCAGGGATATATTATATCAGATGGGTGGGCTGAGGGTGGTATATAATATAGACAGGTGGGCACAGGTGAATGATAATTGTAAAACAATGCAGTACTGATTGCTGAGTAGCTAATTCAGGTGAAGCGTAATGAGTTCCTGCAGCTGCATGTTCATTACTGTTGCATTGCTGTATGAGAAGCAAGGTTCCGACTACCGAAATTTGAGTGAAGCGTACCGAGTTCTGAGACCCGGGTGTCAATAAACAAATATCTGATATCCAGCACACTTCCAATGATTGGGTATTTCATTGAGCAACAGGTGGTAATATATCTTCGACAGCCAACATCATGGAAGGTTCTCTTATCAGAACCTCATGTTCACCACCTACCGAACACCAAATGCCAAGTTCCGACTACTAAAATTTGAGTGAAGTGTGCCAAGATCCGAGCCCCGGGAGTCAACAAACAAATATCTGATATCCAGCACACTTCCAATGATCTGGTATTTTGGCTCCCTTATCTGATCCTGACTATCTCCACCCCCTTTAACACCAACCTCTGGGCGTCCAGCATTCAGCTTCTGATTTCCCAAGATTGACTTCATCATTAATGGTTCTTCCACTTCTGCAATTCAAATAAGCCTCTGGCACACTTGGGCCCTGACAGTCACTCACGAGGCATCTGAATATACTGCACAGAAATTCAATGCAGAGAAGACAGGAGGAGACCCAGTGATACCTTCTCCTAACCTAGACACTGATCTAGTGATGGCCTGCGATCGATTGGTAGATTGCCTCATAAAGGCATATAAAAATCTGAGTGGGTCTTCCTGCAGATTCAGAAAATTCATTTGATCATTCAAATTCCTTCATCACAGTTCAGATGAACATCGACATTGGAAGATATAGCAAATTGATCTCCCCAAAGAACACCGGGCACAATGAGGAGAAAGAGGAGAAGTTGCTTAAGAGATGTCCTCCTGGCCATGAGGGGACAAGGTTTGTGGACATACCCACCACCATTCTAGATGTGTCCGGCACCATCATCACACGGTACCTCCTAGACACCCTGACAGCCGAAACACAGGTGTGTGATATAGATTGTTACTCAATATATATTAAATACCCAATGGTAACCACAGAAGGAAATTTGGGCAGCCACCAAGTTGCTGTCTCCGAGTCTGGAAAGAAGTATGAAGGTTGATGGGAATTGGCGAACCAATCCGGAGTGGTTCAAATGCCACTTGGAAGATGTTGGCCTAGCTGCCAGGTGCATTAATTTATCTCTGGCATGGTTTCAACAGGGGCACAAGGTAGGATTTGATAGGATGATGATTTCGGTAGTTGAGCACACCAATCCCATAGAATCTAGCGGACCCGGAGGTATCTGCATCATTAAAGGGACCATTGTCCGAGGGAATCCTAAATGCCATTGCAAGGCCGGCAGCCATCAGCATCAGTGGCACTCAGGATCATGCATCCGGAGCAGTACTGGGCAGGGTTACAAACATTTTCAAGCCTTGGAGAACAGGCAGAAAGCAAGGAACTGCCAAGAATGTCCGAGATCCTGGAGTACTGGGCATCCGTGTTTAACACCCTATCCATCATTTCCAATCGTCAAACCCCATATCATCGAGACCATTTATCAATTCCTGAATGCTTCGATATTCTCACCACTGTGGGGAATTATTCTAATGCTCGGATGAGCATGCCAAGCCGAGTTTGGGTATGATCCCAGGTGTATGATTGGATTTTCAGACATGGGGTTCATGAGGTGGAGGGGGATAGGGTTGGGTGGGCATGGTATATGAGGGACTCTGTTCATATTTATGCCGGGGTTCCCTCATGCGGATGGGCTAGGGTGGATTGACGAACCCTACCACCATGTGGAAGATGAAACAAGTAGAAAGTGTAATTACCAGCATCAGTACCTGCTTTTGACTACCAAGTACAAACCATCTCTCTTGATGACACTCGAGGTCCGAAATCCATAGCGGATGCATACAATAACTGTCCAGAGCCTTCCGTGTCTCTTGATGACACTCGAGCACCAACACATTCAGTGCGAGGGAGTGGGGTTTCAGTTGTGGTGCGCAGTTAGAAAAGGCCGGCCCTGGGTTGGAGTAGCGCAGATGATATCATTGACCTTACATTAGGCAATGCTAAGAAGAACGGTCTGTTGCAAAAGGAACCTACAAGTCAAAAGGGCACAGAGAAGCAAAGAAATGTAAGTATGAATGCTGCTGTACAAATTTGAAAATGGTACTGGGGCGATGGCTATCATTGTATTTAGACTCAGATACTATTGACAGTCATCAAGGCCAGGAGCTCAGTAACCAGGTCTCGGCACTTGGGTCTTGATATTTGGACCTCGGTAGTTAAATGCCGGGAGTTGGGAATCGGTAATGGAGATCCGGAACTCGAAGTTCAATATTCAGCAGTCAACATTTGGCACTCGACGCTCGGACCTTGGAACTCAATATTCGGAGCTCAGTAATCGGGTCTCGGCACTCAGGTGTTGATACTTGGACCTTGGTAGTTATGTTCCGGGAGTCGGGAATCGGTAATGGAGAATCCGGAACTCGGAGTTCGATATTCAGCAGTAAACATTCGGTACTCGACACTTGGTACCCGACATTTTGGAACTCGGTCATCGGGACTCGATATCCGGAACTCAGAGTTCAATATCTGGAACTCGACACTCGATATTTGGTGTTCGGTAATTGGGTCTCGGCACTCGGGTGTCGATACTCGGACCTGGGTAGTTACGTTCCGGGAGTCAGGAATGTGTTATGGAGATCCGGAACTCAGAGTTTGATATTCAGCAGTAAACATTTGGTACTCGACACTTGGTACCCGACGTTTCGGAACTCGGTAATCGGGACTCAATATCCAGAACTCGGTAATCGATATTCAGAACTCAACACTCGATATTCGGACCTCGGTAGTTAGATTCTGGGAGTCAGGAATTGGAAATGGAGATCTGGAACTCGGAGTTCGATATTCGGCAGTCAGCATTCGGTACTCAATGCTCGGTACTCAACGTTCAGAACTCGAAACTCAATATTCAGAGTTCGGTAATGGGGTCCCGGTAATCGGGACTCAACATCTGGACCTCGGTGGTCAGGACATGGTGATGCACATCTGCACCGTTTATTTCAGGACTCGCCATATAACATCATGTTAGATATTGCAATGTTTACAAGCGATTTTCAGTACTCATAAAACACATATGCAACTTGCACTTCAACATTTCCAACTGAGTGACTAGAGCTACTCTCCTCTGCCTCTCTTCAATCTGTCCAGCATGGCAGTATAGATTTGTATCTCTGCCATCTTGTCATGGATGCCCTCACATTGCTCTTCAAGTAATGTCAGGAGGCGTTCTCTAATCCACCTCAGTCCCATCAGTGATGGAACTGAGGTATGATCCACCTGCTCCAGAATTGTCAGACCATCATTCTCAACGCCATCCTAGAGCAGATCAGTCATGAATCAAGGAAATGGAATAAGAATCTTACTAGCCAATGCTGGTAGTGAAAGATACAGCAAGTCATCACCCGATCCCATTGCCATGGTTCATTTGGGATTGCAGTTTCTCCCATCCACCATGGGGTATCATAGCTGGATACGATCAGGGATGGATCTCCGGGATCTGCAACATCATGAAACACACAGATGTGATACGAGAAGATGTGATCTGGAACTGTGTTCCAGGTGTGACCAGGAATCAAATGAAGAATATGAGCAATAGGGCTGGGAATGACCAAAATGATGTTCCTGGCAGCTGAGTACTGGAGGATGGGCATGACAAAAGTCTGTGGAAGATGTCAGTATTAACCACCAGTGTCGTCAGGGTCTTACAGTGATCTCCCATTGCAGCCCGGCTTTGAAGTGCCTGATCCAAGCCAAAGGGGGAAGATTGTTGTTTGCAGCCTCCACCTGATATTGGGAGATGGATGCGCGATGCAGACATCGACATAGTAGCTGAAATGTCTGCAGGAGTGAGAGTGAGGGGCCGGTACTCATTGAGTGAATTCTGATTGTCAGAATTGGATGCAGGGGAACGGTATAATTCAGGCATGGCTGATGCAGGAGTATCACACTGGCAATGACAATGACAGTTGGTTCAGATGTGAAGATATCATCCACTGATGGATGGATAAATTTTTCAAACTCCGACATGGGCTGACCCGGCCAATTCCCGGGACTAAATTTGTATATCGAAATGGTTGTTATATCCCATCGGCAATAAACAATTCATTCATCTCGGGAATATATCAAAACGGTCTGCAGGTGTTGAAACGCTGCCTGGGCGTCCTGCACCAGCAATGAATACATTTGGGATTGCCTTCCGGAGTAGCATGCATGACCCGGAAGTCATTTTGTGAATGATTCCTGCATCCGGTCACCCCATTGGGCTGCTTTCCACAAGAAAAAGTTACATGTCCAATCCATCTCAAATTGGACCAACATCAGCTCTTCCTTCCATCAATCCCGTAGTGCCTTTGCCTGGAGCCAGTGAACTTGGTAAACTTCATATTCGTTCGGTCAGCTCAACATCGGACGTGTCGAGCATTAGGGAACTCACATTCCTCATTCCATGATTGATCCAGACCATGCATGTCGACCTCGACGGACCAGAACCATGCAAGGGATTCATTTCATTGACCACAGGCATTCGGATCACCCACGGCAGTGCTGACTTTGAGCTGCTCGCGAAGCAGGGGTTTGTACTTCTGAAGTTGGCCATGCCCCTTGTCAAGTTTCATAATTTGCATCCTGGTCTTGGTATATATACTCGCACATAGGGAGACAGCCTGTTGCACTGACGTCACCTGTGACCAGGCTCGTGTTTTCAGGGCTTGAGATTTGGCTTGCCTGACCATCGTTTGGAATAGGACCGCCTTGTTGCACAAGTGAATGCGGAGGTTGTGAAGTGCATCATTTGCCTGCCCTTCGCGAAGGGACATCTCCAGCGGAATGAGATCCTCTGCCATCAAGCGTCTGCATCGATCAACCCCGAGGTTTGATGGCAATGGGATCACAATGAGCTCGGGCAAGTTCTTCCATGTATCAGGGCTTGAGATTTGGCTTGCCTGACCATCACAGAGGTCCCATTGCAAAACCATGAAACTTATCAGTGACTGTGTTGTGTTTCGAGCCTCTGGTTTCGGGCATCGGCACTCTGTGAATCAATAAGTCAATGATAACAAAGGTAACATTGATTGAAAACATTGCATATACATTTATGACTATCTAATTATGTAGTCATGTCAACATCCTCACCAGAAGGTTCACCCTTCACTTGAACATCCATCTCTTCAACTGAATCATACTCTGGGAAAAGATTGCCCAGATCCTCCGGTTTCACAATTTCGCCGGGCGTCTGTGAAACCTCAGGATAAATTTGGTTGAGCTCAAATATGAGTCCGTCGATGGCAGACTCATCCTGGATGTTGGGGGGGTTGGGCTCCATCCCTTCCATAGACAGGTCAATGAGAGGAGGAAGTGCGGATGCGGGGGTTGACATGGCCGGAGGGACTGGTTGATGAAGCAACAATGATGTTGCATCACCTTGGGTGTCTGGAAGTGGAAATGTTGGGTGCTGGAGGATGATTTCGCGTTGAAGGCCTTCATGAAGGCATTGCAGAGTGTCAATCTTAGCATCCTGCTCAACAACACGCTCCTTGAGAGTGGCAATTCGAGCTGCACCCTCCTGAATTGCCATTGCCATGGCATGCAAATCCGGCATTGACACATCGAGTGCCAAATGAGGGACTCCGGAAGTCGAAGATGGGACTGCTACAGGTGGAACATTATGTCAGATGGACATAGAAAATTTAGGTGACTTACGAGCTAGTGCAGGTGTAGGTTCCTTGGCAGCAGTGACAGTCTTGCTGCGACCACGTGTTTGCACCTTTGGTGTTTGGGCACCAGATGGACCAGGAGTGACAGAAGAGACCCGAGATTGACTCCATGTCTGGCCGGAGCTTTAGAGGGAGCTTTGGAAGGGGTCCTGGATCTGGTCCTCCTGGTGGTCTGGGTGATGGATTGACCTCGAACACATTTTCTATGTGGCGGGGTTCCCATACTTACAGAGATGCACTTGATCTTCTTGGTGGTGCAGTAGACGCAGGACATGCACGGGGCGCGGGTCCTCTTGTCAAACCGAGTTGCGCAGGGCCATTCCATCTTGTGGCAAGCCTGGCAAGGGTTGTTCTGTGCGATCTGTCAGTTTATAGACACACCAAGTCTCAATAGTGTACTTACGGGTCTGGGAATGAGTATATCACCTGCATCAATGACTGGGGGTGCCTCTACCAGAGGTTCAGGAGTTGCCTGAGGGGGCTCGATGACCTCTGGACATTTGCCGGCAATTGCCCGGCACATTGTAAGGACTCACCCGAGTGCCGGATGCAAAAATGCGACTTACTGTAGCAGGCCCGAAGGGTTTCTTCTTCAGGCTCCGGGGTGACCAAGGTGATCTGGACATCCTTGCAACATCTGGGGAGAGCTGGGGGAGGATGACCTCCAGCACTCCACATGAAATCGGCTACAAAATGAGTAAGACAATGAGACAATGAACCAGAGGACATACCTGAGTGACCGAGTCCTCCTCATCTTCCGACTCAACAAACACCTTGAATTTGGCAAGGCCGGTGGTCTTCACCCGCTTCCGAGTCTTCATAGCAGGACTTTGGGGGTTGGGAGGGAAGTGCCGGAATCATTGCAGACTTCCTCTTCCGACTCCCTTCCACTTCTGGTTCCGGGTCCAGGACAACTGCCTTACCTTTTCCCTTCTCCCGGGACTTGGAGGCAGGGTTGGTAGAAGGCCCGGCAATGACAGGCGAGGGTGGAAGATCCACAGGAATTGGACCTACTTGAAGGACCAGACACGACCGGGAGATCGAAGGTGTGATCACCTAACTCCTCCCAGGCAAGAACCTTGCTGCGCCAGGGGTGCATCAACAAACAGGTATTGTCGTACCCGACTGCTGTGCCAGTTGGGCCAGACCTGAGGAGTCATGCCCTGAACATGAATTAACTCCCTCGAGCACAAACACACGAGACCCAGAAGGTAGGGACCACTCCCATAGTGCCGGACCGCATCAGCCTACCCGGATGATGAAAAAAATGAAGGGGAGAGAATATGACAATGCTACATACCACGAGTGTACTGATCTGGGTTGTCAGAGAAAAGTGGCTGTGGCCCGGAGGAAGCTGCCAAGCGCCGGTGATGATGGCCATGATCTTGGCAGTGATTTCCTTGAGGCTGGTCAAAGAGGTGTCAAGTGGAGCAGACATGGTATTTCAATTGAAAGTGTTGAAAGTGTTGAGATCAGGTAGAAATCAAGTTGTATTCAGGTTGAAATCAGGTATCACAAGGATGATGTTTCAGTAAAAACAAGATCAGTGATTAACAATGTAAAATTTCATTGATTGTTTGTCCTTGTTTGGTTGTGGTTCAACTTTCGGCAATTGCTGGCGCCTTGTGTTCAACTTCGAAGTTATCAATAATCAGTGAATCAGTTGACAGTTCATCACAGAACATGAACTCCCCTGCTACAGTTAGATTCAATGACCCTCCAGTCACTGAATATAACTCAATGGATGTGGATGAATCAACCATGTCCCAGATGTCAACAGGTATGTTCAACATCCATCATACCTTATTAATTTACCGGACATCCTCAGATCAATTAAATCTTGGGCCAGCTGATGACCCAGAATCATGTTCTGTGTCATCCAATGGTCCGGAGGTCTTTTCTTCAATTTACGGTGAGTTTATCAATTGATATGATGACCATCTAATCATCCATGGTCACTCAAATCTCACAGATCATTCACCTCCGGCTCAATGTGATCAACCAGGCCACCCGGTTCACCCGGACCTATACCTCGGGCCTGAGGATGACCTGATGGCTGGGATGCACGGTGAGTATTATTTAAATCATCTAACAATGCATGTTAACACAAAAATCTTGCAGATCAGTCACATCCAGCCCAACCTGATATGCTGGGTCTAGCCATCCACCCGGATCTCTACCTTGGGCCTGATGAAGATATTATGACTGAGATCCCAGGTATGTCCATCCATTGAAATGAAAAGTCCGGCCATCCCTGGTTACTAAAGCCTGACAGATCCATCACCTCCGGCCCAACCTTATCACCCAGATGTACCCATCCACCCGGACCTGTACCTTGGGCCTGATGAAGATTTTATGCCAGAATTCCCCGGTCTGTCAATCAAAACATCTCACCATCCCTGTTTACTAAACCCTTACAGATAAATCTCTTCCGGACCAACCTGATCAACTGGGTTCCCCCATTCACCCAGACATGTACTTAGGCCCTGAAGATGATCTGATTCATCTCCCAAGTGATTGCAAAATATCCCGAACATGATTTGCCACACCTGGATGTCACTTATGAAGAATTGCTTGCCATGGTCCAGGATCTCCGGCCATTTGAGTCTTACAATCACATAGGCAGTGAGTATCTGATATAATCATTTATCTTTCTGCTAATTTGTCTCTTAGTTCAATCCATTCAAGATCGGGTCCGGGATTACAAACAGCGACACGGACATATTCCCGACCCATCCATCCAACAACTACTCGAGGCTGAGAGACCATTCCGAACTGCCTGGGCAGAAACATCTGACAAACTCAGAAGAGCTGATGAAGACCTCCGGAGGCTGCAAAGAGCTGAATGTTTGACTTTTAAAATGCTCAAGGTATTAGATTCCCTCACTCTTAGGTTTGAAGATCAAATTCAAATGTAAATTACACAATTTCTGTTAGTAGACAAATTACCTGTGAACTTCCAAATTTTTATGAACCCACTCACGTCATGTAAACTACTTAATTATGGATGTATTGAACTCCCATTTCCGATGTATTCACTATCCGAGGACTACCGAGGCCTGAGTATTGATTACTGGGTCCATGTTTTGAGTCCAGCACACCAATAACCTACTTCCTATTGCATGACATGGATATGTACATAAGGGGAGACAGTGTGGGATAAGTCCATCACTTCCTTCCCCTCACTCCAGTCACCTGAGGAGTACTGTCTAATGGCTTTGGCATCGACTTACTCCGGGTGGTCCTCGCCAATGGCTCAATCACTGCTCTCTTTCCCCACATCCTTTTTGGAGCCGGCGATGTTTTCCTCCCTTCCATTGCAACATCATCGTCAACCTCACCAATGTTGCCATTGGTTAACCCTGCCAGGAGGTCTCCCATTTGCGATGTCAGCAGTGCACCACATTTCGCCGGCTTGACTGGGCGAGGCTTTGGAATTGACGGTGGGATTGCTGTCTCTGCATGTGATGATGAAGGACCTTCTCCGGTTCTGGTTCTTCTTTTCGGTGATCTACCATCAGCCGAGTCATTGTCATCATTATCATCATCATCATTATCATCATCATCATCATCATCATCATCATCCGGATGATGAGTGTCATTCCCAAAATCACTGTCGGGTTCGGAGGATGAATCCCTAGGGCTTCGGATGATTACCCTTTGCATGTTTTTGACTTTACGCGTCCGATGGGAAGGCGACCCGCCTGATATGACCGATGCTACCATGTCGCCATCTTTGTTCTTCCACGCTTTGAACGTGAATGTTGATCCTTTGCCTTTCTCCTGCCGAGCATACCAGAAATTGAGGAGGGCAGTTGTGTCCCAATTTTGCAACTTGGAAGGCTCCTTCAAGTCGACATCCACCGGAAGATATCTTCATGACACAAAGTCATCCTGACATTGAAGGATGGCGCTCCATGGCACTACTGCCTTGTCGATCCCCAAACAAATCCCTATGTCGATGCATTCAACAATGTCCTGGATGTAGCAAGGATTGACTCACGATAGTGTGATGTGAGAAAAGCCCTGACAATGGCCTTCTTCTCCTCGAGTTTTGTTTCGGTGATGTCCGGAAGCAATGGCATCCCATCCTCGTCAGTGTCGAGCTCGAAGGCTGGTTTTCGGATTCTCTTGCAACCTCCCTTCATCTGTCGGCCACCTTCCCGTGCTCCGGCACCTATCACGGAGACCATCAACACACCCCTCCCAGTATCAACAGTTTAAACACTCACCAAACTGTTCCTGCGCATACTCCTGCCACACCGGCTCGATGTCCTCCCAGTCCTTTGTCTTCATGAAGCTGTCCCCATCTCCTAATGCCTCGCTATTATCATTGCCTGCGTGAAATATATTGGGTTGAAAGATCTGCGATGACAGGTAAAATTCACTCACATCCCGAACAGCACCTTGCCCTGTTCATTCTTCCAAGCTGACAACACAAACACTCTCATCCCGCATTGCCTCCACATCTCCTTCGAAAGTGCTCCATATATGCAGGTCCCTTCTTACGGGCGACCTGTGCTTGTATCTCAGGGAGGAGGACAGTTGTTGGACCATTCTTCGGCGGTTTCTTTCGCCTTCTCCAACTCGTCATCAGACAATTCAGCCATGACTCTCTTCACAGCCGCCTGATAATGCTTGAACATACCAGGATCTCCTGGCTTTGCCCCGGACTCATCCTCGATCCTCTTCAGCACCTCTTCCCAATTCTCCTGGTAGATCACCATCCTAGGCGTCCATTTCCTCCCATACTTTATCATGTCCTTCCTTTCCTTCTTTTTCTTGTTGTTGAACAACCAAGTCTTGTACATCTGAGCATTGAAGGAAGTGTATGACATTAAATTTTTTGTTTCTCATCGCAACAAGGATGTATCACCTGCTTCCTCTTTTTCCATTGTCCTTGGTCCACCTTTGGCGCAAACAACCTGGCAGCCCTGGAAATTGCAGTGAAAACTGCCCGCTTCTCGCTCCTTTTCACAGAAGTCCACTCAGGAAGGTAGTTCTTCAGCTCAGAAATTTCGGTTTCCATGAGCTTCTGTGTCTGGGGTTGATGTGCTCTATGTCTTCCAGGAGACAAGCGAGTGGAATGACCTGATCTTGCCATGGTGACCCTGATTGGTGAATGTGCTGAGGGTAAGCAAGGTGTAATTAATATTGGTTCAAAGTTCAACTTTGACCAAAGCCTAACAGTTGGTTAATCAACCCATATCGGACATGATGCCATTATTGGAAATAAATTTGTAATGAACAACCAATACTGCACAAACATAGCATTGGAATAACAATTTGTGCGACCTTCCTGAGCTAATGCTGTTCTTGCAACATTCGAAAATAAGATGAAGATAGGTCTATGCACCCCTGCTGCAAAAATCCCACAGGGTAGAAGCAAGGGGCAGAAAAGGTAGGAAAACTTGGGTCAAGGTCCCGCTTGCAAGCGCAAAACGACATGCCTACAGGTCCATGCCTAACTCTCCCCCGGAATCACCAACACTTCAGCCTGTTCCTGCACCACCTACTTGGGAAGACTGTCCTGATAATACTTATGAGCAAGACCAAGGCTCATTCGAGCCTTTGCAGCTTCCAAAAACAATGGCAAGTGAATGTAAACCTTTGGAGTGTTCGTTCAAACATTGCTAAGTATAACACATGCAGAGCCAGAATGACTACCTGAGGCAATGGCTCCCAAGGCAGGAATCATATCTGCATCACCTCCTGGATCGAGAAGCTCCTCCAGAAGATAGGAGATGCATCGTCTGCGATCAGGATGGGGTCTACAAATATCAAGATTGTCTTGGGGAGCCACTCTATTGCACAGGATGTTGCAGGAGTCAACATCGTTGCAATCCTTTCCACTGGATCAGTCAATGGAATGGTCAGTTCTTCGAGCAAAGTTGTCTCGCTCATGTCAGACTCGTCATACACCTCGGTCATGATGGCAAAGAATGTCCTGCACTCACAAATAGGTGGGATTTGTTCGAAGGAGATGGACCCGAGGACCAGCTTGAGCCTGAAGATCTACCATCCGTGTCGGGACCAGAGTTCCAGCCTAAGGAAAACACCATGGTCATCATCGACAAGTCCGGAGTTCATCGCCTCGAGGTTCGATGCTGCGATTGTCCAAATACCATGAGTCTGGACATTCAAATGTTTCGACATGGATTTTTCCCTGCATCATTCAACAAACCGAAGACTGTGTTCACCTTCAGAGTGCTCGACAATTTTTTATTGGACAACCTAGAATGCAGCACCTCCGCGATGAACTATTACAGCAAGCTCCGGTGAATGACCTCCAGCATGTTTCCTCACCTTGTTCCAGTAATTATATATCTCCTTCATCTAAAGGACATTATATTGACAAGGCACTTGGCAAGGACCGATACAGAGAGCTCATGAGAGTCGCTCGACAGTGGAGGCAGTTGAAGACCATGAAATGGCATGGCTTCGGTCATCGTTCCAATGCCCCGAATGCCAGAGATCTTGCATTGTTTTGCCCGACATGTCCTCAGCCTGGGATCAACATATCCTTGTCAGGGAATGAAACACTTGATGAGTGAGTCTAGTTTCATACTTGAGCGACCTAAGTGATGATAAGAACTCCAAGCTGGAAATATACCCGGTCATTTGTGATGGACGGTAATTTCAAAGCCAAACACTTGCATCCCATCAAGCCATTTGATGAAGTATGGCTTGCAGATGGGCTGGGGTTCATGGTGGGAAAGGACAGGTATAAAGTGCATCTTACAGAGGCTGCTGACACTTTGGAAAAATCTAGCTGCAACAATCACCAGGCAGTAAATCAAGCAAATGCGACTCAGCACAAGCTGGAGTCGACGGGTATCGGGGGAGTTGCTTGTGCCCGCCATGGCTGCTTTGTGCCTCATGCAATGGTTGATTTTCAGAAAGGCAAAAGGCAAGCCGAACATGAAGTTCTACATTCACAAGTTGATCATGCATCGTTTGCAGACAAATGAACATGGATTACACCCTTTGCGAGGCTGCCCAGCACAACATGGAAGGCATTACCAGGGCTGTCACCTTTTATGACATCAACTGTCAATACAACAAGCACCTTTGGGTTTGGGTGGATTGAAGCTGATTTCTTGAAATGGTACCGGAATTGACCATCATTCCCGGCATTGGTTTGTGGCACATGCATGGACATCAAGACAGCTGCTATGTCCGATATGCGTCGAATTTCATTGAAGGCATTGGCCGGATAGATGGAGAGATCATGGAGACTCTCTGGGCACGTCTGAACCTAATTTCCCCCGCTGCTCAGGGAATGTCGTCCCCTCATCGACAGGAATGTCTCGATTTTCAGATGAACGATTCCAACTTCTGCAAGATGATCCACATGAAAAGGACCCTTTGCCGTAAATACAAGCAGGCAAAAATTGCATCGCTGAAAGTGAAAAGGCTTTCGACAGACTCGATGAAGCAGCACCCGCCAATTTGAAGACAGAATGGTTGGCCAACAAGATGATCGCTCAATCCAGCAGAATAAATGATCCTGCGGTGATGGATAATCTACACTGCCATGCTGGACAGATTGAAGAGAGGCAGAGGACAGTAGCTCTAGTCACTCAGTTTGAAATGTTGAAGTGCAAGCCGCATATGTGTTTTATGAGTACTGAAAATCGCTTGTAAACATTGCATGATGTTATATGGCAAGTCCTGAAATAAACGGTGCAGATGTGCATCACCATGTCCTGACCACTGACGTCCAGATATCGAGTCCCGATTACCGGGACCCCATTACCGAACTCTGAATATCAAGTTTTGAGTTCTGAATGTTGAGTACCGAGCGTTGAGTACCGAATGCTGACTGCCGAATATCAAACTCCGAGTTCCGGATCTCCATTACCAATTCCCGACTCCCAGAATCTACCTACCGAGGTCTGAATATCGATACCCGAGTGCTGAGACTCGATTGCCAAACTCCGAATATCGAGTGTTGAGTTCCAAATATCGATTACCGAGTTCTGGATATTGAGTCCCGATTACTGAGTTCCGAAATGTCGGGTACCTGAGCATCGAGTACCGAATGTTTACTGCCGAATATTGAACTCCAAGTTCCGGATCTCCATAACCGATTCCCGACTCCCGGAACGTAACTACCCAGGTCCAAGTATCGACACCCTGAGTCCCGAGACCCGATTACCGAGCTCCGAATATCAAGTTCCGAGGTCTGAATATTGAACTCCGAGTTCCAGATTCTCCATTACCGATTCCCAACTCCCAGAAGTTACCTACTGAGGTCCAAATATCAAGACCCGAGTGCCGAGACCCGATTACCTGAACACCAAATATTGAGTGTCAAGTTTCGAATATTGAACTCTGAGTTCTGGATATCGAGTCCCGATGACCGAGTTCCGAATGTTTACTGCCGAATATCGAACTCTGAGTTCCGGATTCTCCATTACCGTTACCGAGCTCCGAATATCAGGTTCCGAGCTCCGAATATCGAACTCCGAGTTCCAGATTCTCCATTACCAATTCCCAACTCCTGACAGTTACCTACCGAGGTCCAAATATCGACACCCGAGTGCTGAGACCCGATTACCAAACTCCGAATATCGAGTGTTGAGTTCCAAATATTGATTACCGAGTTCTGGATATTGAGTTCCGATGACCGAGTTCCAAAATGTTGGGTACCAAGTGTCGAGTACCGAATGTTTACTGCCAAATATCGAACTCCGAGTTCCGGATTCTCCATTACCAATTCCCAACTCCCGGAACATAACTACCGAGGTCCAAGTATCGACACCCGAGTGCCAAGACCCAATTACCGAGCTCCGAATATCGAGTTCCAAGGTCCGAGTGTCGATTACCGAGTTCCGAGGTCCTAGCGTCGAGTGCTGAATGTTGACTGCCTAATATCAAACTTCGAGTTCCGGATCTCCATTACCGATTCCTGACTCCCGGCATTTAACTACCGAGGTCCAAATATCAAGACCCGAGTGCCGAGACCCAGTTACTGAGCTCCTGGCCTTGATGACTGTCAATAGGATCTGAGTCTAAATACAATGATAGCCATCGCCCCAGTACTATTTTCAAATTTGTACAGCAGCATTCATACTTACATTTCTTTGCTTCTCTGTGCCCTTTTGACTTGTAGGTTCCTTTTGCAACAGACCGTTCTTCTTAGCATTGCCTAATGTAAGGTCAATGATATCATCTGTGCTACTCCAACCCAGGGCCGGCCTTTTCTAACTGCGCACCACAACTGAAACCCCACTCCCTCGCACTGAATGTGTTGGTGCTCGAGTGTCATCAAGAGACACGGAAGGCTCTGGACAGTTATTGTATGCATCCGCTATGGATTTCAGACCTCCAGTGTCATCAAGAGACACGGGAGGCTCTGGACAGTTATTGTATGCATCTGCTATGGATTTTGGACCTCAAATGTCATCAAGAGACACGGAAGGCTCTGGACAGTTATTGTATGCATCTGCTATAGATTTTGGACCTCGAGTATCATCAAGAGAGACGGTGCGTACTTGGTAGTCAAAAGCAGGTACTGATGCTGGTAATTACACCTTCTACTTGTTTCATCTTCCACATGGTGGTAGGGTTCGTCAATCCACCCTAGCCCATCTGCATGAGGGAACCCCGGCATAAATATGAACAGAGTCCCTCATATACCATGCCCACCCAACCCTATCCCCCTCCACCTCATGAACCCCATGTCTGACAATCCTTCCGGAAAATCCAATCATACACCTGGGATCGTACCCGAACTCCAGCTGAAGGCTTGGCATGCTCATCCGAGCATTAGAATAATTCCCCACAGTGGTGAGAATATCAAAGCATTCAGGAATTGATAAATGGTCTCGATGATATGGGGTTTGATGATTGGAAATGATGGATAGGGTGTTGAACACGGATGCCCAGTACTCCAGGATCTCGGACATTCTTGGCAGTTCCTTGCTTTCTGCCTGTTCTCCGATGCTTGAAAATGTTTGTAACCCTGCCCAGTACTGCTCCGGATGCATGATCCTGAGCACCGCTGATGCAATGGCTGCTGGCCTTGCAATGGCATTTAGGATTCCCTCAGACAATGGTCCCTTTAATGATGCAGATACCTCTGGGTCCGCTAGATTCTATGGGATTGGTGTGCTCAACTACCGAAATCATCATCCTATCAAATCCTACCTCGTGCCCCTGTTGAAACCATGCCGGAGATAAATTAATGCACCCGGCAGCTAGGCCAACATCTTCCAAGCGGTGTTTGAACCACTCCGGATTGGTTCGCCAATTCCCATCAACCTTCATACTTCTTTCCAGACTCGGAGACAGCAACTTGGTGGCTGCCCAAATTTCCTTCTGTGGTTACCATTGGGTATTTAATATATATTGAGTAACAATCTATATCACACACCTGTGTTTCGGCTGTCAGGGTGTCTGGGAGGTACCATGTGATGATGGTGCTGGACACATCTAGAATGGTGGCGGGTATGTCCACAAACCTTGTCCCCTCATGGCCGGGAGGACATCTCTTAAGCAACTTCTCCTCTTTCTCCTCATTGTGCCCGGTGTTCTTTGGGGAGATCAATTTGCTATATCTTGCAATGTCGATGTTCATCTGAACTGTGATGAAGGAATTTGAATGATCAAATGAATTTTCCGAATCTGCAGGAAGACCCACTCGGATTTTTATATGCCTTTATGAGGCAATCTACCAATTGATCGCAGGCCATCACTAGATCAGTGTCTAGGTTAGGAGAAGGTATCACTGGGTCTCCTCCTGTCTTCTCTGCATTGAATTTCTGTGCAGTATATTCAGATGCCTCGTGAGTGACTGTCAGGGCCCAAGTGTGCCAGAGGCTTATTTGAATTGCAGAAGTGGAAGAACCATTCATGATGAAGTCGATCTTGGGAAATCAGAAGCTGAATGCTGGACGCCCAGAGGTTGATGTTAAAGGGGGTGGAGATAGTCAGGATCAGATAAGGGAGCTGAAATACCAGATCATTGGAAGTGTGCTGGATATCAGATATTCGTTTGTCGACTCCCGGGGCTTGGATCTCGGCACACTTCACTCAAATTTTGGTAGTCGGAACTTGGCATTTGGTGTTCAGTAGGTGGTGAACATGAGGTTCTGATAAGAGAACCTTCCATGATGTTGGCTGTCAAAGATATATTACCACCTGTTGCTCAATGAAATACCCGATCATTGGAAGTGTGCTGAATATCAGATATTCATTTATTGACACCCGGGTCTCGGAACTCAGTACACTTCACTTGAATTTCGGTAGTCGGAACCTTGCTGCTCGTACAGCAATCTATCTGATACCCACCTTCCTTGACACTCGGCCCACCCATCTAAGATAATATATATCTGGGCCCACCCAGCGTATGTGACACCATGTACCCTCGGCCAGCCCACCCATCTAATATAGTATATATCTGGGCCGAGCCCAGTGTATGTAATGACAAGTACCCTCAGGCATACCCGTCTCTCTGATACCCACCTACCTTGGTACACCCATCCACATAATATCCAACTACCTCGGCCCATCCGTCTATAGAATATTCATGTCCATTGGCCCACTCATCTACTCTACATATTCCACACATGGGCCCACCCGCCTCCATCGGAAATAATATCCCTCCTGGCCCATCCGTCAACATCGAGGATATACATCACATCGGCCCATCATCCGCTGGCCCGTCTTATACGGAATATTATGTAGGTCGGGTGACCTGTATAATATGGAAATATGTCACTGTAATATGTGGCATGATGTGGGAATCATGCATGGACATGAATACTAGGTGACCCTCGAAAGACAAAGTCTGTTAGCTTAGTCTGCAGACTAGTCAACCAAAAAAGACCATGTTTCAAATCCTGCCAACCGCATTATTTTGAGACTGTGTTTCAATTCTCACCAAACACATTATTTTTGAGACTAGGTTTCAATTCCTGCCAACTGTATTATTTTTTTACCTACTTTTCTTTAGTGTATCTTTGCTAGTAGTATTTAGCTACATAGTCTTCTGTAGTGTTTCTTTACTTTACTTTTTCATTAGGAAGCTTTGACTCACCTGATACTTCATAAAATTATACCTACAGGGCATGATGTCATTATGATGTCATAAGGCTCCACAGATACTCCTGCAGGTATTCTGTTGAAAGATATTATGTCATCAAGCTCTAGAATATTCTACTCCACAATGACATCATCTATGATATCATTTCATTCTAGAATGTTCTGCTCCACAATGATGTCATAGCTCCCTATTTTATTCTTTTATTAGGGTTTGACCCAATATTTTGATTGGCCCTCCTGATTTTTTGTTGTTTGTGAACCTAGATTACTTTCCCACACTAAATGTATATAAGGAGAGCCAATTCTCTCCCAAAATAATAGATCTCCCATTTGTGAACATCTGTCTGTCAGATATTTTGCTTACAAAGCAAGTGCCTTTGAAGTGAAACAAGTGCAGGGACACTGAATCCCTTGAGATTACATAAATTTCTCACTATAGAGACTTGTGACATTTGAGACCAGCTTCTCAAATTCAGTTTTGTGAGACCAGCTTCTCACCATGTATAACAAATTGACCAACTACGAGTTTTGGTCAATATCTTTGTATTATTGAGACCATGTTTCAACCGAGTAACGTATGTTCAAGAGCACAGTCCAGAGCCTAGACAGGTTTATCCTAGGCTAGTTCATTGTATATTTGAGACCAGCTTCTCACCACGTGTTACAAATTGACCAACTACAAGTTTTGGTCAATATTGTCATATATCTGAGACCACGTCTCTACAGAGAACCCTACTTTTACGAAACCAAGTTACAAGTCTAGAAGCTTATTCCTAGACAAGAGATTTGAGTTTCAATAAAGAAAAGTTAAGCTCCAGCTAGGTTGATCTTCATAAAGATTAGTTCAGCAAGCCTCCCAAGAACTCACACGTTATCTACCACAAAATAGGAAAAGTCGTAGACCGTGTTAATTAAGGGCTGGCAAGAAGTCTTATCCAAGTGTAATTGTGGTGTCATTACATTCTTACACAAATTTATATAAGACCCTCGGTTGTTAAGACAGTGAGTCTGAACTTCTCATCATTCAACTGTCCTCTGAGTTCAAGTTGTGAATTGCATCTGTCTTTGCATGTCCTTCTTATCACTGCATACTAACCACTGTTGATGTCTGACATAAATTCAGAGTTCACTCTTTCGTCTGATTCAGATTCAGAGGATTCAGATTACAGCATCCAACCTGTCACTCCGCCAAGTGATGGGGCTACTCTAGAACATTTTCAGGAGGTATTACTATCGTTTACTTCCTTGTTCTTGTTCTGACTGTTGATGACATCTCACGTCAGTACATCAAGTATCTTCAACTTCAAAAAGGAAGACTAGAGGAGCGCAATGCCACATTAAATGCGACTAACAACATCCTCATGTCAAATCAGCCACAGCAGTCATGCAAATGTTCTCCTGGTCAGGTACCATTGTCTACTGCATTTTTAGTATTATTGGCTACAATTGCAACAACAGCTGCAGCTGACTCTGATCGAGAATCAGAGAAGGTAATCATGGACCTGGGGAAGAAGTACGGGCTTACCACTGAGATGTTTATGCTTGACGATTCAATCTTCAAATTACCATGTCCTGATCTTCCTGCCGACATCCAAGGTGCACGCCGTTATGCAGATAAATCAACAGAGAAGGCTGCCCTTGTGACAGAGCTCCATGGCTGCATTGACCACACACTGCACCCTCACATGTTGACCACTCACTTCATAAACAAGGTTAGTCTTTTCTTTTTATATGTTACATGCTTGAAGTCATCTTGTAGTCAGTTTTGCGCTGGAATGCAAAGAGTGTGTTCTTCATACCACTATGCATTGTGGACCGTGGCTGGCAGTATCTTCAATATGTCCCCCAAATATTTCTCTGCATTGTATGATCACATGTCTAACCAGCAGATCATGGACATGATTAGATGGGTGGCAGGTAAGGGGAAAGACTTCAATGTCCTCAAGGCACCTATCATCTATCGTGATCTGAAGGTCAGTGCGAAGAAGATATTTGGTGATTGGCTCAATAAACTTACCAAAGCATTTACTCATCCTATTCTAACAGTTTATCAAGGTTGTAGTGGGCAACAAGATGTCAATCTATTCAAAGTCAGGACATGGCGGAGGTCCGAGCCCCTACTGTGAGATGTGGCACCTGAAGGCTTGCACACCCAGCTTAATTGCATGTAGCGTAACTTCGGTATGTTTCCGATATTACGGTATTGACCATTAGTAACTGAACAATGTCCCTCAATAGATGATCTTTTTGCTGTCTCCCAATCAACAATTCCCAGGTTCAGGTGTCGGTGCCACCTCATCAATATCTTACTCCACTGTCTTTCAAACTATCAAGCAGTTTTTTGTTGCCCAATGGGCACATCTGCATGTTCAAGCCATTGTGAAAAACATGAACAGCTATGTTTTTGAAAACATTGACAAGACCGCCCATGATGCAGACAATTCAGATGCTCAGGCTATGGGTATAGAGGATTGTACTGATTCACTACAGCGGGTGATGGCCAACTTGGATGATGACAACTCAGATTCAGATGATGACAACGCAGCACAGGCAGCACCACCAGCCAGCATTGGCCCATCTGGCATCTATGATAGTGCACCAGCACTGCCCACTGCACCTCCTGCACCCAGCATTACCGTTTCACCCAGTGTCACCACATCTGCCACTCATATCCCCACATCTCAGTCCATACCTGCTGCCATTTAGAGAAACAGTGGTAGTCATTCTGGACCGATATTTCCTGCACCTCAGACTGCACCTGCTACTGCACCTGCTCCCCGATCCCACCCTGCTGCTATTCAAGTAGCAGTAGCATCTGTGGAAGGTGTGTTTGGTGAGGGTGAAGATACAAAGGTCATGGCGCAGAAAAAGGGGAGGAGAAAGGGCAAGGCAGTTGTGGCTAGCACAGACGTGGCCCCTCGCCGCTCTTCCTGCAATGGTGTTGCATAATACTGATATCAGAATTCCAGGCGTCATGAATGGTTAGTGCAGTCATACTATGTACTTACAGCTAATAGTCCTTTCATCCATTAACAACATACTTTTTTGCTTGAAAACTGTCTGCTGCTAGTCACTGTTTCATTTGATGAGAGCTTGCCTTGCTCACCACTGACATTGTTGCAGACCGGTGGCACACACTCTTACTGGCCATTCGCTAACATCAACTCAATTAGCACAAATACCAGAGGTAAACCATACATTATCTCTCAAGACTTGGAACATTTTATCCATGCCAGACTCACCACCGTCTCTCTCATCATACATCCCCCATCCAGCTTTGATCCAATGTCCTCTCCTATCACCCTCCTACTTCTGTCGCCTGAAATTTCAGGTGGCATTAGAGCTGTTTGAGATTTTTAAATTGTAAGCATTTGAAGGCCTCATTGTCCTCTTCTACCACCCTCCTGCCTCTGCCGCCTGAACTTTCAGGTAGTGTTAGAGCCGTTTGAAGGCCTCTCAGACCCCCCCTCCTGCAAGAAGGGGTGTTGCCACTCATGAGGCTGCTCCTCTCTCAGATTCTCCCCCTGATGGCACAGACAACCTACCACCCTCTCCACCCTCTCCCAGTCCATCCCTCCTATCACCTGGCCCAGGCACTGATACGGACAACAATCATGCTGCTGTTCAGGATCTGAATCACTCTCACTTCATTATTCTCAGTTACCCTCCCTCCCATGTTCACCCTCACCCAAGGATTTAATTCATATTGTCCCACCCGCACCTGCTCGCTGTATAATAATTAATATAATGTTATAATAATAAATATTAATCAATTAAAATAAGTTGCCACATCATCGGAATCTGAATTTTCATGTCAACCTCTGACCATATTAATCACAGCAAGTCTGAATCATCACAGCCTCAACATCTCCTTTATTCTCTAAATTGTTTCATGTTGTCTCTGAATCACCCTTGCACTCTCTAATAATACTCCCCTGATATGGCAAGACTCTTGGACCAGGAGGCCTTCAATGGTCCACCTAACATTTAAGGTACAGCAATTCTAGCATGTGGAGCGATTATTAATTTTACATTGAGTCCTTTGCTCCTAGTGACTCTCTAGGCTTGGTACGTTCCGTTCCCCCCAGCAATCCAAATCACACTCACCGTTCAGCCTTAGACTGCCTGACTGCTATCAATGTTTTACAACTAATCATTCACCAGTTCTCTTGATGATTCAGACCATCGTTCCCGCACCTTTCCATGCACCACCCACCCTGTGACGAATGAGAAAGTGCAGGTGTGTCATGCCTTTGTCCCAGAACCTATGGAAGCTGATGTTACTATCAGTCCAATCAGGATACCTACCTTCCTGCCTTCTTCAACGTCGGGTACAGGGCTTTTGCCTGAAGCAGCTCAAAGCCCACCGTCCAATTTCAAATATTTCCCCTCAATCAGCTCCAGCATTTCCTCATCGACCAGCAGCCTAGCGCACAATTGGTCTGCATGGAGCACACCCTTATGATCGCCGCCTTCATCACATGGAGCACACCCTTATGATCACCGTCTTCATCACATGGATCTTCATCCCTGTATAATGACACACCTATCTTGCGCACATCTAGTGCCTCACTTTCTTTTGGATGCATGGATGTTCAGTCTGAGGAAGAGCTTTGGGGCCCGCTTGATTTAGATGAAATGGACAATGATATGAAGTTTGTGATTGAGTTGAGTCTTGCAGAAGCGCGCAGTCGAGGCAAGGTTTGAAAGTGTGAGTCTTGTAATACGAGTCGCCGAACCATTATTGCTACTGCAGATTCAGAGTAGAATATATACCCAACAATACAATTTATTAGCTGAAACAATCTCAAATTGACCTTTACAACACAGTTTAAAATGCTCACTGCGATGCCAAACATGAACATAACAATGCCACAAAATGGTTGCAATACGCATTTTGACTCAAATTGTGACCACCATTGGAATTAGGGTCATAATGCCATTTTATGATTAAGATCGAAATTGTGACCGAAATGGGAATGTTCGTCGTGATGCACTTATAATGGTCATCAAAATGCTGACTGTTTGATCAAAATCAGATCAGAATCAGGCCAGACCATTAAGGCATTTTAATCAATCAAAATGCCGTAATAAAAGTTCTGACATCACTTTGGGGTCCACTAAACTTCATATGAAACGACTTTTTCGTACATAACAATTTGACCCAGATCTGATACCATCTCCTATATTTCCCGGAAATCTCACGCCATTTCCGATATGCAAAGAACTAACTGTACTACAGTGTACGAAGCACTTTTCTGACCTCTCGGATTAGCCCGAACTCAAAAATGTATCTAGTCCTTGAAATTTGACTGCTTTGTACCGTAGAGTAGCGCAAATGCATTCTTTTGACTTGTAGATTAAGGCTACCTCGTTCGAATATTGAAAATCGAAGGGTTGAAAAAATTTCTGACGAAATTTGAAACATGTTGCAAGAAATGGTATTTATGGGTAACTGAGCAGGTATACAAGCAAGCAGATGGTAAATACAATCTACAGAAGCCCTCTGCTTGCAGTTTCGGCATCCAGTGAGGCCAAAATCTCTGTCATGAGCCCAACACGACGGTGGGAACGGTACTTCTTAACTGCGAAGGCTGCTTGGTGAGCATCGAGTCCTTTCCTGTTCAAACTTCAGCGCTGCCACATGACCACTCGAAAGCATCGATAAACGTACCGGTAGGCATCCATATAACGCCAAGCTTTGCGGAAAAAAACGGCGAATAGTCAAAACATCACACATGTCGAGACATTGCGGAACCAGTGTTTTTGCCGTCGAGAATTTCCCATCAGTGACATTTCGATAGCCTGTACCATGCGGGAATATCAATGAGTCAAAATCACGACAGTAAACCGAGAAAAAACTGACGGTACTTGGCATATCCCCAAAGCATCTCGATGGGGTTCAGTTCACAATGGAACTTCGGAAGAAAAAGGCAAACGTGCCCGCGACTCTCGATGTAATGCTGGATAAGTGGCTTTTCATTGACGAAATCATCTTGAAGTGAGAGTACGCGGTACATGCAGCACCAATTATTGTCTTCCGAGTCTGTTTCTGGCTCATCCTCTGCCTGTAGCTCACCTGTTTCAGGTGCTTCTTGTCCGAGTGCCTCCGCCAATGCGAGTCTCCGTTCTGCATCCTTTTTTGCCTGTGACTTCTGACAACGTTGACACTTCCCAACCACCTTCCCATTGTGCTGTTCCATCAGCACATCCCAAACTGATTGCCGTTCTTGAAGAACGACTTTCATTCCTTTTGGTCTCCCAGCCAACTCAGGGTCAGGATATGTTGCCGAGTATACCATTTGCTGTGGCATTCCACACATGTCAGATTGTCCAGGTTTCGGAGGTGGATTATTGAGTGGGATAGTGGTATCACGTAGGTGGCTTTGCTTACCACCACCTTTCACATTCATGTTGTTCACGTTCAATGCATTTGGAGCAAGACCTTCATGAGCGGAAGAGCAGTCGAAAACAAAGACAGCAACCTTGTTCGGATGCAAGAACTCGAATATGTCGACAGCATGAATCGTTTGGGTCTGAAGCTGAGGAAGATCCCAATTTGCATCATGGTTTTTTCCTGGATAGATGATTTTTCGAGCATCCGTGACCTTGAGCTGTTGGTCAGGTGGAAGAGTAGCTTGTTGCGCGAGTTGTTCTTCTGACAAAGCGAGTCGGCCAGTTGTTTCGCAAATGAAATCAGAAACATGAATTGCACGACCATTCCCCTTCCTTTTCAAAGGCTGTTCATCACCACAAAGCCAAGAGCGACGTCGGTATTCATTCGTATGAAAAATTGACTCATCCTGGGTAACGAGGACATGCTCTTGCTCATCGGGAGTGAGGGATGGTGGATGGGTGCGAGAGTTTCATTGTTGTATTTTGTCATCAATCTGGTATGAGATGTGGTAAGTGACACATATTCGACAGTCAGATAATGCCGACTTACCTCTCATATCCTGCTATTTTCTCAAGGAATATTTTCCGTGCCTCCACGACATCATCACGTTCATGTCCATCATGGTATACACCTTTCTGGACATTCTTGCAAGTGTATCCAAGTTTCTTCAGCCAGTTTTCTGCAGTACGTTCACTGATGTGGCTGTTCGGACCGGTTAAGCCAAGTGTAGGTGCAATAATTTCGTTGACGTGGCGACACATGGCACTTGGAGTGATGGTACCCAGCTTCTGCATTGCAAGATACCTCCGCACATTATGAACAACTGCCTCGTTATCCAACAATGTGTATTGTCCACGGTGATTACTTTGCTTTGACGAAGGAAGACAGTGATGTTGCAGAAGGTAGAGTTCATTCCTGCGAATTTGACGTGCAAATCTTCCTCCCTCTCGTGCTCCAGTGCCCTTCTTTCCCTTACCCATCCGTCGTGCAATTGCAAGACTTGCACTCAAGCATGGAGTTTTACACTTTGGATGATGGCGATACTGCTCTCGGAGTTTGACATATTGTGTCACTGCGGTAAGTTGAGTAATCATCTTCAATGATTTCTTTGTCCGCAGGTTTTTGACTGTCCGAAGGCAGGCATCCGCAATCTTAAATATGTCCATATCCAGCGCAGTTTCGACATCATCATGATCATCCTTCAGCCACTCTTGGGCCATGGACGCCAGCAGACTCTCATGATGTATGTCATTCACGTCTTCTGATCCAAATGTCAGGTCCAAATTTTCCATTTCCAGCTCATCGCCATCGTGAATGGCCTTATGTGTACGTGGAATGAGCCTATTAAAGCAGCGAGATTATTTCATTGCTTACCTCAAGGTATTCATCTGGATCAAATTCTTCATTCCATGGAATTGATATGATACCGTTCAGCTCGTCTTGGAGTAATGACACGCTGTATTCCATTAGGTCAAAACCCATTTCCAGGGAATATTCGAGTGCTGGATCTTGCTGTATAGGCTCCACTTCCTTGGCAACAACTGCTCCTTTTCAGACATGAGAGTCATATCTCTCTAATTAACTTGATGTAAGTCTCAGAAGTCACTTATGTTATCATCCGAACCTTCACAAAAAATGTGTCTATTGTCTTTGCTCCACTGGATGCTCTGTCCCATGAGGACTTCTTCCTCCATTGAGATGTCCGAGAGTTTCCCCGGTAAACAGCTGGCCTATTTACAATTTTCTGCTTCTTTCGCTGACACCAGGCTTGATGGTAAGCATTGCTGACGTTCTATAGATAATAGAAATTCGGAGACATTCACCTGTGGTTCTCCATCAGACCCAGTTAAATTATTGTCCTTGGCTCGAAGATTTGCAGGTAAAAACATGCCATAGAGGCTCTGTAGGGCAACAATGGACCCAGATATATCATCTGCCTCAACCTCGCTCTCCCCACTAAAGCCAGGCTCATACTCTGAGTCTGACCCCTGTTCTGGTTGAGGTGATGGCAAAGAGCTGAATTTACGACAGTCGGCTCGTTGCTTCTTTGCTTGAGCAGCTTTCTTTGTCACAGGAGGCATATGGTAATATGAACAGGGTTTCGGGGAGATGAACAGGGTATATGGAGCATGGGGTAAATTTTTTCCGACGGAAAAATTTGAAACAAAATGGGAAATTTCGAAAAATTGCTTATTTTTGCTTGTTTCCTTGTAGAATTTTCATTGAGCAAAAAAATTCGTACAATTAAGCTCCCTATAGAGACGGCACTCTAGTGCTTCGTACACTGTAGTAAGCATGGTCCGATTTTTTTTTCCTTATGTGTGTCGATCATGACTAAAAATCACTAGTAACTTGCGCGTCAGTCGACGGCCATAGTAGCATTGTGAAGGCAAAAATATGACTCACGGAATCATGGATGCAGTACCACAATTTGCTCTGCCATGCAGGTGAGTCATGTTATCAGGTCCAGAAAAATGCTGATACTCACGCATCTCACCCATGGGCAGTCTTCAGTTGCGTGCTTACTGCAATCAGTGTGATACCAGCAAGCTCTGTAACATTGAGGGTTGAAAGGGCTAGCTGCAACACCAGTAGCTGGCATGGCAGAGATTGACGGTACTAAGGCAGCAATGATTGCGAGGACAGTTTCAGAGGAGAAACGCATTGTTTGCGACTCGTGTGTGGAATCAGGTAATTCTGAAGGGGATTGTAAGACGACAGCTGGCTTTTATAATATTTTCTGTACTTACTGTTGCGCAGATGTGCCTTCGAATGTATACGTTCTCAGCACAATAGACCCCTCAGCCCCATCTAAACACTTCGCCGATCCAGCGTGCTGCTACGTAGACACAGCTCACTGATATTCCAATTGAGATCGGGCCACATCCCACTCAACAAGCACCTGCACCGGATCTCGAAATCCCCCACGCCCATATGCCCAGCATGCAGACAGAAAGAAGAATTAGTCCATCACTTCATCCTGGAATGCCCAGCATACACCCGCCACCGCAACGCATTGAGAGCATCGTTGAAAACCAGAGCCCGCGACCTGAACAGTTTGCTCAAAACAATCAAGAAACTCCTCACATTCATTGTCAAGACCAAGCGCTTCGAAACGCCTTCGTAGATATCAACCCACCTGCTAGCCCCAAAAGAAACACCAAGTAAGCTCACAGGTTGGCCCCACCCTCGCCAAACACCCTCCACCGTCCCCGCCTAGGCCAGGACCATTACTAAAGTACAATATGTAAGACATACGATTCGAATACAGTAGATTACACGCATGTAGTAATGTCCAACATAGTAGGGCACCGCCCAACGGACACAAAACAAGGATCAAAAAAAATGTATACGTTTTGCCATTTGTTGTTGCTGTTGTGGCACAGAGCTGGCATTGCCAATCAGACGGCAGAACCTCCCCGGCAGAATACGACGGAACTCCTGTACATGACAGGTTCAGAATGAGGCCTGGAACTACTTCTGCCACTACATATTGAGAGTGTATGGCCAGTTTCCTCTCGACTTTTATCAGCATCATTACTGACACTACTTCCATTGTATTGCAGTATGTCTACGCAGAACAGGTCTTGCGTTAATTCCTACGAACGAGTGCCGCCCGGAGTTGTCGTCGTACTACTGTGGTTGTGCAGAAAAATCATGCTTCTCACCTGTATCCAGTATTTAATGATGTCATTCTCTTCACATGATATGACAAGACAACGCTTATAAGGTCCGTACTAGTAAGACAAACGTGCTTAGCCATATGGAAATTCTCGTCGTCCGGACAATCTGCAGTATGAATGCGTATAACCGTGCACCGATGCGAGCATGGTTAGTTCCTAGATTCAAACACATGGTAAAAGCATGGATCATGAAGAGCTCATCCTCGTCAAGGGCGGGATAAGCTTTACTGTAAAGCATCATTCCACCTACCCATATCGTGAGTGATAGACGTCCCAAGGGCCTCCAAGGGCTTTCTTCACTCAGGTTATACTTGATATCAACGTGCACAAACCCCGCGGCTCCACGTGAGGAAGGAACCTTATCGGCACTGAGGAATCAGGATCTCAGCTTGTGCGATCTTGAGCGCTTGAGCAACGATCAGCGTGAGAGAACAGAGACTAAAACCGGAGAAGCAAATGTTTGTCACAGGTACGAAGAAATGAAAATGCAAAGAGAGTGATCACCTGCAAATCCGACAACGACCTCCCATCTGACTAGACTGTGCATCGAAAAAAACGTCCACTCGATCGCAGCATTCATATAGCGCAAGTGAAACTAAGGTGAGTAGGCGATACCATTTGTACAGCTTCTGAAGGTAGGAGCTGATATTGTCCTCGCGCATCATATAAAGTATCTGAGCAGAAATCATGTCTTAACCTGAAATAAAAAGAACATCGATGATAGCTGCCTGGCCAAAGGATAGAAGGACATACTGATGTCATTTGCAATATCTTGCAGGTGCCTGGTGGACTGCGGATAATCAGCTGTTCGCTTGATGGCTCAATTCGAATCTGGGACTTGGAGAGTGGAATGCAGGTCGGCGAGGCCTACAAGGACGAAGCGGGTTGGGTAGTGTTCGACTGGATGGTAAGAAAGTAGCATGTGCGAGTGAGGATGGTGGAGTGAGATTGTGGGACATGTTCCATGGTCTGAATGGACATCATCCAGTACATTGCGGAGCTTATGTCATATATGAGTGCATCAGCCCATGCAGTATTATATCGCACAGCATGAGTTAGATGAGTACCTGCTGTCGATTGACATGCCTTGAACTCGAGCATGTCGAAAGTTTTGGTATACCTCATTCGCATTCTATCTAGACCTTCGGGCGCGTCCTGACCTTTACGGCTTTATAAACAAATCGTTAAGTGACGCTCCGGTAACGGTTAGACGAATGGATCACAGGGCATGAGAGGCCAGCATTCGAGTGGTATTGTTAAATGAAGCCGAGTATTAAGGTGTCAACAAAGAAAGGGAAACCAATACTCACTGAGTGCTGAGCGCTGAGTACGTAATGGTGTCGGTCGGCCGAGTCGGGGATTGGCGCACGCGCCGCTACAATATAATAGTACTTGCTCAGTACCACCATCCACATCTCAGAGTTTGTTTTTTGCAACCCTCCTTGAATAGTAATATCGATCCGTGCGTCTAGTGGAGATGAATGACAGGCAAGCCTATTTTCCGTTTACTCCAGCTGTATTGTTGAGTCTAAAGTCTTTCCCACTCATAGTGCTCCCAAGTGCAATCCTTCTCATCAATCTTTGCGACATGGAAAAGCAGCAGTTCTCAGACCTTGAAAAGGTCGACGCACTGATTCCAGAATCGGAAGAAGAAGAGTCGCTCTCGAACTGCTTATCATCGTCCTTAACTGGACTCTGTTCTCAGTGAGTTCATATGCATCTGCAGTATTGTTCCATCCTCTGATGACGCATGATTTTATCTATCAACTCCAGGCAGTGATAACGGGTTTAGTCTGGTTCAATGCGTCACCACTGGATCCCCCTCAGGCTGTTAACGTGGATGTCCCTGGGCACGAATCTCACACGCCTTCGCTGCGTTATACGCTCTCACACGGACTTAATCCTCATATCTGTGGGCAAGATCCTCATGCGCCAGCACACGCTCACCCTGAGGCACCCGCCTTTTGGCCCTCGTTGCCTCCCCAAGCACAAGGTTGAACGTCTACGGGCAATACCGGCATCCATGCCCGCGTGGTTCATGAAGCTCTTAAACTCACTGCAGTTTATCTTTCCACTCATTCAGTTCGTGGTCACCATGGTACTACTTGTCATCGTCTGGTTCTTTTAGTATCCTACCCTTTCCAGGTCTCTTGCCGGTTGTTCTTCCGCTATCTCAATCTGAGAACGATCATTTCCATCTTCTGGCTTTTTGAAATGTATGTTTACCAACGTTGTTCTTCACTTCGAGATTAAATGAAGCTGGGTCTCGAGTGATGGTCTTCTCCGTTCAATTCCCTTTCACGACGATCTGTCAGTCATGATGCGGTCATATTTTGTTTCCTTTCATTGTAGCAAGTATATGTTTGAACTTTGAATTATGAATTACGATAAAATCAAATCAAATACTATGACTTCGTTTCGAACTTCGGATAGATAGGCTTCCATGATTGTAGGGGAATATCCAAGAGCAGCATCGCAAATATAAGCCCAGCGTTAAATGAGATCTCCATAATGATTTGTGTGCGCTGGTGATAAGTACCAACGAAGCTTTTACACTTTACTTTTCACCAACAAGTCTGCGTCAATCTCTTCCTTAGAAATTGGTCATCATGAAACGGAACCCTCTACTCAAGATCTCCAGCACCTAACCAAACGATGAATAATACTGACATAATTAAAATACTCCTAGACTTGGTGCTAAAACGTTGAAGGCAATTATATGTGAAGTACTGACACGATCAACCTAACAAGCGATCGAACCTAAATGTCCTTGATCTGTTCCTCAAGCCACTTCCATAGCTCCGAAGCCTGCTGTGGATCCTGCCCCTCTGGGTGTGTGTACCCAACGCGCGCCCATGGAACAAGGTACTATCCATGATATATATAAGTTCGAGTTCTCGGTCATGAGAGAAAGTGCTAACCTTTCCGTTAAGATGCGCGCCTTCTGCAGTGGTTCCAGCGTATAACTGCGTGAGAGCGCCATACGACACATCATGGAAGACCAAATTCTAATATCGAACAAATTAGTATATAAAAGGTTGAATGATACGTGATAACGCACGCCTATGATTTTGGAAAAGGAGTCGAAATTACGGCTAAGCTCCGTCTTGATACCACCAGGGTTGAGTGCTGTCGAGACTATACCCTGGTCGCCATATCGTCTAGCTAACTCAGCTGCAAACAACACGTTGCCCTTTTCACATAGGGGTTTTAGTCAAGGAGTTGATACGATGAATGGAAACAAGATATACCATTTTGCTTTCGCCATAGAGACCCATAGCACCCCTCTTTTTCCTCGCGGGACCATCCTTGAACGTGTTATAGTCCAGACTACCGAACCAGTGGGCGTTGGAAGCCGTGTTCACAATGCGTGCAGTTCCGTCAGGCGACTGCGCGGCACCAGCTAGAAGTGCAGGCATCACAAGTTTCGTGAAGTAGAAGTGGCCGAGGACGTTCGTGCCAATTTGCAGGTCATAACCGTCGTCCGTCAACATCTCCATAGGAGGAGTCATTACCCCACTGAGCGACATGTCAACAGACGATGAGATGGCAAGTTAAACAACACTCACGCGTTGTTGAATAGCACATGCAGTACGGGTTCTCTCCTAAAGAAAAACTATCAGCTATCTTGTTGCTAGACAAATGCAATGCAAGCGTACCGCAAAAACTCTTCTCCAGAAGCCTTGATAGACTTCAAGTTTGCCAAGTTGAGTTGCAAGAAACACGCTTCTTTTCCGGTGCTCTTCTGAAGGTCGCGAATAGCAGCTCGACCCTTGGCCTCGTCGCGACACGCAATGTAAACCTTGGCGTTTTTTGTGAGGAGAACCTAAGAACAAAAACGTCAGCACGTCATAGGCAAACAAGTCGATGGCAGACAGACTCTAGCGGTCTCTTTTCCTATCCCTGTATTCGCGCCGGTGACGAGGACAACCTTTCCGGACATGTCTGGGACATCAGACGCGTGAAACTTCGCTGACGGAGGAAAAGTCTCGCGAACGTACACCGACCAGATGTGACCCATGATTAATAAAGGATTTTTGGAGAGTGACTGGCTGTAGAATTCAACGGGGGTGAAACTCTGACAATGGAGACTGTAGTAAACGCGACTCCTTTTATACCGTACGCGTATGGAGGGTAGCCGAGACTTACGGTACGCGCAATGAATTGACTCCTATCATTCCGTAGATTACATAATCACTCGTCACGCTCGTTGGCTAGGGGCCACGAATGCCGAACCACCCAAGTCGTCGACAGTAGCGATATCGAATTGAAAATCCAAAACCGCAAAACCAAGGCCTTAGGCCTCAGCACTTTCCGAACTACGAAAAAATTTAAAGACATATGATAGCCTGCCAAAGGTATAGGCCGGTCAGCCGGGAATCGGGATTTGATGACGACCAATCACGGCGTCGGCAGGGTCGACGCAAACGACTCATGTACTTACGTGTTATTAATTTACATAATGAACGCGCCCGAATTCTATTAATGAAATACTAGAAGGCCGCAGCCTTAGCAGCCTCAATGCTTCCTTGTGATGACTCGACGAGGAGGTCATGCTCATGCGGCTTAGTGTTGTCGGCAGAGCTTGAAAAGGTGCCAGAGGGTGAGATAGCCCGCAAGTCAATGCAAATCCACCTCCAAGTTTGGAAGGCTCTCTTTCCCCCAAGGTTTAAGTTGTCCAAGATTGGTCGAAATTTTTTCCACGACATCACTGATTCCACGCAATGCCCTAACTGTCCACCTTGAGAATGCGAAGCGGCACCGCAGAGTTTGGTGCACTCGAGAAGCAAAATGTGCTTGAGAAGTTTATTGATCTTGATCTTGATATCAACGGAGTCGAGATACTGAAAGGTAATGTCTATAAATTCAAGGAGCTAGAACGAGTTGAGGCTGGTATGGTGCCGAAGTTGATCGACGAGGAGCTCTCGGTAATTGATCAGGCGAGGGGGGTGGTTGGGATGTCATATGATTACTGTGACAGATAATTTCCTCTCCTGAGTGTCGTCCCATGGTTTTACCATGATCTGCCAGGTCTGCCCACAACACTACCCTCGTGACAGAGAGGCACGCGTGTCGCATAGACACTCCTCAAACATCAACAAGCAGCAGCTCGCCAACCTACTATTCCCAAACCCAATCATATCTCATCGTTACGATGGTAGCCGACTACACCAGGAGAGACCATCACTTGAACTCCCATACTCTTCCTTCTCGAATGACGTTTTCGCAAGACAAACGTCTATCATGCCTGCTCGCCGCAGGTTGGCCTCTGTCGGATGCTGCACATCTTCCAGAACTTCACTGATAGATGCCGAACGATGACCCAACCACAAGAGTTGCAGGACGCCTGTGTCTGGGATAGCAGCTTCACTGTCATGACATGCATCGAATGCTCTTGTCATGTGTAACGCCAGTCCCAACATGATCACCGATGCGGACGCCGCGAAAGCCAACTAGGATCGTTTTCGATGAATGGTCATCGCATATATACCGTCACGAACTCACAGGAAGAAGGTTGATCTACGGTGTTTTATCAGTCAATTAGAAACAGCATCTGTGCAGCTCACTTACATTGAGGCGTAGGGCAATCAACTCCTCGTTGACATAGGCCGTCCCATCGCCAGGGTCAATACCTCCATTGGCTGTGCCCATTTGTCCCGCTAATTATAATGAGTGAGAACAGGACAATGCTTGAACCGTATCCCTTACCTAACCAGATAAGTTGTGCAGCTGCTTTTGCGACCGCAGATTCTAGTTCATCCGGTCTCAAAGTGAAATTTGAAATCGGAACAGCACCGTCGTCTCGGAATCCTAAATATTCCTCGGTGAGATTCAAGCCTACCAGCGACATGATATACCTAGAAATCAAACCGTACGTGAGACACGCGGCAGTGCAATCAAGGAAAGATTTTGGCCTACTCGTCCGCAACAGACAGTTCGGTGATTTGTGCAGGTGTACCATCAAATACGATCCCGCTACTGCTGTCTGGGGTAGCCAAAGCACTGCCGATCTAAGATCGACAGAATATCAATATCATTGAGTTTTGATAACCCTTCGAAATAAACACTATATAACGCACTTGTGTTTGCCAGCTAGTATTCGACCACGCGAATTCATACATATCCCATTCAGTAGATGGCTGCGATATGGGCGTAGAACTCAGTAAACTGTTTGTTTGCATATCGACCACCCCATCTGTAGTGTTGGCTGCTAGCGAGCAATACACGAAATAGACCTGGATGACGTATGGAGTAGCGATATCAGGGATAGCTGCAGAACGTATTATTATCGTAACTGTATTACAAATAATTAAACGTACCCCAAGTCATGTTTACAGCGATCTCATCCTGTACTGAAGGGTCGATGCCCAATGATGTGGAGACCATAAGATAGACACCACCGAGCTAGAGTCAGACGGTTACTCAGCTTCTAGAAGGCACGAACTAGAGAACATTTACCTCTGAGGAGCCACCGTAAGCATCTTCATATTCCATCCATGGAATTATATGTATCTGGTCTGACCCTGTAGACATTCTCAGCATGATAAAACATCGCCGCAATCACAACTACCGACAGAGAGTGCTCGCATTAAGCATGTGAGTAGCAACTGGCCCAAACGGAACGATGGCCGTGCTGGTATTTGCAGAGTATGTCACATTTGGAATCAATCCGCAACTTGAGGTTACTGTCGTCGCATTCACGGTCGCATTTCCTGCTATAGTGTTTGTTTTGAGGGTATCGTAGAGTGTGGTGTCTGATAATCCTGCAGACACCAGTCCGTTCAAATGATTGACGATCGGTAGGGACGGAGTAATGAATCCCAGGTTCACAAAAGAGTCATAGGATGAATCGTTTAGCCACCCTAGTGTTGTTGGTACGGAAGTCGTCATGGAGGCGTTGAAAGTTTGAAATTGTAGGAGAGTGGAAGAGGTGACATGCAGTACGGTTATGCTCGCAAGGTAAGCTGCCACAGCAGAAGTCGTCCACCACGAGGCGGGGATGTCAGTTTGTCGCCAGACGCTACTGAGTGCTGAGCCAAGGCCCGTCCAGGCGCCAGAGACATCGTGAACGGCAGTTAGTTTCACATGGCGTACAAGTGTTGTCGAAATCGCAAGCCGTTGTGTAAGAAAGAGCAGAACAGCTGTGTATATCTAAATAGTCACATCATTGGTGTTAGTTAGGACGAAAGTGAACACTGGATAGATACGTACAGTATAAAACGCTTGCAGTGAAGCACTAAGCACGACAGGCCAGAAATCATTGTTGGTTTGTGTGAAAGAGAAAGTTACATGGTGTTCCCAGTGATTGACATAAAAGAAAAAGAGGACGATGTGGATCATGACCAGCATGCCATGCAGGACGTAACATGCGCCTCCAGCAAACAATCCATTGCGCAAGTTTTTTGAAGCATCCTTCGACCGGGCCTTGAAGTTCCAGTCCAATGGAGGGGGGAATGGAGTTGACGGCACGCAACAACAAGCATCGAATCGACACGATAGACAGGTCTTTGACATACTAGGGACCAGCGACGCAGGTGAACGCAAGTGTCGAACAGGTATCAAGGTAGACCTGGTCGTTGATCGACTACGGTCGCCAGCGGCCCTCAGATCTTGATAGAAGGAAGTCGGATATTCCTTGAAGTTCCTTCTTTATATACGAAGACAGACGCATGACTGCAGATATCAACGTTTCAGGCTTTCGCATAAGGCCCGACCTATGTCGTAAAGTCGCTAGCGGTCCATCAAAATGCTGACGCATAATGAAGCCGAGGACGCATTAATGGATTAAAGTCGCCATTGTTTTTTTTTTCATCTTGATACCGTATTGTTCTACTGCCTACAAGGTCGCATAGGCACCCCTACACGATGCACTATCAGCCTGCATGTATATCCGAGATCTCGTATGCAATCTAGCTAGTCCTGCCTTTCTATCAATTGATTAACAATAACATGCATCAATGATCTATTGTCCAGGTGCCAGGCCCATCAGAATTTCCCGGCACCGTGGGGTATACCAATCTCGATATCGACAGTAGGTCGAAAAATGAACAGAAGCTGGAAGTGTGGCGGTCCATAATCCCAGGGACTCGAGAGACACTAAGCTACGTACAAGTCAAGATGCAGTCGGACCCACCATTACTACTAGATCTCGGGCTGGTTAGGATAGGGACAAGAAGACAGAGGACTCGAACTCAGTTATGTAACAGGCTGAAACGCGACGAGTAGCTGAGAAGAGGCGATGAACATCCTAACTACCGTGACTATCACATAAACAATAACCTCCGCCAGATGGGGCATAGAATTCTCAGTCTGAGTCTTGTATGCAAGTCTAGCGTCCAGATCATAGCGCATGTTAGTATCTGAGTCGCTGGCAACGAACGTATGAGGGAATTTGAGGGACAGTGCGACTCCCTGCAGACGACAGGAAGATTTGAACTAGTGATACACGAATAGTGAGCCTAGCAAAGAACCGCGAGAAAGAACAAAATGTCTCCGACACTGGTCAAGAACCAGTAACACATAGACCAAGAGAAAAAATCCAATTGAGTCTCGACCGCTAATGAATGATGTAGGTGGGTAAAGCAAAAAGGCTCTAGCGAGTGGTCGGAATGATCTTCTCAAACTCCGCCATACTTGGTGATTGAAAGAGGATACCCGGCAAAAACAGTCCAAAAGAATATACGTGTCTGCGGCGACTGCGCGACCATAGGAGAGGGCTCATACCAGCACACGCGCAGGCCTGCAGACAAGAGGACGAGCCGTGTTTACGACTCGAGGTTCCGCAAACTTACATTAAACCCAAATGATATGGACCTCCGCACCAGAGCACGCAAAACATCATGTAGTATGAACATCAGTCCTCCACCACTCTATTCTCAAACCCAAATCAAATCATCATCATGATTCACGACGATGGTCGACCATCACGAGGGAGACTATCGCTGGCAATCGAATGTTAAACGTTAAACTCCCAAACTCTTCGTCATTGGATATTTTTTTCGCAAGACAAACATATATCTGTCTGCTCGCCCCAATTGGCCTCTGTCGGATGCCGCACATCTTTCAGAACTTCGTTGATAGACGCTGAACGCTGACCGCAACTACAAGAGTTGCGGTACACTGATAATGATCCACGCCAAAGTTGGCACGCATATAAGAGAGGGCAGCTTCCGTAGCGTGTTTCCACCTCGTCAGGAGGACATGTCGACTCGTTTCTGCTATCAAGGTTTGTACCAGTCTTACTGATTGCTTCAATCAATGGCTCGGACTCAGGGAGACGGTCTCCACGTTGCCCACTCTTACGGATCTTTGTGACCCAACACAGTTATTCCGTCACTTCCGAATGATTAAAATCACTTTCACATCTGACTATCAGTCCTCGTGTATCCCTCATGTGATATACAGCTGCGTATACCCTTTGCCCACTGAATCTAGATCATCTAGATGCTGACTTCAACTCGGGCAACCAAGTTCACACACTTCAACGAGTTTAAGGCTCCTCCAACTTCTTCGAGTCTCCATCATTTTTACCTTCTCCCATGGATCCTTCAGAGATAAGAAAGAAAATCCGTCGCTTTCGAGTCCTCATCCTAGGAAGAGCGAATGCAGGAAAAACCAGCATCCTACGGAGAGTTTGTAACACACAGGAGAACCCAAAAATATATAACAGCGCCGGAAGAAAGGTGGGCATCATGATACTAGTAGAAGAATAGTGGTGATGACTTAGCGATGGACATCAGATCGATGCCGCAGTTTTGATGACTTCCACAGAGGTGGCCCGTACTTTCAATAGATGGTAACATGAACTGACACGCTGTCAGCGCGGATTGCATGATATTGAGAATGAGATGGTGTTTCGAAGTAACCCAGGATTTGTCTTTCATGATTCATGTGGATTTGAAGCAGGCGGGGAATCAGAATTTGAGCAGGTGAAAGCATTTATCAAGGCACGTTCAAGGGAAACCAGAATAAGCAAACAACTTCATACAATCTGGTAATCGCAACTGATCAATCACAAAATGCGTTATCTGACGGTTTTAACATAGGTACTGCATCCCGATGGACGAGGCAAGCAGGGCGTTCACAAAAGGTGAAATCAGGTTTTTCTCTGAGTGCGACACCGGAAGCAGTAAGTTTTCATATCCGACCGTCTTTGGAGTTCAACTGATGCGCAGAATCACCATCCTCAGTTCCGGTGATAGTGCTGTTCACAAAATTCGACGCCCTCTATGATATCGCATATGCACAGCTGAAATCGAACGGAAAATCAATGGAGGAGGCTGAAGAACTGGCGCCGAAGCACGCAGAAGAGTCGTTTGCGATTGGGTCACAACTGAAGTTTCTATACCACTCCAACAAGATTCGACACCGTCCAAAATGTCACATATGCCTCCCTGGTAAGTAGTTGATCCTCGACTCATGAATCTCATACATTTCAACTTTGATACGTTAGATATGGACAAGGAAGATGCCGATTGCGGGCCATTGATCGAACTTACTGCTGAAACTCTAGATGACGAAGTGTTGAAGCAATTATTCGTGTCGACCCAGAAGACGAACTTGGAGATTTGCATGGAATATGCAGTTGAGATGTAACTACTCATGCTCTCATTTACCCACTGCGAGCGTTAACAACTGATATTGTCCAGAGCACTCATGAAACGTTTGGGCTGTACTGAGATAACGTCTGAAGGTCACGAGCAGATGATAATGGCATTGGGCGCCTGGTTTCCACATATCTATGTAAGATTATGGTAAAGTTCGAAGGTCGCTCTCATTTACCTTGGACGTTTACTTGCAGGCAGTACGTCTGTTGATCTTCGTTTGAGCTCGAGCCACTCTGATCGAAGTCGTCGCCCACTGTTCGCAGTGGGTGAGTGTGTCGATCCTCGTACGAGCTCGAGCCATGCTGATCCAAGTCGTTTCCCACTGTTCGCAGCTTGTGAGTGTCTCGATCCTTCTTCGAGCTCGAGTCATACTGATCCAAGTCGTTGCCCGCTGTACGCAGCGTGTGAGTGTGTCGATTCACCTTCGCGCTCGAGCCATGCTGATCCAAATCGTTGCCCACTATTCGCAGCTCGTGAGTCTCTCTATCCTCCTTCGAGCTCGAGCCATGCTGATTCAAGTCATTGCCCACTATTCGCAGTATGTGAGTGTGTCGATCACCTTTTGGGCTCGAGCCATGCTGATCCAAGTCGTTTCACGTCGTTCGCAGGAAGTGAGTGTGTCGATCCTCCTTCGAGCTCGAGCCATGCTAATCCAAGCCATCCACTGTTCGCAGGAAGTGAGTCTGCTGATCCTCCTTTGAGCTTGAGCTATGTTGATCCAAGTCGTTGTCCACTGTTCGCAGGAAGTGAGTCTGTTGTTCCTCCTTCGAGCTCGAGCCATGCTGATCTGAGTTGTTTCCCACTGTTCGCAGCTTGTGAGTGTGTCAATCATCCTTCACGCTCGAATCATGCTGATCCAAGTCGTTGCCCATTATTCGCAGGATGTAAGTGGATCGATCCTTTACGCTCGAGCCATGCTGATCCAGGTCGTTTCCCACTATTCGCAGCGTGTGAGTGCATTGACCCTCCTTCGAGCTCGAGCCATGCTGATCCAAGTTGTTGCCCACTGTTCGTAGCGTGTGAGTGTATTCATCTTCCTTCAAGCTCGAGCCTTTTTTGATCAGGCTGTTGCTCATTCGTTAATAGGCCGTGAGTGCATCCATTTTTTGTCGAGTCTCAGCATTCCTGACAAAATAATCGATAATTTATTGGCAGGAGGCAAGTAGATTGATTCTCTACCGACCTTAAGCCACTGACTGCATAAATTGTTGATTCGTTGACAGCTTGTGAGTGAGACCATTTTATGTCAACCTCCTGTCTTCTAAGTTCTCACCGATGCAATCACTGAACTGTTGTCAGGGTGTGAGTGTATTAATTGTCCGTCGCTCTCGCGCCATACTGACCGTGAACATTACTGCTCTGTTAACAGATTGTGAGTTGGTGATGCACCATCGAGCTCGAACCATACTGACTGAAGACGTCACTCATCCGTTTACAGGATGTAAGCACATCGATCCGTATTCGAATTAGTCCATCACTGACCAATCAAATTGCCGACTCCCGTTGACAGAATGTGAGTTTTTTCATCTGCCATCGAGTTCTAGCGCTGCTCACCGACGACATGCCTGATTCGTTGACAGTCGGCGAGTCTCTTCACCCCTAATCGAGTTTTAGCCTTGCTCACATATGACATCGCTCATCCGCTGACAGAAAGTCAGTGTGCTGATCCTCTGTTGAGCTCGAGCTTTGCTTACGACTGAAATCGCACGTCCCTTAACAGACCGTGAGTGTTTCAATTTGAGTCTTACTCGTGAACGACATCGCTGATCCATCAATAGGAAGTTTGTTTCTTCATCCTTCTTTGACTTCGGGCCATGCTGACCGAATATGTTACACATTGGTAGAATGTAAGTGCATCGATCCTCAGCAGAGGTGGATGATCTTCAATTTTCCATCATGATTTGACCAGCTTCGTGGGAGTCATCTAACGGAGATGCGGACGAGGATACTACTCTCTGTGGTATGTCCCATTGGTCGCAGATTGTACACATTTCTCATGTTACAAATGTGCCAGGCCTCTGGTTCATCACCACTGGAGAACACTGTTCAGCTCGGTTCTGGTGAATTTCAAGGCTACGTTGAGATGAACTTGCTTATTGTCGATCATCTAGCCGCTGTCATTATCTTCGAACACTCTTTCTACATTCACGACAAGCGGCGCTATCTTCAGGAGCAGCAGAAGTCTGATCCCTCTTTTTATGTCGCTCTCGAACAGTACATGGCATCTCCACATGCAGACGCTGTCAGGGAAGGTGTGAGCGCTGCCGTCCAGGTATATGAAAACCGCATGAGGAATGCAGGGAACTCTGCTTGGATGGCGAAGTTACCGCTCGAACGCTTCCAGAGGAAGACAAATCAGGCCAAGGCAGAGTTAATCAAGAATATTCTTGATATCACTTCAAATCATCGCCTGCGTATGTTTCACCGTCATGTCGCAACAATCACACTGATCTGTCTGTCTTCAGCGAGACCTTAATGGGCAATGTAACACAACCTTGTGGTTCGGAGTGGAGCTGAGGTATCTTGGCTGTGAATATTGAATGGTCGGAGATAGATTCAGGATGCGGGATTGCACGAAATGGTTGCATGATCACGCAACATGACGCTTTGTCTGGTATAGCCTAGTGTAAACGTGTTTGGAGAATGGGTCGCAGATCAAGCCGCGTATGATTATTCCTTTGATATTTCATTCATGCTAGAGATACATATATATAAGTAGCTACATCAGCCGATGACTATCTTTCTTTTCTTCCCTCTCTGGACCCCCTCAACGTTTGATGGGTGAAAATTCTTCTGAAGCCGGCAGCGACACAACTGGCTCATGCATCAGAGTCATCGCTGGAGATCGAATATTGAGTTCCCCAGATTTTACATTCGTGGCAATCGCGAACTCAACAAACAATTCTGCTGTGCAGGAAGGACAAATTCTACTTTTCACATTGGCCTATCACTGTATGCGCACGTGAAAGGGGGCATCAGCGTCATCAAAATGTGTGAACGAAAAAGGGAGTGTACGATGAGCAGCAATAAACTACCCCCCCATGTCTTCCTTCGAAGCTTCCTCTAACAAAGGGAATCTGAGGGCCCTACTAGTTAGACCCACATGTGAAAATCTTGAAGTTTGGACCAATTAGACTTGTAAAGAAAAATCGAACTCAATGAACGAAGGAAGACAGTCAGGCAATCCGGCGCTATACACACCATAGTCGTTTTTCAGAGAGCATCTAAATTGAGAAACGACACCAAAAACAAAACATCCATAATACAAACCTCCCGCACCAGAGCAGTATGAACAACGTAAAGACAAGACATAGTATAAATAAGCAGCAGTCCACCACCCCTTTATTCTCAAACCTAAATCACATCTCATCATCACGACCGTGGTCGACCCCAGAAGAGAAACTATCGCTGGCAATTGAACTCCCAAACTCTTCCTCGTTAGATATTTTTTTTGCAAAACAAACATCTATCATGCCTGCTCGCCGCAAATTGGCTTCTGTCGGATGCTCCACATCTTCCAGAATGTCGTTGATAGACGCTGAACGATGACCCAACCACAAGAGTTGAAGTACACCTATGTCTGGGATAGTAGCCTGAGCGTTGTGTGATGCATCGGATGCCCAGGTCATATGGAGCGCCAGTCCCAACATGATCACCGATGCAGAAGTCGCAAAAGCCAACTAGAACCATGTTCGACAGATAGTTAAATATTCCCCCCTCCATCGACCAAGCAGTAGCTAGAGCGTCCATTCGCGCCAAACAAATCCTGCTCGACCCAACATCAGGACACTCCCTCTTCCCCGCAGACACCACCAATGCCTTTATCGCCAAACGACTTTCCGACATCCTCCTTGACATTCGCAGCGAGGGAACTCCCACAGGAACAGTCCGTGCAGTTCAGCGTCTTCGCAATGGAGGCCTGATAGTGGAACTCGACAATGAGAACTTGGCGGGCTGGCTTAAGGGCCCTACAGGCCGTATACTGCTCGAATCCCACTTAGACTCGACAGCATGCATTCGGGACAGGACCTTCTCCATCGTGATACAATTTCTGCTGATCACTTACGAGATCGAACGTGACGACTTCCCTCGTCACATTGAAGCTGAGAACCATCTCCCTCCCAACTCGATAGCATCCATCCGATGGATTAAGCCTCCCCAGCGTCGCACAAGAGAGCAACGCACTGCCTTCGCACTCCTTCAGGTCAAGGATGTTGAAACTGCTAACAACATCCTCAAGGAGGGCATCTGTATTGATGCCCATCATTATGCCGTCAACAAGGACCATAAGGAACCCCTCCGTTGCGCCACATGCCAAAAGTTCGGACACATGGCTCGCAACTGCTCCTCCCCCCACGATATCTGCGGCACCTGCAGCGGCCGTCATAGGACCGCACAATGCAACGCGTTCCGAACTGAATGCTGCGTGAGTTGCAAGAGCCAAAGTCACACCAGTTGGAGTCGCAAATGTCCGGAGTTCATCTGTCGCTGCAAAACTCTGGATGAACAATATCCAGAGAACAAACTCCCCTTCTTCCCTACCAGCTCCTCCTGGCTCCCGTCCACTACCCCTCCTAGGCCATCAAACACACCACCCTCTCGCTCTGTATCCCCCCGCAATGCGAAATCCAGCTCACCACCACCCGCAGATGATACAATCCAGCCCTTGCCCAACCTGCAAACCACTCTCCCCTTCAAACGCGTCAACCCTCCACAAACGCCTGAGCCTGCCTCGTCCTCCTCAATTATCTCGACCTCTCCGGTTACTCCAACTCCCATCACCACTCTGACACCATCAACCCCCTCAACGTCTTCGCCTCCTTCCGCCATCGCCTCCACATCACCATCCACCCCATCATCGGCATCGTTGACATCCCCCTCTCCCTCTTCGACGTCTACCTATGCGACTCCTACCGCCAGCCCCAACTCTCCCCTCCTTGATGTCTGAACAACCTATCCCCACCCCGAATTGTCTTAATATATGGCAGCAGAACCTGAACGCGTCACTAGCGGCTCAGGAATCACTAATGAACAGCCGGGATATCACTAACTATGACCTTTTAATTATTCAGGAACCATATATCAATTATCTTCGCAACACCCGCGCCAGCCACCGCTGGCATGTACTATACCCCACTAACCATCTCACACACCCGCAGGAAAAATCACGTGCAATCACCTTTGTCAACACATCGCTCGACACGAACACATGGCGGCAGATCCTGTTCCCATCATCTGATGTGGTAATTGTGCAAATGACTGGGGAATTCGGTGTATGCACCATTTTGAACATTTACAACAACTGTACCCACCAAAACACCCTAATCGCCCTGGAGGCCTTTCTTGGCCAGAATATTGCCCTACTCCGACCAAATGCTCTGGCTTGGCGATTTCAATCGCCACCACCCCATGTGGGAAGATATTCGTAATCGCCATCTATTTAATTATCATTTCTCTCAACCCCTTATTGACCTGATCGCTGATTATGGTATGCTACAGTTACTTCCGTGCGGCATCCCCACCCTCCAAGCCAATGCCACTGGCAATTGGACTCGCCCTGACAACGTCCTCGGCACTGAAGGCACTCTCGATGCCGTCATCACCTGCAATACCGAGCCAGCAAAACGGGGCCCTAAAATGGATCACCTCCCTATTTTATTAACACTCGAACTTGCAGTCGCTCGTCAGGATGACGTCCCTCGTCCCAATTGGCGCGAGGTCGATTGGGAAGCATTTAGAGAAGCCCTCAGCGCCACGCTCGCATCCACCCCTCCACTACCGCTCGCCTCGGAGGCAGAATTCCAGCAAATGGCCAGAATCGTCACACGAGCCATCACGTCCACCGCTGAAGCCTGCGTCCCATTGGCCAAACCCTGCCCACACTCCAAGCGGTGGTGGACCCGTACCCTCTCCGACTTGCGCAAGCAAGTCGCGAAACTCAGTCGCAAGTCCCACCAGATGCGTGGCCTTCAAGACCATCCATGCCACCGGGAATACAAGGCCCTCAAAAACCGTTACGCTGATGAAATTGCCGCCACCAAGAAACAGCACTGGGAGGAGTGGTTAGAGGATATCGAGGGTAACGATCTTTGGACCGCTAACCGCTACGTTTCCGCTACCCCGAGCGATGGGGGGAAATTGCGCATACCCTCCCTCATCGCCAAGAGACCAGACGGCACCAATTTCAAGGCTACCACTAACGCCGAAAAGAGTGCTGTCATCGCCGAAGCCTTCTTCCCTCCTCCTCCTCTTACTGATTCAATCCCTACTGACTTCATTTACCCTGACCCCGTAGCCCCCCACTCTCCCATCTCACACGACCAGATAACTCGCGCCATCTCGAAACTCAGCGGGTATAAGGCCCCGGGGCCTGATGGCATCCGCAATATTGTATTCAAGAACTGTTCTGACATACTGACTCCATACCTAGTTCATCTTTTTAATGCCGTCTTCACTTACAACACATATTATGCCCCTTGGAAGACATTCACAACGGTTGTACTTCGGAAACCCGGCAAACCGAATTACACGGTCCCTAAAGCCTATCGTCCCATCGCCCTCCTTAACACCACATGCAAGCTCCTTACCGCCGTGGTTGCCGAACAGCTGACGTACTTATTAGAACACCATCACCTTCTGCCGAACACCCATTTCGGTGGCCGACCAGGAAGATCCACTACTGACTCTCTTCACCTTCTGGAACACACCATCAAAAATGCGTGGCGTTCTCATAAAGTTGCCTCGGTGCTATTCTTAGACATCGAGGGGGCCTTCCCGAACGCGGTCACCAAACGGCTGTTACACAACATGCGGAATCGATGCTTGCCCTCAGCATTGGTCGACTTCACGGAGCAGGTCCTCACGGACCGCAAGACGCAGCTACACTTCGACGGGTACACTTCAGACTGGATCGACATCAATAATGGTATAGGACAGGGCGATCCCCTTTCAATGATTTTATATATTATATATAGTGCTGATCTTGTAGACATTGCGAAACCCCGACATGGACGCGCGTCCCTTACCGAACTAACCCTTGCTTTTGTAGACGACACGGCCCTAGTGGCCATAGGTAAGGATTTCCACGAGACTCACTGCGTCCTCAAGGACATGCTCGAACGACGGAATGGGGCCTTCGACTGGTCACGAGACCACAACTCAAAATTCAAGACTAACAAATTCGCACTGATTGATTTCTCCATGAACAGACAAAGAGAGCGCCCTGTGTTGCATCTCCGAGGCGCCGTTATTCGTCCTTCTCCCACTCATCGTTTCTTAGGTGTCATTCTCGATCAGGAGTTAAGATGGAAAGCTCAGGTTGACAACGCGCTGGCCAAGGGATTAGCTTATGTTCTACAGCTTCGACGACTTTCCACCATGTCTAAAGGCATCCCACTTCGTCTCATGAGGCAGCTTTACCAAGCCACCGCCGTCCCCAAGATGCTATACGCGGCTGACCTTGGTTTACACCAGCATATCGTGAAGGCACTAGCACCCTGCAGCGAGGATCCCTAGGAGTGGCCAAAAAACTCACCTCTATCCAGCGCATCGCTGCCATTGCCATGACCGGGGCTATGCGCAGCACTGCTACTGACGTGCTCGAAGTACATGCTAATCTCCTGCCGATGGCCCTATTGCTCCAGAACACGTGCCATCAGGCTATCATCCGAATGTCCACACACCCTGATACTCATCCTCTCTACACTGCAGTCAGAACCGCCGCTAGTCATTATGTTTCGTCCCATCGCTCCTCCCTCCATCGTCTCACCCGATTTTACCAAATCAACCCCTCCGACATTGAAACCCTCATCCCAGCTCGTCGTGCACCCACCTCCTCCAATCTCTATGATACGCACATTGCTGCCTCCCGCGAAGACGCTATCAACGAACATCACGACCTACCAGACGACATTCAAGTTTTCAGCGACGGCTCCGGACATGATGGCCATATAGGCGCCGCAGCCATTCTATTCCGTGCAGGCAAAACCCCATGCACTCTGCGCTATTACCTAGGCAAGAACGAAGATCACACTGTATTTGAAGCCAAAATGGTCGGCCTGACCCTAGCCGCCAAACTGATCGCCACTGAACGAGATCTCACGTTCCCTATCTCCATCTCCGTCGACAACCAGGCAGCCATCTTATCCGGTGAGAGCTTTTACTCTAATCCAGGTTCATATCTAGCAATGAAATTTCAGAATCTCCTACGAAAGATCAAACGCGCAAACCCAGGTCTCAAACTAACGCTCCGCTGGGTCCCAGGACATGAGGGGGTACACGGGAATGAGGAGGCAGACAAAGCAGCGAAAGTAGCGGCTGAGGGAAGGAACCGCAATAGCCCTCGTGAGCTTCTCCCCAAATACCTTCGTAACAATACACTGCCGCTCAGCCTCTCAGCTATCAAGCAAGCCTATCGAGAACGCACGCACGCCAAGTGGGCCGACCTATGGTCCACCTCCCCCCACTTCCAACATATCCAACATATAGACCCCTCTGCCATCAAACGCTCATTTCTCAAGCTCACCTCGTCATTCTCTAAACGTCTCACTGGTCTCATCATTGGCCTACGCACCTGTCACCTACCACTCAACCAACACCTGTTCCGACTCACGAAAACCGACTCTCCCGATTGTCCTCATTGCCCATACATTGATGAAACTGTCCCTCACTATCTATTTGAATGCCCGCATTATCTCGCAGCTCGTCAAGTCATGTCCCAGGCCCTGGGACGGAAATCCACCTCGTTATCGCACATCCTAACCGACCCAGAAGCCATTGTCATCCTTGTCCGATATGTTAACCAAACTCATCGATTAAAATCCACGCTAGGTGAAATCTCGCTACCTAAAACCTGACCTTTCTGACGCACCCTAATATCCAGCTACTACTCTACTGTCACTTGACTCCCTCCATAATATCATATCCTCCCCTAATCTCAACCCTAACAGCTCGCCTACACGAGATCTTCGGTCTCACCTTGGGGATTCAGCCAGCAAGACACGGATATAGGACTCCCCGACACCTTGGACCACCTGTCTCTCAGTCCATCTAGGAAGCGCACCCCAGTTTCTATGTCTCCTCGATTCTTATATCCACCTTACTCTTACTGCACACTCCAACTGATCTCTGTTTGGCTCGCGAAAGCGACCGAGCATGTGTTATACGTTTACCAATAGCCTCTACACAAGCAATCTTACTTATAGTCATCCCATAGTGTACCACATCGCCCATCTAAAACGGCCAGCGGGAACAGCGGACTGGTGGGGTACACCTTACACCAGGGCATTTGGGGATGTAACGACGGGACAGAGCATGGGGCTCCCTGACTAGACAGTACTGTCCTACATAGAGTATATCTCTCAATGGACAAAAAATTGGATCAAAAAAAAAAAAAAAAAAAAAATGTGGAGACCATAAGATAGATACCACCAAGCTAGAGTCAAATTGCTACTCAGCAACTATAATGGATGCGAAGTAGAGAATGCTTACCTCTAGGTCATCCGAGCCACCATCAAAACCTTCATATTCAGTCCATGGAATCATATATATCTGGTCTGGCACTATAAACACTTTCAGCGCAATAAAATATCACCTTAACCATAACTACGAACAAAGACTCGGAACGGTTGCGTTAAGTACAAAAGAATCAGGCCCGGTCGGAAAGCTTGCCGTGCTGGTATTTGCAGAATATGTCACATTTGGAATCAATCCACAACTCGAGGTTAATGTTGTTGTGTTCACAGACACAAATCCCATTGTATCATACAGTGGTGGCCCAGGAATGACGTCGTAGAGTGTGATGTTTAATAATCCTGCAGACGCCAGTCCAGTCAAATCATTGACCACTGGTAGGGATGAAGCAATGGGCCCCAAGTTTGTGGAATTGCCGTACGATGAATCGTCTGGCCATCCTAGTGTTGTGGCCATAAGATCATAACCACCAAAATTCAAGTCGAAGGTTTGGAATTGTAGGAGAGTGGAGGAAGTGACATGTAGCACGGTAATGCTTGTAAGGTAGACTGCCACAGCAGAAGTCGTCCACCAGGAGGCGGGGGTGTCAGTTTGTCGCCAAACACTGTTGAGTGCAGAGCCAAGGCCTGCCCATGCGCCAGAAATATCGTGAATGGCAGTCAGTTTTACACGACGTACGAGTGTTCTCGAAATCGAAAGCCGTTGAGTAAGGAAGAGCAGAACAGCCGTGTATATCTGAATAGTCATATCATTGGCGTATTGTTAGGATAACGGTGAACATTGTTGATACGTACAGTATAAAACGCTTGCAATGATGCACTAAGCACCACAGGCCAGATGTTGTTTGTTGATGCGAAAGAGAAAGTTATGCGGTGTTCCAAGTGATGGAAAGAAAAGATCAAAAGGACAATGTGAATCATGACCAGCATGCCATGTAGGATGTAACATGCACGTCGAGCAAACAATCCATGACGCATATTTTCTTGAAGCATTTTTCGAGCGAGCCAGTCCGCTGACGGGGGAGATGTGCTAGTAGTGATGATACACAAGTCCTCGACGTACCAAGTATCAACAACGCACGTGAGTGCACTGCTATAATTCATCAGCTTTGTTGATCGGATGCTTCCGAGGCGAGACAACCTGTACGTACTAATTGTAGTCAATTCGTAGTTGACTTGTAGTACTCACCTTCTACCAAACCATCGGCAGAGAGTCTACATCCCACACAAACCAAATACTAATTCAAACGCCGCAACTTTGGACAGTGGACACACAGATCCTTCAACGAGTACAGCTACTCAGGCTGTTAATAGATCTTTACGCTAGGCGAGGCTAACATCGACAAGGAGCTCATCTCACTTCAAGACAAAGGTTTGTTATCCACGACAGTAAAGTACCTGCCTGCAACACAATATATTCCAGCGTTCAACTTTGCACGTTCCCCTTGCTCTGCCGCGGCATCTATCACTATTGCCAACTTCCTACTGCCGTACTCTAGCGTTCTTGAAACCATTTCTATCTACGACTAACCACATCTGTCTTGAATATTCACTCTTCTTGACATGCTTTCCTCTCTTCATTATTGTTTGGTGTATCTTCTATATGATTTTTAGACTGCGCGCTAGACGTAGCTATGGTATCCATCATATGGCATGGATGTATCCTTCTATAGAGTTGTTGGATTTTATCAAGTACGTATTGTGTTGTGTAATCAAATGGCTGTCACGTCGAGCACAGTGAACGGCGGAGCTCAGATGGCACACATAAATCATGTTGGAAATCGTACTAATGACAGAGGGTTGTTGGCGAATATACAGAAGTACTAGTACAGCAGTTTATAACTACAGCCAACAGCGACGACAACGATAATGAACGAACGAAAGAACTTGAGGGTATGAAACAACATTCCCGGATGTGAAAATATTCTAAACTCAAATATTCTAGGAGGCTCCCACGACATACAGAGGCGCGGGCGGTATCCTCTCTCAAAGATCCAAGATACCTGTTGACTGCACTCCAACTTGGACTACATCTGTTAGTATGAACTTGGTCGACACAAGGGAGCCAGGCGGAAATGATGCGAGCGAGAGTTTCAGCATCTGCTATTTGAAACTTGGATTTCTCCAAATTCAATGATCGTAGGGAGGTATGCTGGATTGGCTCGGCATCAGGATCGACGTCGATAGTTGCAAGATTGACTGCAACTTGTAGTGTATGCAATTGTGGACATAGACCAAGTGCTGTGAGTAACCCACGGAGGGTGACTTCGGAAAAAGATTTTTCGAATTCGAGCCTCAGAGTGCGTATGTGAGGCCAGTTAGACATAGCCTGCAAGAACATGTCATTGTCCGGGTAGATGGAGAATTTCTTAAATATGAGCGTCAGGGTTCGGAGCTGTGTAAAGCAAAGGAGATGCGGAATTGGTGTCAAAAACTCGTCGTATTCGGGTCCCATGAAGTCGTTATCATAGGAAAAAATGGAGATTTCTTCTAGAGTCCGACATGCATTGCAGTGGGACAGAGCATGAAAAAGTTGCTCGGCCTCTTCTGAAGACAGAAATTCGGCTCGAAACTCGAACTCTTTCAGCGAGGGAAATTGTGAATGTTGCATGACTGTAATGATGTCTGCAGCATCGTACAGCTGTCGAAAGGAAAGGCTTGTGATGTTAAGGAATGATAAATTCACGATATCTTGTTTTGGCAGCGAAGGAGGGTCAATACATCCTTCTTCAATTTCCAATTTGAGAAGGGTAGGGAGGCAGGAGAGGTGCTTCCATGCTGACCAGTCGAGCATTGGACAAGAAAGAGTTACAAGCCGCGTGCACCAATGAATCCTATCGGATAGCAAGGACAGTTCACCTGCTGCCATGCCGTCATCATCGCTTAGAGGAGAGTAGATGCATAAATGCTCCATAGCAATGCAGCGTGTCACAAAAGACTGCAGACCCTCGTCGACGCTCAATAGATGACATCGGTGCAGCATACAAGGCAGAAAGAGGTTCAAATATGTGCTGGAAATGCTTAATGACTTCAGCTTCGGAAATACGCATGCCCCGGCAGGGATGACAGAGAGAAGGTGCGGATGTTCAGATTTTATGTTCAACGTGCGTATACGGGAGGAGTGACGCAGAAATTGATGGGACTCATGGGCAGATAATGGCTCAACACCTTTCGCCCAGGGCTTGTCCGAGTCATCCCACTATTATGTAGACGCTCGGTGAGCCGAAAAGAAACAAACAAAACGTAATGAAGTCGTGCACTGACCCTTGTACCATCCTCATATATCAGTGGATGTAGCCTCGCTACACAGCCTAGCAGTGGTTCTAGCCCATGGATTTCAGTCCACAGCAAATTCATCGCAGGCTCGTGGAAGATTTTGCATGTCCTTGCAAGCGCTGCAAGCAATTTCTGGGTCGATGTTGTTTGAGTAGATGGTATTATATTCACATAGGCGAATATCTCCAGGAGGACTTCGGGAACAAGTAAAGCCTGATGCATCACTGCGGTACGGTAGAGTCAGGATTCAAAACTAGGTTTCATATCAATCTAAAAACATTGCCCACGTGGGACCAATGGGGGTTGTTACCTCCTATTTTCATAATTCCAGTAAAGATGTCGATGTGGGCTATATACACGTACTAGTATCGATACAATTTATTGCCGAAAATATTATAAGTCAGGTGTTGGGTGGATGAGAGCTGCACACATCTTGTAAGCAACGACGCAGACTGATTAACGCCAAGACCAATCATGAAAAGACCCAGAGTTCGGCTCAAGTTCTAAATCAAGCGTATATATTGCATGCGTCCGGTCGAAGTGCACACCACTGCGGCTGGAGTGGGATAGCATTGATGCCACGATGTGCGAACTTTGATGTAAATCTAGGGAGGTTTGGTGTGCGTGATCGCTCATGAGTTGGAGACCAATATCATGCATTATGAGGTATAGTCCTGTAGCATAAATAACCAGCGCTCAGCACCCCTCTATTCTCCAACCCAAATCGTCACGATGGTGGTTGACCTCGTAAGAGAAACTATCGCTGACAGTTGAATTCCCTAGCTATCCTTCGTCGTGTATCATATTTGAAAAACAAACATATATCATGCCTGCTCGCCGCAGATTGGCCTCCGTCGGATGCTGTACGTCTTCCAGTACTTCGTTGATAGGTGCTGAACAATGACCCAACCACAAGAGTTGCAGTACACCTATATCTGGGATAGCAGCCTGAGTGTCGTGCGATCCATCGAATGCTCGGGTCATGTGTAGTGCCAGTCCCAACATGATCACCGACGCAGGCGCCGCAAAAGCCAACTAGGATCATTAGCGATTAATAGACATCTCATATACCACCATGAACTCACAGGAAGTAGGTTGATGTACAATACTTCATCAGTCGATTAAAAACAGCATCCGTGCAATTTACTTACATTGAGGCGTAGGGTAATGAACTCCTCATGAACATAGGCTGTCCCATTACTAGGATCAACTCCTCCATTCGCCGTGCCCAGTTGTCCCGCTAAGCGCGTATCACAGAATGAGTAAGAACAGGATAATGCTTAAAAATATCCCTGACCTAGCCAGACGAGTTGTGCGGCTGCTTTTGCAACCGCAAATTCTAGTTCATCCGGTCTCAAAGTGAAATTAGAAATCGGAAGAGCACCGCCATATTGGGATTGTAGATATTCATAGGTGAGATTCAAGCCTACCAACGACATGATATACCTAGAAATCAAACCGTACGTAAGATATGCGTCAGTGCAATCAAGGAAAGTTTTTGGCCTACTCGTCCGCAACAGACAGCTCAATGATTTGTGAAAGTGTACCATCAAATATGATCCCGCTGGTGCTGTCCGGAGTAGCCAAAGCACTGCCGATCTAAAATTGACAGCATATCATTGGGTTTTGAAAACCCTTCAAGATGAACACTGTATAACGCACTTGTGTTTGCCAGCTAGTATTCGACCACTCGAATTGATTCATCTCCCACTGAGTGGATGGCTGCGATATGAATGTGGGATTCAGTAAGCTGTTGGTTTGCATGTCGACTATTCCATTTGTAGTGTTGGTTGATAGCGAGCATTGTATAAATAGACAGAGACGACATAGTCAGTGACACATCGGGGACTCTAATATTTAGGATAGGTCAAAATGTTGTATTTTTTGCTTTTAACTTGAAGTTTAAGCCACCCAAAGGCATTTAAGTGTGGTTTAAATGTTGTCCTAAATATTTCAAACCCCGATGTGTGATAGGAAGAGCTACAAAAGGTTCTGTAATTATGATTGCAGGACAAACAAACAAACGCACACGGATATGCCCAAGTCTGGTTTACAGCGACATTGTCTTGTACTGAAGGGTCAATATCCAATAATGTGGAGACCATAAGATACACACCATTAAGCTAGTGTAAGGATCGCACATCCTCTACACCCCGACCACATCTTCAAATCAAGGTTCAAGGACGCAAGTCCAGAACCATCCACGTGACTCATGGATGCGAAGAAGCGTGTCACAACCCAATAACGAATTAACGCTGGGCAGAGACTAGGACTCAAACGAAGGTTGTCAGACAAGAGGGACAATGAGCAAGTACGTCTTGGATTGCTACAGTTGTAGATACAAGAGGTTTGAACTAAAGAACTATCGACCAAGACATGCTACCTATATACAACTATTGAGACGGAGATTGAAACTGAGTTACAACTACTAGCCAATCATAAAAAGAGAAAGGGAATCGTACCATAGAACATCGTAGAATATTAAAGAAGCATCACGTGACCATATCTTATCTTATCGTATCTAATCTAATCTATTCACAATCAAAGAACTCGTCTTCTTCATCAGTCACATCGAAGACACGTGTTGTGGGCGCTAAAGGTATTTCGGGAATGATAGACGCTTTCAAGGTAGGGTTAGGGTTTGAGCTTAGGCGCTGTGTATTGGCGCTTAGGAAGATTCAGGAAAGAATAATGGTTTGTTAAAGGTACTCGTGACATTACCCCCTCTCTAAGGTGAGTGTCATCACGAACGAATGAAGGTCGGATATTCTTTTCTCTCCATCGTTTGAAATCTTCCGTAAACAGTACTGAGCCTTTGATTCTTCGGTATTTTCCGGCTGCAGCCGTGGGATTTTTCTTATGGAACTCCGCTAAAGGAATTGGAGCGTTCTTCAAATTCTCTTCTGGCTCCCAAGATGACTCTTCCTTCGGGTATCCTTCCCATTTCACTAGGTATTGCAGCTTTCCTCGGAACAATCGGCTATCTAGTACTTCTTCTACAGCAAATTCTTCCCGATCGTCAATCAATTCTGGAGGTGGTCGGTTGGGAGGAGGATGAGGAATCTAATCGAGATGCGTGATATGGCGTAAGCAATTCTACATGGAAAACCGGGTGGATCTGATATTTTTCCGGTAATTTCAACTTGTAGTTCACTTCACCGATCTTCTCTAGTATTTCGAAGGGACCTAGACGACGATCTGACAGCTTTTGACTCGGACGACGTTGTTTAAGATTCTTTGCGTCAAGCCAGACCTTGTCTCCTATCTTATACTGAGGTGCTTCTTTTACTCCTTTGTCGTAGAAACAGCTTCATGCGCTCATTGACCATCTTAAGAGTATTTTCGGCATCATCTCTCGCTTCTTTCATTTGATCAATTCTCTCATCGGCGGCGGGATTACGGACATAGAGTTTGGATGAATCGTGAAATCTGGGTTATACCCGTAGAGAACTTTAAACGGACTGTGACCGGTTACTGTGACTGCATTGTTATGTGAAAACTCTGCTATCGGCAGCCAAGATACCCAATCATTCTGTCTGTATGACGTGAACATGCGCAAGTATTGTTCGACTTCTTGGTTTACGCGTTCAGTCTGTCCATCGGTTCTGGGATGATAGGAGGTCGACGCAGACCATTTCGTTCCTAATCTTTTTGACATTTGTCCCATGAACTTCGATATGAACTGAGTTCCTCTATCTGAGATCACTTTCTTTCGGTGTTCCATGATGTTTCCATACATTTTTCAGAAATAGCTCGGAAATACCCTTCGAGTCTACGTCTTTGGTGGTGGGAATGAAGTGTGCTTGTTTCGAAAATCGATCAACGACTACAAAAATGCTATCACACCCTTCACTCTTCGGCAAATCCACTATTAGGTCACAGGTGATTGTCTGCCAAGGTCCTTCTGGAACTTCATTTGGCTGTAAAGGCCCCGTTGGTCTACTCGGAAGCACTTTCGTTTGTTTGCACCTATCGCAACCATCTACGTAATCGTGGACATACTTCGTCATTGAAGGCCACCAATAGTTTCTGGAAATCAATTCTAAGGTCTTAGCTCGTCCAGGATGTCCAGCCGGTGGAGAAGTCGTGAAACAACTCCAATATTTCTCGGCGGATCTCTTTGTCATTTGGAACGTAAACTAATCCTCGGAATAACACCAATCCATCCTCCACATTCCACTCTTCGATTCCTCTACGCAATTGAACCGGTGCTGCTTTTAGCGTTTCTAATGCTTTAGCGACTTCAGGCTCTCGTTCTGTGCATTTTCGTATCTTTTGGAGTAATTGTTTTTCTCCATGCACCAAAACTTGACCTCTTTTAGCAGCTTTTACGGTAAAGAATTCCGGTTTCAAAAGGATGCGATCTGAGTTATCGTTTTCTACCCCCCCTCTATGGTCTGATCTCCGAGAAAGACGGTCTGCTTTGTCATTAACCACACCAGGCTTGTGTTGGAGTGTAAATTCGTACTCCGCTAGGAAAAGACTCCATCTAGCTTGCCTTCTGGTCAACTTTTGACTCGTCATGAAATATTCAAGGTTCTTATGATCTGTCCATATTTCAACCGGGTGAGGTGCTCCCTGCACATAGTGCCTCCACTCCTCCAATGCTCTAATGATCGCTAACAACTCCTTATCATGAATGTCATAATTTCTTTCCGCATCATTCATTGACTTAGAGTAATATGCTACTGGATGCCATAATCCATCTTCCATCAGTTGAGAGAGAACCGCTCCTGTTGCGTAATCTGAAGCATCGGTCTCTATTTTCTTTTTCTTCTCAACATCTGGCATGACTAAAACGGGAGCTTCTGTGAAACGTTTCTTAAGTTCATCAAAAGCTTTTTGTTGTTTCTCCGTCCAGTCCCATTTGACATCTTTTCTTAGCAGATCATTCATTGGTCTGGCTATATCTGAGAACCCAAGTATGAATCTTCGATAGAAGTTGGCAAAGCCCATGAATGCTTGGATATCTTTCACGCATTTGGGAACAGGCCATTTCAATACTCCTTCTACTTTCACAGGGTCCATCGACACATTGCCTTCTTCCACAATCAACCCGAGGAATTCGACTTTAGACTTGTTCGAAGCTACATTTCTCAGGCTTCAAGAACAGGTCATTCTCCTTTAATCGTTTCAGGACTTCTCGTACCACCTTTCGGTGCTGCTCCCTATTTCCATTCGTAAAGACCATTATATCATCAATATAGACGACTACTGTTTTGCCATCTATTAGGTCTCTTAGAATTTCATTCATCATAGTTTGGAAGGTTGCAGGCGAGTTCGTGAGTCCAAAATACATCACGGTCGGTTCGTGGTGACCAAACGGCGTTTTGAAGGCCGCCTTCCACTCATCTCCTTCTTTCATGCGAATGTTATTGTATCCCCATCGTACATCCATTTTGGAGTACATCGTGGCACCGGTTAAAGCGTCAATTAGATCTTGAGATCTCGGTAGCGGATATGCATTTTTCACCGTTTTCTCATTGAGCTTTCTATAGTCCATTACCGGTCTTAACTTGCCATCTTTTTTGGCCACAAAGAAGAAAGGTGCTGCTACTGGAGATTGTGAATTTCTGATACGTCCCAGTGCAGTCTCGGTTTTCAACCATTCTTTCAATGTATCCATCTCTTTGGGTGATAACGGATAAGGTTTCGCATTTGGCGGAAGATCGCCCTCATCTTTAAGATCTATCGCATGATCCCACTTCTTTCTTTCAGGAAAGCGCTTAGATTCTTCTTCTGAGAAAACTCCCAGGTAATCGTGAAGCCAGTCAGGTACCATTTCTTCTACCGACTGCTTCTTCTTAGTAGCTTCTTCTGCTACTTTCTGCTCCGTGGCAACTGAGGCTTTATAACGAATCCATAGTCTCTCTGGACTCTCTTCGTCTTCTATTTCCTCAACCGTCGCCCTTTTCATCGACATATCTTCTTCATCCTCGTCTTCATCGTCCGTAGGAATCAGATCAGGTACATCATCTATCTTTTTTTGTTCTTTTTCTTTTTCTTTCTTTTTTTGTCTTTTTTCTTTTTTAGTTTCACATTTTACAGGGCATCGAGACAGTGCAAATCGTCCTGCATTCCAGTCAATCTCTGGATTATGATATCTCAGCCAATCTATGCCGATAATAACATCATCGCTTCCTAAGTCTGTAACCATGAAGGCTGCTTTCTCTTCTTCATGATCACCAATCTTTAGACCTAGTTCTGCAAAATGAGTCATTGATCCAGCGGCATTTAGCGATCCATCAATGTTCCTGACTGAAATAGGCCTTAATAATTTACGGCATTTCACACTGTTCTTCTCGACAAACTTCTCACTGATAAATAATGTTGATGCACCGCAATCCACAAGTGCTTTTACGTCTGCTTGTTGGTTCTTTCCTTTCAACGTTATCGGAATATAAAAATGCTCAGATTTGGATCTAATATGTACTTCTGATACATCTTGAAACGTAGATAGGAATAGAGAAACGATTGTTCGGGTCTAGGTCTGCAGACTTTGACTTCAACCCCTTTAAAAATCCTTGCCTTTGTTAGAAGCGATCCAATCTGTGAACCACTTCGGCGCGGAGTTTTCTTCGACAACTGCAGCCGCTTTGACTTGCGCTTTTGGCGCACCTTTACAGTTTCCTTGCTATGTGGCCTTGTTCTCCACAGCGGTAGCAGGTGAAAGCGCCAGGCTTTCCTTGGGGTTTGGGAGATCCCCTCTGCTTGCCAGAGTCCACGTCCATAGCGTCACTGTCTTTGCTAGGACCAGCCTGCCTTGGGTTATTGAAGGTTCTTGGGGTTTCCTTGTTAGGAGTCCACCAATTACTCTTCTTCTTCTCAGCGTCTAGCTCTTCGTAGTTACGTCCAATCTGTATGGAGTAGTCGATGAGCTTCTTGAGGGTGTCTTTCTCAGACGCTGCAATATGAGCGAGTTGCTCTTTGATCCGGGTTTGTAGGCCAGATCGGAATTTGAGGCGGAGGTCGTAGTCGGAGTATTTAGTGAGTGCAGCCTTCTGCTTGAAAGCTGCTGCGTATTCGGGCACTGATGAAGATCCTTGCTTCAGGGTTTCCAACTCCCTGATAGCTTTTCCTTCTCTGTCGTCTTGGCCCCACATGGTCTCGAATTCTTTCGTCCAATCCTCAAAGGATATTGGCTTGGAATCAAGCTCAATGACATATTTCTGCGCCCATTTAGCAGCAGATCCTTTAAGGAAAGACAGGGCAGTTGTGATTTTCTGCCTGTCTGTGATCAACGGCCACTGTGACATATATAATGCCAACTGAGTGGTGTAGACTTCTATGGAGATCGAATCTTTGTCTCCTGTGAATTCTGTGGGCTTCGACAATTTGACTTGCGAAGTATTTGGGGATTGTGCGAATCTCTCCAGCTTCTTCTTCAGTTCCTCTATTTGTGCGTTTTGGGTTCTGAGTTGAAGCTCTTGAGTCGCATTCTGTGCTCGAAGAGTATTGTTGTGGTTAAGGAGTTCTTGTGTCCTTACGTACAGTTCGTGTGTTGCCATTTGAATAGCATTCTGTACGTAGTTGGTGAACTCTATTGGCATAGCAATGCCTTGTGGTCCCGGTTCCTCTTGGGGTTCTTGAGGGTTCTCCGGTCCCATTTCTGTTTCGTTGACTTCAGCCATAGTGCCAGGTGCGTTCTGGAATCCGATTCACTAATGACTGTTGAAGAGCGAGTCGTAACGGCTCTTCCGGATAGGAAAGATGGTGAAAGGGGAGAGGGAAAAAGGATACGTAAATGGAAAGCTAAAGGGGTCCCCAGTACTAACTGGATCAACCTCGTCCTTTAGGGTCAAAGGGTTCTTTAATCAACCCGACTGACACTTCCCTAATTACTAACTAAAAAGGAGTACGTAAAGCTACGCTTTGTTAAGTGGGAAAAACACTGTGTGCTTCGTGTGTGCTACTTCTCAGTCACCGAAAGGGTACAGGTCTAGGACAAGTTATCACTCTTCCAGCCAAAGCTTACAAGTGCGAGTCTCACTAGAATCCCGTATCTAAATCCTCGTGGTAACAATGGTAGGACTATCCGCAGATGCGACAGTTCCACTAGACTTAACGAAAGGTTCTACGTATGTATGAAGAAAGGTGTAGGTATGAAAGCAACTATAGTAACGTTGAGCAGGCAGGGTCTTGGGCCAGCACTCAAAGTTGTAGCGAGACGCCTAATGTCGTCAACACCTCCGTATACTGGCGGCTGCAATGTAAGGCAGGGCCTGGTATAGGACTACTAACTACTAAAGGCTATTCGTGAAAAGCTCAAGTGAGCAAAAGGATGGGTTTCAGAAAATGTGATCGCGACTGTTTAGGTCGGGCAATGGAAAACGTGTAATGATGATGAGAGATGTGCGAGCGGTGTGCAAAGAGTCGGAGTCTCCTATAGTTCAAACCTAATGTCACAACCCAATAACGAATTAACGCTGGGCAGAGACTAGGACTCAAACGAAGGTTGTCAGACAAGAGGGACAATGAGCAAGTACGTCTTGGATTGCTACAGTTGTAGATACAAGAGGTTTGAACTAAAGAACTATCGACCAAGACATGCTACCTATATACAACTATTGAGACGGAGATTGAAACTGAGTTACAACTACTAGCCAATCATAAAAAGAGAAAGGGAATCGTACCATAGAACATCGTAGAATATTAAAGAAGCATCACGTGACCATATCTTATCTTATCGTATCTAATCTAATCTATTCACAATCAAAGAACTCGTCTTCTTCATCAGTCACATCGAAGACACGTGTTGTGGGCGCTAAAGGTATTTCGGGAATGATAGACGCTTTCAAGGTAGGGTTAGGGTTAAGCTTAGGTGCTGTATATTGGCGTTTAGGAAGATTCAGGAAAGAATAATGGTTTGTTAAAGGTACTCGTGACAAAGCGCATGCTTTGCATCCGAGTTATGCGGACACATTCCTTTTTCCTTAACCCTTACTCTCTCGTTACTCTCAACGACCAGCTCACTCCCTTTTACCCTCATTCATACTATACCCTGGAATTATCACCAAACTATTTCTTGTCACTCCCTTTTAGTTTCATTCCTTCGCCCAAAAGCAGTCAGATACCCAACGATTCTCGTCATTCCTGTGCACGGCGAGCTACCTAATACCACCTCCATTCAAAAACTGTCATACTCTCACTCATTCCCGCTACTCTACCCTGGCAGGCTCAGCGCCACCATTCTCCGTTTCACATAACTCTCGTTTTCCGTAACGTCAAGGACCCTTTTTACCTTACAACTTAAAATACACCATGTACATTGACAAGAGGCAGTCTTTTGCCCTCCCGCTAGATTCACGCACTCAGTCCGTCAGCAAAGTCCTCTCGTTCTAAGCACAATCCGTCTCGTCGAAACTCTATTCATTTAAAAAGCACGATCTCTTCTACTCTCATTTAAGTACGACAATCCTCGTCGGACTCACTATCAGCCTTACACTAGAGTCAATTTTTACTCAGTTTCTATAGTCCTATTTCGGAGAACACTTACCTCCGGGACTTCACTGTAAGGATCTTCATATTCTACCCACGGAACCATATGTATCTGGTCTGGCCCTGTAGACGTTCTCAGCGTGATAAAACATTATCTCAATCGCAACCACTGACAGAGAGCACTCGCATTAAACACGTGAGAAGCAACTGGCCCAAATGGAACGATAGCTGTGCTGGTATTCGCAAAGTATGTCACATTTGGAATCAATCCGCAACGCGAGGTTATCGTCGTCGCATTCACAGTCGCATTTCCTGCTATAGTGTTTGTGTTGAAGGTGTCGTAGAGTGTGGTGTTTGATAATCCTGCAGATGCCAGTCCATTCAAATGATTGACAATCGGCAGTGATGGAGTAATAAATCCCAGGTTTGCGAAAGAACCATAAGATGAATCGTTTAGCCATCCTAGTGTTGTTGGCACGGAAGTCGTCATAGAGATGTTGGAAAGGTTGAAATTGTAGGAGAGTGGAAGAGGTGACATGCAGCACGGTTATGCTCACAAGGTAGGCTGCCACAGCAGAAGTCATCCACCATGCAGCGGGGACGTCAGTTTGTCGCCAGACGCTGCTGAGTGCAGAGCCAAGACCCGCCCATGCGCCAGAGACATCATGAATGGCAGTCAGTTTCACATGGCATACAAGTGTTCTCGAAATTGCAAGCTGTTGGGTAAGGAAGAGCAGAACCGCTGTGTATATCTAGATAGTCATATGGTTGGTGTATAGTTAGGATGACAGTCATGGTGGACACTGGATACGTACAGTATAAAACGCTTGCAGTGAGGCACTAAGCATGACAGGCCAGAAATTGTTGTTTGTTGGTGTGAATGAGAGTGTCACGCGGTGTTCCCAGTGACGAACATAAATGATAAGAAGTACAGCGTGTATCATGACCAGCATGCCATGCAGGATGTAACATGTGCGTGAAGATAATGACCTATCGCTTGTGGTCGATATAAACCAAGGACCTAATGGCATATTAAGTATCAGTAAGGCACTGAGTGAGTTGAGATGAACACTGGCAGGGTATGATAAAGTCTCCAGTAGTCAGACCTTTCTCTATTATAGGTGGACCGTCGGGTGGGGTATGCTACATGATGCGTGTAGTTACAACGTTGTGGAAAGCAATTCCCGCTTACTTTCCAATTTCGTCTCCCCTTTCTTTTTCGCCTTAAATAGTAATTAATTAGCTTTGTTGATCGCGGATTCGGATGCTTCCGAGGCGAGAACTCCTACCTAGCAGTATGTACTTGTAGTCAACTTGTGGTTGACTTGTAGTACTCCAAATTCCACGTTCCACTATGGCTCGAACGCTCGTGCACATGGTCCAAACCGTCTGATCAGTCAAATAATCATCGTCGACTTCAATCACCTATTCCCCACTCCCGGTGATGCTGTACGGTGCGGCAGTAGTGAGTCATACTAATGTACCCATATTATATGATCCACATGCCATAGATTGTCCAGACTTCGGAACACCCTCCGTGTCGCATGTCGCACCCTGCTATAGAGAGGACAGCCACGACTGTGTCTACGATGCACCTGTCCGCTGGGTATATTTCCACACTCGACCTAGGGATAACGACTCTGCGTCTAAATCAAAACAACACCAGCCAATAACCACAGTACGGACCTCCGCAGTGTAAACCATAGAACAATGGATATACGAACCTACACATACAAAGCACAACCTCACCGGCCCTCCTTCCAAAAACGACCACCGAAGATCCCTCCAGAAATGTCCACCGAAGATCCCGCCCACTCCCACACACAACCCCAAATGCCATGTTGAAAGGCGAAGTTGCTAGAATAGGCGATGTGAGCTCTTTAAAACTCTGCGAGTCGGTGAGTCTTACATTATATTATGATACAAAATTCTATTACATTTAGACTGTCTAGACTCCGTGTCGCACGTCGCACCACTCCAATGTAGAGAGGACAACCATGATTGTATCTGCGGCGCACCTGTTTCCCTTCCGTACTACAGTTGAGCATATGAAGTTCAATACTTTGACCTTGCCAAAAACAACTCTGAATCCAAATCAAGAATAACACAACCAAAAACAAAAACAGCTACAGTGTGGAACCTCCGTAGCGTAAACACAAAGGGAATTTGATGGATAGAGCTAGGTAGGCTCGTACGTGAAAATTTTGAAGCTTGAAGCTCGAATGTGTCGACCAATTAGACACCCAAAATAAAGAAGCAGGCCAGCGCCATCTACATGATAACTTTGATATCTGTACTTAGTCCTCGTTAAATCGGAAAACGACACCAAAAACAAAGATGACCATAATACAGACCTCCGCACCAGAGCAATATGAACCATGGAAAGGCAAAGCATATAGTATAAATAAGCAGCGGTCCACCACCCTTTATTCTTAAATCCAAATCACATCACATCATCACGATCATGATAGTGGTCGGCATCGTAAGAGAGGATGTCGTTGGCAGTTGAACTCCCAGAATCTTCCTCATCGGATATTGTTTTCGTAAGACGAACATCTATCATACCTGCTCGTCGCAGATTGGCCTCCGTCGGATGCCGCACATCTTCCAGGGCTTCATTGATGGACGCTGAACGATGACCCAACCACAAGAGTTGCAGTACACCTATGTCTGGGATAGCAGCCTGAGTGTCGTGTGATCCATCGAATGCTCGGGTTATATGGAGTGCCAGTCCCAACATGATCATCGATGCAGAGGCCGCAAAAGCCAACTGGAATGGTTATCGATGAATAGTCATCGCATATATACCACCACGAACTCACGGGAAGTAGGTTGATCTACAATGCTTCATCGGTCAATTAAAAAAAGCATCTATGGAGTTCAATTACATTGAAGTGTAGGGCAATGAAGACCTCGTTGACATAGGCCATCCCATTGCCAGGGTCAATTCCTCCATTCCCTGTGCCCATTTGTCCCGCTAAGCGCGAATCATAGAGTGAGTAAGAACAGGTCGATGCCTAAACGTATCCCGTACCTAGCCAGATGAGTTGTGCAGCTGCTCGTGCGACCGCCAATTCTAGTTCATCTGGTCTCAAAGTAAAATTAGAGATCGAAGCAGGCCCGTCGTTTATGTATTGCATATACTCCTCGGTGAGATTCAAGCCTACCAGTGACATGATATACCTAGAAGTCAAGTCGTACTTGAGAATATAGTGCGCTCAAGAATTTTTTTTGGCCTACTCGTCCCCAAAAGTAGGATCGATAATTGGCTCGAAAAGAAAGTGGCTGCTGTTGTCCGGCGTAGCCAAAGCATTAAATATCTAAAATCGACATTATGTCATTGAACTTTCGTAACCCGTCGAAAAAGGCACCACATAACGCACGTTCGCTTGCCAAGCAGTAGTTGACCACTCGAATTGATATATTTCCCATTGCGTAGATGACTGTGGTATGGGCGTAGGACTAAGCAGATTGTTGGTTTGTGTGTCGACCATTCCGTCTGTAGTGTTGACTGACAGCGAGCATTGTATAAAATAGGTCTGGTTGACAATGTCAGAGTTAGAGAACCCCTCGACTTCGAAAGGATAAGCTGCAAAATGTTTTGTAATTATGAATCTTACAGTATAAACAAGCAAACGCACGATAGTAAGGCACAGTATCTATAGTGACCTCATATTGTACTGAAGGGTCGATTTCCAATAATGTGGAGACCATAAAACAGAGACCATTGAGCTAGATGCAATTTGTCACTCAGCTTCTACAGTCCGTGCGGACTATCTCGAAGAACGCTTACCCACGAGTTCCTATCGCCAATATTTACAATCGATGGAATTATATGTATCTGGTTTTGCCCTGCGGACGTTCTCAGCGTGATAAATCATCATCGCAATCAAAACACTAACCGATAGCGCTACTATTAAGCCAAAAAGGCATATTTGGCCCCAATGGAAAGGTCACCTCACTGCTATTCGCATAGTGCGTCACATTTGGAACCAATCCGCAACACGAAGTTACTGTCGTTGCGTTCACAGTTGCAATTCCTGTTATATCGTTTGCTTTGAGGGTGTCATAGAGTGTGGTGTTGGATAATCCTGGAAACGCCAGTCCAGTCAACTGATTGACAACTGGTAGGGATGAGGTGATCGTTGTCAGGTCTGTGGTCAAGTTGTTCCCAAAATTATTTGGCCACCCTAATGTTGTTGACGCCGAAGTCGTCGTCGAAGTATTGAAGGTTTGAAATTGTAGGAGAGTGGAAGAGGTGACATCCAGCACGGTTATGCTCACAAGGTAGGCTGCCACAGCAGAAGTCGTCCACCACGCGGCGGGGATGTCAGTTTGTCGCCAAACGCTGCTCAGTGCAGAGCCAAGGCCTGCCCATGCACCTGAGACGTCGTGAATGGCAGTCAGTTTCACCTGGCGCACGAGTATTCTCGAAATTGCAAGCCGTTGGGTTAGGAAGAGTAGAACAGCCGTATACACCTGGATAGTCGTATCATTGATATATTGTCAGGACAGTGAACATTAGACACGTACGGTATAAAACGCTTGCAGTGAGGCACTAAGCACGACAGGCCAGAAATCATTGTTTGTTGGCGTGAAAGAGAAGGTTACACGATGTTCCCAGCGGTGGACAGAAAAGATAATAAGGACGATGTGAATTATGACCAGCATGCCATGCAGGATGTAACATGCACGTGAAGCAAACAATCCATCGCGGGCATCTTTTGAAGCATCTTTTGAGCGAGCCTCGAAGTCCCAGTCCGCTGAGGGAGGCAATGCACTAGTAGTTGTCGGCACGCAACAGCCTGAACAAGCATCGACATGATAGTGACGATACACAAGACCTTGACATCCCAGGTATCCACGACGCGAGCGAGTGCAGATGCTAAAGAAATAATAGGGTGGATTCGCCATTCGGGGGCGTGGCAGTATATATAGACTTGATCCATTCGAGTGCATCGCACATTCATCAAGTGCCATAAGCTGGAGCGACTGCCATCACGGTGAGAGGGTGGGATTAGACCTTTGCATCAGCTTCTATAAGATTGATTCAGAAACAATGATTGGTTGATACAATGCTACAACATCAAGATGTCAATGAAGAACAGGATTCAGGACCGCATCAACATAGCCCACAAGTTATGTAATGTTGCGGTCACCATCCGGTTCCAGATCTGAACCAAACCGCGGTTCGGTCCAGTAACGGTTAGGTCCGGGAGGGTCCAGAGGTCCAGCTTCGTCTGGCTCGAGAGTCGCTGACATGATCTGATAGGTTGGGCTGGACCGAGCGTTAGCTCGGGGGGGACGCAGGCAGGGTGGAGCCGCTCACCCAACTAGCCGGAATGATCCGTGGCTCATAGCTGCCTAGCCCAACAAGACGTGGAGGCGACGGTCATAACGATGCTGCATTGGCCATGTGCTGAGAGGAAATTTGTTCAAATGCACGAATATAAGTTTCGTACGCTAATGATTTCCAGCGGCCGGCAATGCGAACTATTTCGGGGTCGACTTTCTTCCCGAGATAAAAGGAAGCACCGCCTATTCGAAAGGAGTGACCGAAGGACGTGCCCCAACCCCAGGCTATTAGAATTGAGTTGATGCGTTCCAAGGCTCGTATTTTGGTCATTGGACAAACATCACCTTTGCTGTCACGCCACGAAAATAAAGGATCATTTGCGAGGGCGGGAACGATTGAAGCCAGGTTGCGGAGAGCTGATAAGGGACATAGGTTTCCTTGCTCGTTGAGAAATACTGATTGTGACTCTCCGGTTCTCGCTGTTTTGGCGGATGGCAGATCGAGACATGCGTAAGGGTTGTTTCGCAGATCGTGTCCAAAGAATGCGTGAGCGCGGGTGAGGTGTTTGAGTGGATTGAATGCAGAACGAGAGGCGACGGAGACTTCGCCAAAGCGCATCATACCAAAGAATGCGCACGACGCCATTGCCCAAACACACACGTCGAACGGGTCTGATAATATGAGGGTGGATTTGATGGCCGTGAGCATCGCGAGTGAAATTGGTGGCTGGAGAGGTTTTCGACGGCCACCGTGCAAGTTTTCCAGGCCAAGTTTTCCAGGCCACGCAAGGACCAATTAATGCGATCATGGTGAGAATCGGATAGTGGCGGGGGCCAACCTTGCGCAATGTGCCAGGCTCGCACAGCAGACAGGTATTTACGTGCTACCCCGACTGAAACAGGCTCGAATGCCACAGTAGTGCCACTATTAGCTGAAAGAAGTGGATCACTAGGGTCTGGATCTGTGACAGCCCATAAGGCAAAGGAATGCAGCACTTCAAAAGACGCTGGAAGGCGGTTAGATTCTGGAATCGAAAAAATATCACAGAAGATGTGAAATTTTCGTAATCCGGCACCATAGCTAGCCGTGTCACGGAGAGATGCTCGGTTGGCCAAATTGGCTATATGTTGAATTACCGGGTTATCAATCGTGGACGAGGGCGGAGAATTTACACCTCGCCACATGAAAAGCTGTTCTGATGCTCGGCAATTTGGGCGGAGATGCGATGAGATCGTGTTCAATATGGGGGGTGTTGAAGGTGGGTGACTGACAACCAGAGACACGTGATGCAGTGCCCTTACAATAATTGGACGAGTTTGCCTGATAAATGCGGTGGTAGAGGAATGGAAACTGGACTCGCTGCTCCAGGGAAACCACTCAAAAAGGTCTCGACGTCGCCGCGAGACAAGGCATCTGAGATATTGGTGCGAGTGGGCATGTAGACTGCCTGTAGACGAAAGCCATTCTCTGCCTGCATCCGATACACATGCTTCAGGACCGCATTCGTTTGAGGGCTGTGGGAACGGCCTTTGTTCGTCACTGCCACTACTCCGATGTTGTCCGAGCGCACTAAATAGGTGACGTTTTCCGATGATCCGCGGTGCGTTATGATACCTTCGAATTTGTTAAAAAAAATAAGTCGGTGGAAGGCTGAAATGATAGGACAAAATTACCCAAGTGCAGGGCCAATCGAAGCCCAAGTTCTATTGCGGTGGCTTCCGCCCAACCAATGTCGAAATCCCGCTTTGGGCCGACCTTGAAACCTGCTGCCCAACGCCAGACGGCCCAGTGCTTCTGAATGACCACTCCAATGCCAAAGGAAGTACTTGCATCTCCCCACCACCCAATGTCCACTGGTGACGGGTCTGTGATGAGTATCGAGTTTGGAAGGAGTGATAGTAGAGATTGGATCCAGGGCAGATCCGTGAGAACAGCTGCGGACGGGCAAAGATGTGCGCGTGGAGAATGGAAATTGGATGCGAACACTGCTATAGCACGCAAGAACGGATGGATCAGAGGGAAGATACATGCCACGTGCATGAGTTTTCCGTGCAGACTGGCAGCCTCCTTTGCAGTGAATGTGGCTCCGAGGCTCAGCCAGAGCGTGATTGTGTCCTGCACTTTGCGGAGCTTGTCCTCCGGCAGCAAAACTCGCTTGAGGTCCAAATCCCAGTCGAAACCAATATATCGTTGGATGGAGGCAAAGAGCCGAAGCTTCTCGAGGCTCCACGGTACTCCGCAGTGGGCTGTTAAGGCTATGAAATCTGCTTCGGTCCATGATTGGTGTGGGAGGTGGATGACTAGGAAATTGTCTACCCATTTTCGGATGAGTTCGAAACCGGCTTTGTTGTAAATGGCTACGAGCATGTCGGCGACAGAGCCAAAAACACCAGCACTGGAAGTAAGGCCGAACATGAGAGCTCGATCCACGTAAACAATTCCTTTCCAGAATATGCAGAGGGCATTTTGCTGCCAGGGTATTACTGGAATTATACGATAAGCTGAAGAGACGTCGAAGGTTGCTGCAACACAACCGGGGGGAAGCGTGAGGATGAGGGCGGCAGTCTCGTCGAATGTACCCCAGATGGTAGGAAAGTCATCTGCGCTGATTCCGTCGTTTATGGACTGTATATTTGGGGAGTTGTGTGGGTAGGATAGGTCCTGCACTATGCGGAACTTGCTGGAATGTGGCTTTGGGACAAGGCCCAGAGGGGAAGTACGAAATGGTCCGATTAAGAGTTCGAGGTCTGTGGGGCTGAAACCTGTAGAATATCTGCCCGCGGCTTGTTCTGAGAGTATGTACGCATCGATTATGGAAGGATTGAGTAATGAGGACGAGTGATTTTCGAAATAAATGAGTAGTGGGTGGTGATTCTGAGACACCAACATTGAAGCCGTTATGTATACCGTCAACGATATGACGCCAATCATTAAATATACCATATGTACGAAGGATCTCTTCCACCCGGAGGTAGTCGAGCAGGGTGACAACAGCACGTGGGTCACCCGCGAGCCTTGCAGCTCCCGGCGCCGTGAGAAGAATCTCCGCAGATGCTGCAGGAGTGGACATTTCTGCAGTTGGGACCGAAGGTGCAGATGGATCCATTGGCCCAATTAAAGCAGTAATGTTTTCCGTTTGAGGCAGCGAGTGCATGCTTGCTCCTGGCGTTGGTAGCGAGGGCTGCAACTGGTTTTCCCGCTGCAGTTGTATAGGCGGAACAGTCGGCGGGCAAGTGGCCACTTGCTCCGCAACGAAAACAATGGCTCGATACGAGTGTATGCGACTTTTTACGAGGGGAAGAATGAAAATCGCTCGGGGCAGCTCGCTTAGAGGGTGAGATAAACGGAGCAGACTGAGGTATGATAGCAGGAATTTTATTATTTGCAATGGTAAGGGCCGCTACGTCGAGGCCGGCAAGATTATGCTCGTGGTTGGCATGAGCCAATTCTCTTTGCTGCACGTCGTAGTGCATTGCCACGGACCAGCCATGCGTACGGCTGATATCGAGAACTACGAGATGATGAGATACAAGGGCTGACGCCCGAGCCTCGCCCCAATAGTGCAGGGTTCTATCCTCAGCAGCCTTTGCTGCCGCTATCCAATCAACTGTTACAATCAAGAGCTCGTTTGCACGGTCGAGACCTTTAGCTGCAAGCCCATCTTGTGTAAAGATGAAGGCTGAGTCCTCTCCACGCAGGAAAGCCTTCGAGCGAGCTGCGTGTGAGAGCTGTGTATGGAACGTAGCGATATTGCTTAAAAGCCTCCTCGACTTTGAGGGGTATGGCTAGAACGGAGTATGTCAGAAAAATGAGTATAACGGTGCGGCAAAATGGGGGATGGAGCAGATAACATAAAGAAAACGGAGCCACGAAGAAAAACCGACACGGTAAGGTGCGGAATTCAAGAGTGAAAACGGTGATATTGCCTAACTAGGCTGATGGCTCGGTGTGGTGCTGTCGGTGAGCTACTGAAAGGTAGCCGACGATGCGAGTGCGGTATACGTGGGATAACCACGATTCGATACGAACGACGGTGGAGACGGACTTACGCAAGCTCAGAGCACTGACTTTGTGCCCTGGTTGGAGGGCAGGTAAGACGAGCCGTTTAGGCTCGTCTTTAGCGCCAGCGAGGTTTGCTCGTATACGGTCGACATCCGCAGGGTTCGCTACCAGAGCTTGTTGAGGAGCGGGGGCTCTGGCCGGTATATGGATGCCGTGAGCGTCCCCACGCTCGAGCTCGGCGATGCGTGCCCTTAGAGCGGCGATTTCGTCCGCGGGTGCGGGTGCAGCTGCTGGTGGTGCTGCTACTGGCGGTGCTGCTGCTGGCGGTGCTGCTATTGGTTGCGCGACATGAGGCGCTGGAATAGGCGCTGCGGGTTGAGTGGCGTGAACGGCGGAGGGATGGGCATGCTGTGGATGCTGGATGCTGGGCTATCTGCGATGCAGGCAGCTGAGGTGGACCAGCTTGGGCTGGGGGCCTTGGGGTAGCAGCTGCTCTGCTGCTTGGAAGAGATGGCGTTGTGGATGACGACGGCTGTGCGATTGAATTGGAACCAGATGCGGATGCAACCTGGGTTGATGGGGGAGTAATGGGAGCATTTGGCGCCCCTTCGTTTAATTCGATACCGAGGTGCTGATACATTAGAAACTGTAAAAGAAACGATTGTAGGTACAGGACAGTAGTGAGGAAGTATGCTGTACGACGAACTCGTCGTCGTGTAGGAAAGGAAAATAGATACAGAAGCGAATAGCGCGCGCGCTCAGCTGGACGTATGGTGCCGAGACATTCCGGCAGGCTCCATTTCTCGGCACCTGTACATTAGTTGGGTTCGTGGTTCGGAGAATGAGACATGCCCAGTGGCCCCAGTCGGTACACTATGTAGCTCAAACGTTCATTCTTTACTTACCGTATATAGTATCCCGCTTATTTTCTCAAATCGCAATCACCACCAGGGACGCTGAACCAATGCTGGACTGCACAATAGTGGTCTCGATGTATTATATTAAACGAGCAAAGATATTATATTTAATCATGCCAGAGGACCAAAACACGCTCCGTCTCGCATGCCCGAGCCCGCCATCATGATAGAGAGGACAACCATGACTGTATCTCCGATGCACCTGTTTCCGCTGGGTATATTTCAATACTCGACCTTGGGAGAACGACTCCGCGTACGTCTAAATCAAGACAACATCAGCCAAAAACAAAAATAACAACAGTACGGACCTCCGCAGTGTAAACACGGAACGATGAATATACGAACCGATAAATAAGAACAACCTTACCAGCCCCTCCCAAAAACGACCACCGAACATCCCGCCCACCCCCACGCACAAGCAACACAAATGCCAGCCATCGCCATCATCTCAGCAGGAGCGATGGGCTCCGCAATAGCCAAACGCCTCGTCCAGTCCGGATGCACAGTCTACACCAACCTCGACAACCGCTCCCCCGCAGCCCACCAACGCGCCCTCGACGCAGGGATGATAAATCTCCCCTTCGAAACCCTCCTCTCCAAATCAAACTTCATACTAAGCATCGTCCCTCCAGGGGAAGCTTTCGCATTCGCGCAAAAGATCCAAAGAGGACTCGCTGCGTCTCAGACTCTTCCGCGCGCTTTCGTCGATTGTAACGCTGTGAACCCCGAAACGGTGAAACGCATCGGGGGGCTGTTTAGTGGGACCCCTGTGGGATTCATCGATGCGGGGATCGTAGGGACTCCGCCGCGAGAAGGATGGGATCCCACTTTTTACGCCTGTTCGGAACCAGGAGCACAAGATGTGTTGGAAGAGTTTGCTGCGCTTTCCCAGTACGGACTTAAAGTATCGTTGTTGAAAGGCGAAGGTGCTGGAATAGGCTGATGCGAGTTCTTTGAAGCTCTGCGAGTCCTGTGAGTCCTTCGTTTCTTGTAATACGGAGAGCGGGGCTTACGTAGGGTGCTGGTGGGATTAGATGATGAAGAAAGGCTCTATAGGCCTCTTCATGACGATGATGTTGAGTGAGTCCTTCTCCCCATCCCCTCAAATTCAACCTTTTTCATGATCAAAACAACACCCCAGCGGCCCACCGCTCCTCACCAGCAACAGCCGACGCCCTAATGAAAGAACTCAGCATCTCCCAACCAGCCTTAATGTCCAGACTCATCCAAACAGTCCCAGAAGGAATTCCCAAAGCCTACCGATTCGTAGCAGAGATGGAAGGCCTCTCAGAGTTCGTAGGAGGGGGAGAAGCGGATGTCTTTATGGGTTTCGCCAGGGTGTTTGAGAGAGTGGCGGGGTCGCTTCAGGGTGATGGGGTCGATGTCGAGACGTTGAGGAGGGGCGTGGAGAAGGCTTTGGAGTTGCAGGGGACGTCGAAGTAAGCGTCGGATTTATCTCCTGGGGTGATTCATCGAGTGGCGGTGTGCTTGAACGTTTTAACTTGAAGAGCTCGTCAATCAATTAAAGATTTTGCTTAACATGCGTTCCAAAGTTTGTGGACGAGGTTACACTTGTCGACCAATATGAATCCCGACCACGAACTTGTAGATAACGAACGTAAGACATGCACGTAGTTCAAGATGCAAGATCGATAGAAAAACTGTCGGACGAGTCCTCAGATCTAGTATGACTAAGCGGCGTTAAACGTTAAGCTTGTCTCCCAAGTCGCACGAAGCTCGCTCCACGAAAAAGCAATAAACGAGGATAATGTTGTCAATAGTAAGAGCTTAAGCTAAGTACTTCGAGCAGGGGGGACATAACAAGACTGGGAGTAGATATCAAGTGAGGTTCGAAGCGCGCGGATCAAAGTAAGTAGGGACGAATGTAAACGAGACAAATAATATACCTACCACAAACAAAACGGTCTCGAACATACGTCCTTCATAACTAAAAGATGATATGACTGAATAAAATAACAAAAACCATGAACTCAGTTGTCCTGCTCCATCGTCTCCTTCTCGTACTTCTTCTTTAGGGAGCTCACTGTGTTCGGCGTCAGTTCAGGGATGGAGACCGGAAGGGTGACGAAAGCGCACCTTCTCGTGATAACTGGCCCGAATTCAACCACCCGCTAGGAAATGCTGCTACGATCTACCACCACCGAATGAGGACTCTCATACCAATCAAAATAGAAAACACACCTTCTGATACAAAATCTTTCTCGACCCCTGTTCGCTAACAAGCGCAGTACTCCCGTCTAATTCACTATTTATTCACATCAGCAACCACTTCCAGAATCCCCACAAGAGAAAAATGAACTCGGACTCACTTCTTCTCATTCTCAAGCCTACAACATTCGTTGCTAAGCATCACAAGCTGCCACACAATCGCCTTCATCGCCTCTGTCAATCGATATTTCTGCGCAGGGGGATGTGCGTCTCGTGTTCCGTCGGCTTTGTTTGTTCCTGGGGCATTGTCGCCATCTGGGAATGGTCCCCCACCGTCTGTGCCTGCACCGTCGGCACGGACGTTATCGCCATCGACACCGCTCACTGCACCGTCGTCGGGGTGTGCAGCGTCGGCGCTTGCACTGGGCGTCGAGGCTGATGCTGCGCCTGCTTCGCTTTCGTTCTTGGCCTTTTCTTTGCGGCGTTCTGTGTGGGGCGTTAGTGGTGAGGTGAGGTGAGGTGAGGTAAAAGTATAGTGTATGCGAATAGTACACAAGGACAGACGAATGAAAAGACGAGATGTTGAACAAGAAAGACAGAGGTGACGCACCCCAAGCAACAACGCTCTTCTCCCACTCTTCCTGCGCCTTCGAGAACCCCTCTTTCGTAAGTCCCGCAAGCTGTTGAAGCAGCTCGTCCTGTCTATCTGTCAAGATCTTGAGGTGGTCTGTGAATATAGTGCGTTTGATGAGTTTCTATGAACCGACCCGATCCAGTGAGTGAGCGCGTTCAAGTGTAGGTGACACGACGTACAGTCATAGTATAACGGTTATAAGGAAACAGGACTGGCATAAGATTGAAAAAGTCTTCATCGTATTCACCGAGATTGACGGCTTTCAAGGCAACATCTGCGAGTATGGGTTTAATAGAGGGTGGGAACTTGCCCTTGACGTCCCATGATTCTATGGCAACGTAAGGTCATAAGCGGGGGGTATGTAGTAGCGTAGCACGGACCTTTGGAGATAGCAGACTTTAGGTCTTCGAAAGCTAATTGGAGTTCAGGATGGAAGTCGCGCTGGTGGGAGTGAGTGGATGGGTATTAGGTGGACTTGAGGGACGTACGATGTCGACGACCTTTCTCTTTTTCCCGTTTTCCTCTATGACTGTATAGTTCTTGCGTTTCTTATTGGCCTTATCTTCGCATAGTAAACTGATAGGATGTTCCTTTGTGCCATCCTCCTTGATGACGGTCTTGCTAGGTCCAGCAGTCGCACCCCCTTCGGCGGGGACCTTTTTCGATTTAGGTTTCTTGGGGGTCCTGCTGCGGATACGAAATGAGGATATGGGGACATGTGATCAGACCGGACATACCAATCTTTCATAAGAGCGACTTCGCCACTAGAGACGTAAAAGCCTTGTTGCTTTGTTTGAGCGAAATGAGTGCGATTATCGATGTTCAATTCCGAGTCGTCGATGAAAGGGTCGTTTACGTCGTAATACTCTGAAGTGGCATGTTTTTTCTGAGTGCCTTATTCAGCGTGGATATAGTTGATTTATGTTGTGTGTGATATTACCTTTTTCTTTTTCGGCTCGCCTTCGTCCTCCCCTTCGGAGTCAGACGTGTCTGCTTTTGGAGGAGGAGGTGTAGGTTGACGTTGACCTGTTGTCTTTGCGAGAGTAGCAATATCGACTTCATAATTATCTGGACCTCCTAGATTTATTTGGAGTCTGATAGTTTGTAGAGGGGGTGGCGGAGGAGGAGGCGGAGTTGGAGAAGGAGAACGAAGGCGTTGTGGTTTTGATTTTGGTTTTATTGTAGAAGCGGGTTTTGATGAAGAAGATGATGCTGATGATTTTAATTTCTTTGATGGTGGTGGTTGGTCAATTGTATTGTCAGTTTCTTGCATTACTACGTCTTCAGACATGGGAGGTGGGTACGAGGTGGGTTGTTTCCTAAAAAGGAACGTATCTGCTCAAGTTCTTTTCTCTCATCATCTTTTTAGAATCCTCAAAGTGCGAATTTCACTCAACAAAACATCGTACATCCACAACTAACATGACAAATCATTTCCCACTCGGCATCTCCCGGTGTTCACTAGCGTCGTGTCCATCCTGGAGTTTCTCAGATTTCCGTACTGCTCGCATGTATGCGTTCAATTTGACCAAGTACCCATGCAAGAACTTTGGTTTAGGTGCACCTGTGCATACTCGCAACGTCTGGACAGATTTGCATCCAGCAAGACAACTTATCTCGCCCTCGGTCCCTCCCATTACAAATGTTTGACGTAAATCTAACACTAACTTCACGCGGAGTGCTATTAATGCGAGTGTTAATACCGAGAGATTCAAGATTCAGAGATGACGAGCCTGAGGCCCTGAATAGCAACCTGCGGAAGATTTGGGGCGAGACGAAGCTTACTACTGGCACTCCAGCGTTGACGAGGGCCGTCGCCGAGGGCAGGGACAATAATGAAAACAGTTGAGAGGCGAGTTAACATGATGATGAGTTAACCTTACTTATAGAGAGGTTGTTCGTGCTGTCTCTGTTATTAATTATGCTCCACAGAAGAGGGTCGTGTTTTGGATACAGTACCGAGCAGCAGAATTGACTCAAAACACTTCGATGGCGGGAGTTCAAACGTGCTGCAACCTTGATCTCAGTGAGAACACGCTACAGGTTGATACCAAGTGATCGAAAATATACGATACATATTAGCGGATATGGACAATATTGCCGTGCTCGAGAAGAGCGATCCCTCCATCGACTATTTCGTTCAAATCAACTCTCCAGCAAGTTCACAAACCATCCGGATCATGCATGACTGTCGTAACTGTTCCTGTGTGACTTCTCATGATCGGTGCAGGAAGATATCATATCTGTAATGCACGAGGCAGTCGGCATCGGTATCTGCAACTCGAACTGCTCTCCCTAATCAGAACTGCAATTAATTTACTTAGATATACTATGGACGATAGTCACCTTTCATCGAACATCCTCCCCAACCGGAACCCGCGCTCCAAGAACAGCTTCTCTACGAGTTCTTAGTGCTCCTTCATACGCCTTACATGCCCACTTGAGAAATCCCACCTCTTTGCCCCTACCCTGCTCAACCAAACGGGCATGTAGCAATTCCACATCCGAAAAACTTAACAAGGGTGGGACACGCTCGTCAGGTGTACCAATGGCTGATGTGAGGCGCACGAGGGGGCGAGGCGTAGCGGATGAATTACTGAGAACTGTACGTGTCGAGAGGATGGGTGGTTTCGCAAAAAGGGTGATTGTACGTTTTTTAATGATATCTTGACTGGGAGCATCTATATGAGCAGACGATGGATTGCGGGCTAGAGGCAGTAGCGCGGTCGGAGGATACCGTGATATAAACATGCGGATTAGTGCAATTGCACGATCGACATCACCGTTTCTAGACGAGTGCATTAGTATGACCATAAATGTTGAAAAAATGAAAGACTGACAAGAGATGAATCCTTCTGACAGCAGTGTGCGCTCTCTCGACCAGCCTGGCAGTCACTGTCGTCTCTGTGGCCCCATCGACCCACTTGCGCTCAAGCTCTTCCCAGCGCGCCCATAGCTCATCAACCCATTTTCCTGCAATGTCACGTTCACGCGGCCTTGCAAGTGCACACTTCTCGAGTGCGTCGACATAAGTGCGTGAATCACCCATAAGGCCAACGCCAAAAGAAGAAAACAGCCTCTCAAATACATCACGCGCACTTTCGAGACTCGCATGCGAGTAATACACGGACATGTACGCATTGAAGAGGCGTGGCGTGAGTCTGACATCGAATTTTCCAGCGAGAGGGCCGGGAGGCACGTTGAAGGATGAATGAGAGGTAGGGTTGGTATCTTGAAGAATTCTCTGGAAGAGAGCCCTAGCTTCTGCAATGACCTCGCCTGATGATTGGGGCGGGAGGTGTGAAAAGGAAGGCATGGTATTCATATGCGACAAATCGGTCGGAACTGCATCGCAATCTGAAGGAACCTCTGCAGATTCTGAAGGCAAGTCTGACGAGCAATCAGTATCGCTTGCTAGCGATCCGTCTTGTTTTGGAGGAGCAGCCGGAGCTGGAGCTACAACCACACCGTCGTCCAAGATCCTGGTTGCACCCCTTTTGAATGGGGGTCTATATGCGGCATAAGCGTGGAACATGTGCTGCATCATCTCCTCATTTAGACCATCAGCTCTTACAGCTTCTGCTAGGATCCATCTGGCCCGCCCCAAATCCCCCACGCGCTTACAGCCATCCAGCAGAGCCGTCCAAGTACGCACCCCACCAACCCCTTGAAGGTCCCCACCACCAACTTCCGAAGAACCGCCTCCAAAGCGGTCGCGCATTTGCCGTGCAAACCTGATGGCTTCAGAACCCATTCTCCTCCGGCCTTCGCACAAGCACGGATCACGGCGTCGTATGCCCCTATGGTCGGCACGATTCCCGCGTCGATCATCTCAGTCCACAGGTCTAGGGCACGCTCAGGTTCGGGAGTTGAAGGAGTTGAAGCACAAGCGCGGATCATCACTGCGTAGAGATGAGCATCTGGGGTCGGGTGCGCCACATAGCGCATGTGCGCGAAAAGGTCCCAAGCTTGTGAATTTGCAGCCAGTCTTCCCAACGGTACATCTGGTGTTGAGGATATCGAAGGAGGTGAAGGAGAGGGGCAGACAGAGAATAGGGAGGATATGATGCGTGTATAAGACTTCATGGGGGCATGGAGTCCAGAAGCCTCATACTTATGCAGAAGGTCGATAGCACGAGTGGGAAATGCGCGTGACGCAAAGACAGCCGGGTCACGCAGGTACGACTTGATGTGTAGGTCTCGTTGAATCTCAGAAGGTTTGCCTGTACAAAAACATAATCAGTGGACATTTGCAAGGTGCATGCATCAAATACGAACCAGTTAAGATATTCACCATAAATCCTTCAAATCGTTCTACATTTCCATGCAGCGCGTGATATCCAAGCACGATATTGATGATATCTTGGGGCGGTGAGACACCAGAAAGCTATGTTGTTCATGAACATCTGGAAACAAGATGGAATTATGATACTAACCTTCAGAGACTCTACTGCACTTTCCGCACTGTACAAATCTCCATCGCGCATCTATAAGGTATGTAAGTGATTGACTTCATCATTCTGAAGTTGAAGACGTACATAAACCTGGATCCGTTCTCTCACTTCAATCATGGCAGGTGTATCTATGTCTTCCTCAGAGGGCTTCGTAACCTCTACGGATTTTTGAGTAAGCGGCACCTCCAACAAGTCTTCATACATCGACGATAGCTCCTCATCCGTGTAACGAAGAGAGAGCGCGACCTCTGACTCTGGGGTTGCTTCCATGACATCCGATGGTACTTGCATGGTTTGTAACGCAAGGACTCGCCCTTCAAGCTCGGACATTGGGGATGTAGAGCTTTTGGGCGGCTTGAATACAGGGGAGGAGACCCATTTTCCAGAGTCTTTGATCATCAAAGAGCCTGGTGCTCTGCGGAGTCGGCGCCGCCTGGGTTGCATGAGCTTGGACAACTGATATAGAATAGCAACTCACCTAGAAAACACATTTTTTTCCTCAGTGGGCTCGAAATACGGCACGGGAGACGGCACGAGCGCTACCGCCTGGTGTAAGTTCCTTGAATGGCATCTCCATTTCACTGATTGGACCTGAGCAAGGCTAAAATCGAGTAGACCGAGGGGAAGGATAGTCTTTGGCATGACATAGGTCGCAAAAATCCGACAGACTATGATAGTAACTCGGAGGGCACGTGACCATACACAACTTTGAGAATTTGCGCCACTGCAGCTTGTCTTACATGTATAAGTCATATCGGCAACAAATGCCAAATACATAGATATCATGAGAATAAATTCATCAGACACATCCGTCTTAGATGAAGATCAAGCGAAGCGTCAGTCATCATCACATCACAGCCCGAGCTCAACCCATCATACATTCGTCTTCTCCGGATCCTCTTTCACCTCCCCCCTCGCCTTCTCCTCACCCTCAGTGTTCGGCACCTCTCTCTCGTTCCCATCTTGATAGAGCTGCTCAGGGTCAGGCTTCTGGAACAACACGAACTTCTTGAAGCCGTAGGGTATCTGCCGCAGGCCGTATGCAACGTGCTTGCTAAGGGGGATAGAGAAAACTTGGTCGAGCTCCTCCAGGGTCTTATCTTTCGTCTCGCGCACCAATAACAAGATGAGTACCCAAAGAATACAGCACCATGCTGCGTACCAGCTAAAGGCACCTTGTGGTTTCAAGGCCAAGATAAGCCATGGCCAAGTGATTGACAGAACGAAGTTCCAGAACCAAGTGGTCGCAGTGGCAAAGGACATGCCGACATCACGGATGTAAAGAGGGAATGCCTCTGCGGAGTACGTGAACGGCACCGGACCTTCGCCTGAAGAATAGAAGATTGTGAAGAGGTCTGAAGGAGCAGGTATTAATGGCAGTATCAAGTACCAAAAGGATGTCGTACATATCCCGATACTAACGCCAGCTATACGCCCTGTTTCCGACGTACTCGAGAAGGAGAAGCCCGTGACTAAAAGACAGATGGCCATGCAAGGAAACGTGAACAAAAGTAAGTTCCTCCGCCCGAAAGTGTCGATCTAGTGTTACAACTTTCAATATTTACAGAAACTTCATCTACAGAAAGGGACCACTCACGGTGAAGACAGCAGGGAGGGCGAACAACCAGTTGAGTGTACCAAATACAAGGGAGGAAGTCAGTGCTGATGTCTGCGTCAAACCAGAAGCAAGGAAAATGTTGGATGAGTAGTAGGCTACCATTGAGTTAATAATCATTTCGAATCGTGGGCACAAATCTCATACCAATAACATTGAGACCGCAAAACTGCTGACCGAACATGACGACCCAACTAGCAACGGCAGCATGCCTGTTACGTGGAATTGCGAACATCTCAACAATACGGTTGCGACCCTCCATCTCGTTCTCCGCCTCGAGCAACACGTGAATGTAGTACAAATCACGAGCAGCCTGAACGTGCGAGAAACGAAGCCGACAAAGCTCATTGAAAGCATCCTCGTAGCGACCCCTGGATATCAACCAACGAGGCGACTCGGGTGCAAATAAGATTTGCAGGCAGACAATAAGACCGGGGACACCAGCAGAACCCAGCATGAGGCGCCAGTTCAGACCAGTCACACCAGGGGTGTCCGGAATGAAGTAGAATACCAAGTCAACAAGGTCTCCTAGAGCAATGCCAAAAGCGGTCCACATCTGCCACATCATGACGAGAGCGCCACGAATCGGTGCAGGTGAACACTCGGCGGTATACACTGGGACAGTGGTCGACTTGGGACCAATACCAAAACCAAGGAAGAACCGTGAGATGAAAAGGTGCCACCAGCTATTTGTCAATGCAGACCAGATGCATGTCAAGAACGAGATCAGGCAAGTGACGAAAATGGTCTTTTTACGCCCAAGATAATGGTTGAGCGGATGCGTCATCCAACAAGAAATTGTGGCACAGCATCTGTGAAGTGATGAGCGATAATATTCTGTGATAAAAACAAAGTACACACACAAGTATGGCGCAGAGTTGACGAGACCGACCAGCCATGAATCGCGTTCTGCACGCACAATTTATGGATGATTATTGGAATGATGGAAGAGCCTTCACGCACTACTGTTGGGATCGCCGATACTGAACTGCTTGGGATAAATGATTTGAGCGCCATTGATAACAGCCTCGTCCATTCCCTGAACAGCCGCTGCAAGTGATGACATCACCACCATCTGTTTTGATAGTGTGAGCTGTGACGAACAGTTCAAAAGAGAGCAACACCAACGTAATACAGCATGGGCGTTTGTCGCCACTTGTGCTCAACCTCTTCCGTTAAAATTCGTTTGTCTTCTTGTGAAAATTTGTCTAGACGATCATGGCCTTAAGATCAAGGACCTCATGTCAGCTAGGGAAAATGCTTCTCATGATGGCATACAAGTGGGATCCTGGGCAAGAAGCGCTCCTTTCTCGAGCTCAGGCAGCAAATGAGTCAGTCCTTTCTCTTCGGCAAAAATTTCGACATCTGCCATTAGACGATCATAAGGTATGCCATTCAAGGGGTTTGATAACTTGGCATTGGCATTACTGACAGAAAATTTTGCGTCAGTCGTGGGCGCTTGACACACGATCTCATACGCACGCGATGGCTCTTGTCCTTGCATCTATAATTGATTTATGGTGGTAAGCATGATGCAGGCGCTTTGCTGCGGTACCAGATTTTTCGTTTGAGGGCGAGGACGTTGACATCCCAGTTGTAGGCGCGCAGCACAGAAAAATAGGCAGAAGGGAGCCTTACTTCTATCGGCTGTTATAAACCCAGGGATATGATATAGCGACGTTCGTAGTAGCCAAAAGAGCAGGGTATACAACGTCAGTTGTCCAACACAATATTGGAGGTGAAGCTTTGAAAGCCACCCGGGCACAAGAAAATACTGCGTCAATACTGCGACTGCTGCGGTAATAGAACTTGAGCACAGCATGTGTGGATACTCAGCTCAAATGAAACGACGGTGAGAGAAGGCACACGTACGGACACTCTCGAAAGCTTTGAAAGATGTGCAGAAGGATATGGTCAGCAGCTTGTTACCTGCCAGGAGCTGACAGAGAACATGAAGGTCTGGAAGAGTCCTGGAAATTGCATCATCATAAGAGAAATTCCGGTAGTAGCATCGGTACACACCCTAAACACGATGAATGAGATCTTGCATTGCAAGTTATACTATATCCTCTTCAGGTGTCTGGATAATAGCAGGAGTCGAGGTATCCAAAAATCTTCAAGATTTCACTATTTCCATATTCTGATGTAGCATAGAAAGCAATCGTGGCCAGTTCAACACTACGTGACATTAGTTGAATGTAGACTCGTAGAGTCGTTGAGTGCAAATGAGCATTTGAAATTGCAGATTCTCTTTTGGATGCTACACGTGACGCGTGAATCGTGACTTGACGAAATAAACCTCTTCTTCACCAACCGTATTACCCAACTTTCCATGAAGCCCAATGCACCATGTATCATCATGCCTTAGCCTCATGCAAATATCGCTTTAGCCTCGTTTCCAGCCTTGTGGTTTGCTGTCGAAGGCATGGGCTGCCTCAGCACTGACCGTCTTACTTCCCTCGCAGGTCTTGTCTTCTGTGTGCCAGTGCCCCAGTTGAACTCTTTCTGCATGCGTGTTCACTCTAGTTAACTAGGGTTTGCACTCATTGCAACACCGTTTACAGTAAACTGGGACAGTTATTGTCTTAGGGCAGTAACATAACGTACAATGTGGAGGACTCACGAGCGGCTCTGCACCGCAGCCTTCAAACTAGATTCGAGCAATCCCCATCTCAATGAGGCCATTAAGCTCCCCCTGGTGACCGTCTCCGATCCTTGTCTCTTAACAATCTTACCAATAGCCTGCGCGAGAGATTCAAGCAGTGGGGTGACCCGTCTGGCCTCGATGAGACCGTTGAGCTTCACTACTTCATTCCCCCCTGGTCATTTCTATCGATCCTCGTCTCTCAACAATCTTTCCAATAGCTTCCGAGACCACTTCTAGCAGGCGGGGTGTCCTGTCTGACCCCAATGAGTCCATCGAGCTCCATCGGGCTGCATAACTCCTCCATCCTCCGGGTGATATGATCCTATATGATCGATCCATGTCTCTCGACAATCATGCTCTTAGCCTTCGAAAAAGATTCTAGCAGCAGGTTGTCACATCTGACCTGGATGAGGCTATCGAGCACCATCGGGCTGCATTGCTTCTATGTCCCCCCGGTCATGCTGGTCGGTCCACGTCGGCTATCCAATTCTCCAGATTTCGCAGTGTGATTGGTCTGTCGACGACGAGGTTGCACAACAGATCCGTGTCTGTTTTCTACGAAAACCTGGTTGATAATCCAGGGAGATTGGACTGCACACGGGCTGCGGTAGCGTTGCACAAGGCCGTGAAGTCGCGAAAGAAGATTCCCCCTGGAACAACAGATCGTATCTATTCACATAGGTGTCTAGCTGAGACTCGATTGGCCGCATTTTCTGTAGCAATTTTGCCCAGTTGTTTCATTCGCCCGTTTGAAGCCGAGTGATGTGGCATTGCTTGAGGTGAGACTTGTCGAGCTGATATGACAAACTGGCGTCAAAAGCACGCGTGAACCTACTAGTGACCTGACATGCAACAGTTCCTCTGAGCTACTCATCAATAATTTTACAAGGCGGGGTAACGATACATATTCAGAAAATATTACCGAGCTAACTTATTTGAAACTTCACCTTCCCAGTGCATTCACCAGCATATGTACACCCCATGTGAACTCGTAAAACGGTGTTCGGATCAGTTGGATCGTGTTTTCCATGTTTAGATTGGCATGTCCACTCGACGTTCTGGCCCCACAGATCGAAGAATTTTTGGACATTTTCCTGCTGCCCTGATGCAAGCAGGTATTCATACACTGCGCGCCACGCGCTGTCCAATGCACCGATGACCCACCTGCAAGTCACATTTGTAATCATCAAAACGACCTAACCACTTCTCACTCACGCATGACGGGTGCTGATGGACTCTCCAGCGAAATGGAGTCTCTTGTTAGCATTAGGTACGGTGAGAGCCGTGTATAAATCCTGAAAATCTCCAGGCCCAAATGATGCAAAGGCACCTGCGGCGGGTGAGAATCGATCAGCTCATATCGATATCTAAAAAACCCACCTATGGCGAGCGGGTTGTTGCCCCAGTTCCATGCATGCATATCTACGTACTGATCCAACAAGAAACTATAATCCAAATCGTGTACTTCTGCGAGATTGCGCAGCACGAGTTCCTTCAATTGTTCCTCGTACTCTGTCTTACCGGTGTTGACGAGCACTCCCAAGCGTTCTGCATCATTTTTCCAACAGTAGCTCGCAATCAGTACTGTAGACGGCGTGCTCGATTCAGCCCCGTGAGAGGGGTAGACGATATTTCGAATGGGAAGGTCTGTGGTTGATTGACCTCCTATGATATCGAAAAGTTCGGTCCACCACGCTGATCGAAAACGGACGCCGACTTTGACCGAAGGATCATATTGCAGTTTACGCAATGCATTTTTCTGCATCACATTTAAACCGGCACCTCCGAGTTCGATCAGTTGCAGGCATGGCAGAGGGATAGTCGATATAACATGTGAATATGTGCGCGGGCTACATTCGCCCCGCACAGAAACATTCATTGCCATGTTTCCATCTTGAGAGATGCTCGTGACCTTTTTATTGAATTGGATGAGAGACTTGGTGCCGTTAGCAGTAAGGTATGCCTCCATATGGTCGGTAAGTACTCGAGAACCGCCTCTATATATGCCACGTGTAAGGTTGTGCATAAATTCCAAGACAGAAAGCACGCTCACTCGAAACATTTCCATTCTACATGTCCAAAGGTCTGCGACTCGACACTGCCAAATGCCAGCGTATCAAGAACCCATTCAGTCAAAGCGCAGTCATGCGAGCCTGTGCTTTCATTGAATGTCTCGCACCAATTGATAACATTGGTGGAAAGATACGTCTGCGGAATTGGGAGGCTGGCGCTGGGAATGTACTTGAATGACATGAACGAGCGAAGCGAGTATGTATCGTGCTCCCTCATTTTTTTCCAGCCCAAATCGACATTTTGCTCCAAGTCTGTAACCAGACCCTCGACGAACGGCCCAACGACGTCGTTGACAATATTCTCAACTCCCACAGCAACGTACTGAGGATCCACACCCAATTCTCGGGCATGGAAGTCAGGAGGGCGCGAGGTCCGAGAGACTTGATAACGTTGATTGTTAAAGTAGAGGAAATGACCCTGTCTCTTTGACGTAAAATGATAATCGATAAGGTGGGAGTTTAGAGGTGCCCTGCATGAATCCCAAGGGAACGGCCTACGATTTACACCTGTCCCGGGCCACGAGGGGGTTGATTCAACAGGGTCCACGTCGTTGAGCTTCGAATAATTGATCAACTCCCCCAAACGCCTCATGATGCCAACCTTGTAATTGCCTTGAGCGTCCTTCTTTGGGAGGGGGAACCTCATGCCCCCAGCATCCTAATCAGTGATAAAGCCAAGAGTTTACATGGTCAGCATCTTTGGCGCAGCAGAATCGAACGAAAACATACGCAGTAGTCGTATTTATTACCATTTGGGAAGTCATAGGTGAGGAGGCGCCCGCCGGTGCGGTCTGACGCCTCCAAGATCTCATACTTGATGTCTAGCGAATCTAGGATGAGGGCGGTGTATAGACCACCAACTCCTGCGCCTAGAATTCCAACTGTACCGGGCGGGCCACGACCCTGCTTAGAGAGCGCAGGTAGCTGCGAGGTCTCTTCAAAAGCAATCAGGGCGGGGGGAATGTTTTGGAGGAGAGCATCATCATAATCTTCGATGATGTTTCGACCCCAGTAGGCAAACGCATCTCCCTGAAAATCCATAGTAAGCGTCACTGGGATCGAAAATTGAATGTGTTAAATATATCTCGTCTAGTAAGAACAGATCGAACACCAACCTATATATATCTTGTTCATTTTTCGTTCGGAGAATGAGAAGAGAAGAGTTAGCCTATTCTGAGATGACACAGCGCAAGCAACGTACTTTTGGACAGGAAGCTGAAGCCCACAGATGGCGTCGTTCAAGACGCCATTACTGGATAGTAGAAGTAGGTATATAGCACCGCGGCGCCTATGTAGCCCTATATAGCTGTTCATCACCAGCGCTACGACGAAATGGAGTTTTTCCTGATGTATACCATCTCGATTTGATCTACTACTTGACGCGCAATGTCACCGGTTAGTAAGGTAGCTAAATCTTAAATACTTACATGTCCGGGTTTGAAATTTGATGGGCCATGGTAATCAATCATACCAAGTCATTGGTTCAAGTGGATATCTTGGGACATCAAAGAGCAATCAAAGAGAATAGACTGGTGCTATGCAAGGCTTTCTCGTGTCTACTACGTAGTAGTACAGTAATCGTAATATCGGGAGTTTGTGACAATGTTGTGACATTGCACAGATCTAACAGTAAGTATCGTAGGGTAAAGTAAAACTTCATAGTGGAACCCAAGATAATGAATTATCCGGGTTCGGACCCATCTCTCACACATACAACAACATTCGAGACAAATATATCTCACAAGCTGCTTGGTGGAATGGGCGTATACACCGCAGCAGTAATGGATTTCACCGCCTCCTTCGAGTGAGGCAGATACCTCATCGCCAGGTTCGCCTCAGCCCTATCCATCATCATCATGTTCAGTTTCAAAGGTAACCAAAACAAAAGTAAAACTCACTCTCTCGGCATGTCGATAGAACTACGAAGCTGCGTGAACGTATCGTATGTATATTTCGAAAATTGGGCTCCGTCTGTCATGGGGTTCAGTGTCAGCGACATTCTCTGAATTCTGAGGTGGAGTGGAAATCTCACAGCCTGACTCGCCCACTCCCGAAAATGGTAGTTCGCTCACTGGCCGATAAAAGTAGGTGAGCGCCAATTCAAGCATGACGTCAATACTGCCGATAACATACCTGCGAGCTGTTGCAACGTGTCGTTGAAAACAATGCCACCGCTCCGTGTTTCCGAGACAACTGTTGTACAAAATTGTTAGCATGAACCGACCGTCATCAACCAAGTGAAACATACGCCGTTGCTTCAAGCCCTTGTCGTCACTAAAAGCGTACAGGACTAGCGGATGAGATCTTGGTGCGACAAATCAGTCGACGAGTTAGATATTAAGAGGAGAGCTTACCGTGCATTAACAAAGTTGATTGCCTGATCAAGAGAATCCACGGGCACGATAGGCAATATTGGGCCAAAGAGTTCTCTATAGATGCCATGCAATCAGGAACGTATTTATGCAACAACAGGCAATACTGACTCTTCCAGCAAGGAATCGCCGTCCGCAACATTCTTGACAATGGTGAGTTCGAGTCTCTTCCTCGCAGCGTCAGCGCGACCCGGAAGAACGACTTCACCCTTTGTGCGGGAAAGAAGTGAAGTGAGGCGGTTGTGGTGCAAATGTGACACGATACTTCCAAACGATGGCGAGTCCAGCGTACCATTTGGGAAAAATGCGTTATAATGCTTTTGTAATGCCTTGACCAGCTCATCCTGCCTGTCCCGTTGTACGAGGACATAGTCAGGTGCCACGCAAATCTGTCAAAATTTCGGTTCAGTACGAGGAGTGCCCCCAAATTGGTCAACATCGACTCGCCTGTCCTGCATTGTGGCACTTGCCCCACAAGATCCTCTTTGCGGCCAGATCGACATCGTAGGCCGAGTCGATAATGACAGGACTCTTTCCTCCTAATTCGAGTGTCAGTGGCGTCAGGTGCTTAGCTGCGGCGCTGGCAACGATCCTAGCGACCTTGCCATTGCCCGTGTAGAAAATATGGTCCCATTGAAGCTCCAGAAGCTTTGAAGTTTCAGGGATACCACCGTTAACGATACGGTACATATTCGGGTCGAGGTACTTCGGCACAATTTCCTCCAAGAGCTGTGAGAAGGTAGGGACAAGCTCGGAAGGTTTTAGTACGGCGGTACAACCTGCTGCGATCGCTCCAATGAGAGGTTGGAAAGAGAGCATCATAGGGAAGTTCCATGGCCTGTTTGAGCACGACGTCAGAAGGTGAAATTAAGACAGTATTTTCCGCCTCACGAGATTATCAACACGGTGCCCTTGGGAGCCTTGTATATCCTGGAACATGCGCATATTAATATCAGTCACATTGATGGATGAGGGCCCGATCACTCACGTTGGGTTCCATGGTTTCTGCCGATCAGCCACCTCAGGATGTTCAGGCTTGGCCCACTCTGGGAGCCGTTGTGCACTCTTCACGGCTCTATCGATGACGTTTCCCAATTCATTCGACAGGACTTCTGTTTTTGGCTTTCCGAGGTCTTTCCATAGGGCATCGCAAATGAGCTCGCGTTCATTCTGCGCCATGCGTGCAAGCTGGTATAGTTGGTGTTGACGCCACGGTAAGGGACGCGTCAATCCGCTACGGAAGGTTGCTTGAAGAGCATCTCTGATCTTCACGGCTGATTTAGATCATACGACGAGTGCTGAACAGATAGTACTTACTTTTGGAATGGTATTAACGAATGTTGTCATCTTTCAGTCGCAGAGTAATTGATGGAGTGAAAGGGAGGTTCGAGTTAAACATTCGAGAAATACTAGCAGTTTTATGTAGAACAACACGTTTCGTCCATCCGAAGCCGGTCGACGGGAAATGAGACTGCCGGTTGTGATAGCATACTGTCTGTCAAAAATAACTTCCCAGTCCCGGGGTCGCAGTAAGGCCGATGCGAAGTACTTTCAAAGTAGGTGTTAGGTATGACTCCGCAGCTATCGGCCCTCTCTTCGTACCCTGACATTAGTTGAAAAAGCTCAAGGTGTAAGACGAAGGCACTGACCGTCCGCATGCCATCGACGCTGGCTCGGAAGAGTGAATTTGTCCTTTCCGAGTCGTCTTTGTACTTTTAAAGTTTCACGGTATACACGTGTCTTAATATTTTGACCACAGTCTTCGCCTCCGAGTCCTCCTCTCAGCACACATTCATACCTTTACGTCCAAAAGAGCGTCTTTTTCATCTAGTCGTCGAATCCATCAAGTCAACAGTCGCACAAGGTGTCCTAGGCTTCTTACGACTCGGAGACTTCGTATATTCAAGTCTTTTGTCAAGTCTAACGTCTCATCTCTATTAACTCGTACTCAGCCTTACACACTTGCGATGGAAGAACAAGGCAGTTGGATAATTGAGCTGGAGCCTGAGGCCTGGAGATTGACATGGTCTTGACGCGGTATTCGCAAATCCTAGGGTATGGTAAACCGCACTCACCTCTCACCATGCATCGCTCACTAATATCACTACCATCTTCCTACTAGCATCGTGATACCCACATTTTTCCCGGCGCTGATATATATTTCTGGGTTCTCCCGCGCGTTACAAACTTTCTGTGGGATGGTAGTTTATCCTGCATTCGCTCTTCCTATGACGAGGACTCGAAAGCAAACGATTTTCTATCTTATCTCGATTCAGTGGGCAGAGGTATAGCACGGGTACGTACGGTACCCGTCAGCACGGTTATACGGGTATATGTCCACGGCTAGCTACGATGTTGATCTTCCGACCTGCGCTACCCTACTTGACATGAGGTATACACGAGGAATCAGATGTCGAAGTGAACATTAGGTCACAAGGATCCGTAAGAGTGGGCAACGCGAAGACTCTCCGCCGAGTACAGACTTGGCTCAAACACGAGTCGTCACGTTCTCCTAGCGCTTAATGATAAGCTTACTTGCCCTAAATGCGACACGGCCCGAGTCTTCTTAACTTTATCCTGCATGTGTGCCAAATTTGCATCAAGGCTGCAGCCATTAACAAGATCGAACGAGCAGCTTCAAGTTGATAGTATGAAATTGGGATACGCAGTGTCATTCGTCAAACCATGCTGTAAGCTTGTCTCACAGTAAAATCCATCATGATCATGATAACATCTTGAGTCTTCGAAGGACGCATGGATCTGTAGGGATGATCAGTCAGCTGGACCATGAATATCGCTATTTGAGTGTTGATGAGATAGGAAGCGAGCAAACTACGCGGCCGTGACCCACTACCCCATGTCACTGCAATATACCGGTTCGTCGACGTTCTACACTGAACTCGCTGAAATCCCCCTTCCAGTATCCGCTGATTTCATTGGTGATACTCGAGTTCCACGGGTTACATATTCCGTTCGCGATCATGACCGAAACAGCAAACGATATCTCACAAAGACTTTCGACGATCAATGCACGACCTCTCACGATTCATCCGAAGTAAAGGCGTCCGCGACATCTCCTTCTAAATGTCGCCAAGCGATCCTAAGAGAGGTCGCTAATAGCAAACGATTCGTCGAGATCTGGGCTGGCACCCAGTTAGAAGCTTCATTGGACGTATCAAACTACCATCAAGCTTTCCTCACAGATGGTGAGTAGAACAAAAAAAAAAACACGAAGCCCCACTGATCGATTCCCAGATTTCCTATACTCTCTCTCTTTCTCACCCTCCGAAACTTCCCTCTTATACACTGCCGAGGCATCTGTCAACACTGAAGACGATCCATACAACAAATTCAGATACACGCCCCACTTCGGTGATACCTCGCGCACAAAGAAACGTCCGACCATCTTTTTATTTAGCTGGACTAGATCTCCCGCCTTCACAAGAGCGACTAAACAAGACTTGACCCTTGTCGCCCTCCAGCCCACCACCCAATCACCCATCCTATTCGCCCAAGCCACATTCGCAACAGAAGACACCATCTTCGCAACCGGTCACGAACAAACCAAAGACGGTCGCATCCTCGGCGCAAAAGGATGCTTCAACCGTCCCATGGGCATCTGGCAACTCACTCTCTCAAAAACCTCACTCGGCTCCCCATCCGCATCAAGACTCACTCCCGAAACCAGATCCTGCCGTTCCCCCCGCGTCTTATTCCACAACAACCAGCCCATCAATCTCTTCTGGTTCTCAAACCCCATAGGCGGCCCTCACGCATCATGCGTCTCTCTCGAATCCAGGGATCTCCTCACAGGCACCAACACTGTCCTCGTACCAACCGTATTCGAACCTACCCCATCAGACGACTTTCCGGGCCTCTACACCGAGTACAACATGCCAGCGAGCCCATTTCTCAGGCGCACAGATCGCGTGTACATTGTTCTTCAGTCCATATGGCGCTCTCGCACAACTATCCTCTTCATCGATGCACAATCAGGAGAAATCACAGACGCGACGAAACTAGGCGACGGACCGTTGTATAGCTGGACTTTACACGCTACCGATAACAACAGTCGGTTTATTTGTTCGCGGAGCACGCCTACTACCCCTTGGGAGGTCTTATTAGGATCGTTCGATCGATACGATACCCTTGAATGGAAAGTCCTCGATAAAGCATTGTTGTCTTCTACGAGTGCGTCCCGTCCAAATTCCACTCGCCTAACTCACTCACTTGCTTGCTTCTAGTCAAAGAAGCCCTCGACGACCTAACGCCATCGATCATACCCATCACCATCCGCGCACCAACGGAAACACTCCTCATCCAGTCCAAGAGGGCTTCTATGAGTGGTGGTTCTAAGCCGGTGTGCGTCACTATCCCGCATGGAGGACCTCATGCGACCTCGACTACCTCATTTTTTCCGGCTGTTGTCGCATTAGCGCTTGAAGGATGTACGTCCCACTCTCTTACCAAATTACGACTTCCAAACCACAATCGTCGATAACTCACTCACACCACAGACACCCTCAACATACCCAATTACACTGGCTCCATGGGATTCGGTCAAAAGTACATTCAGAAGATCCTCGGACACTGCGGGAGCATGGACGTCGAAGACGTCGCCGAAAGTGTGAGGGAACTGATCAGAAGGGGCGTTTCAGAGGAAGGAAGACAGGTGGTGATGGGAGGCAGTCATGGCGGGTTTATCGCTGCACATCGTACGTCCCCTTTTTCTCGAAAATGGGCTTTCTCGTTCACACATTTCGATGACGCTAATACCCCCTTTCGCGCGCATACAGTGATAGGCCAATACCCTACCCTATTCAACGCAGCATCGATCCGCAACCCCGTGATCTCAGTAGGCGAATTCGCAACGGGGACTGATATTCCCGATTGGGTTTATTCTGAATTCGGGATCTCACCCACCGGCTCTGACTCCGACTCACTCACGTTACCCACATCCAACTCCGTCCCATTGCTAACGCCAACGCCCACACTTCCACTAATGACTCCAGACGCATATAGTACCCTCTTCGCCGCATCCCCAATCGCGCACGTCGACGATGTAACAGCACCGGTGCTGATATTGATAGGCGAGGATGATTTGAGGGTCGTTCCGGGGCAGGGGATTGGGTTTTATCATGCGATCAAGGGGAGACGTGAGTTTCGGACTGGGAAGGAGAGTGAAACGGGGAAGAAAAAGAAGAAAGGGATAGTAGATATGCTGTCTTTTCCTGGAGAGTCGCATGCGATCGATGGAGTCGAAGCTGCGAGGGTTTCGTTCGAGGCTACGAGGGATTGGTTCAAGGCATTTGGGGAGGGCGGTTAGTTGTGCGTGCGTGTGTGTATGGCAAAGCGAAGGATGTTGTGAAAAATAGAAGGTTAATGTAGAACGGAACATTGAAAGATTCGAGATACTCATTGCCACGAATATAATCTGAGGGAACTCGATATTCGATATTCAACCATGACTCTAAGGGATGAGCTGGTCATCTGAAGTTGTGTCGCTGCTGGCTTCAGAAGAGTTTCTACCTATTAAACGTTGAGTGGGGTCCAGAAAAGAAAGATAGTCATCGGCTGGTGTAGCTACTTGTATATATGTATCTCTAGCATGAATAAAATATCGAAGGAATAGTCATGCGCGGCTTGATCTGCGACCTAGTGACCGACATTCTCAAACACGTATACACAGTACCGGACAAAGCGTGATCATGCAAACATTTCCTACAGTTCCACCATCCGGAATCTAGAACCATTCAACGTAACACAAAATCACATCTCAGCTCCAATCCGAACGAGAATGTTATGCTGCATTGGCTAAAATTGAGGTCTCGCTGAAGACAAGCAGATCAGTGGGACTGTTGCCACAACGTAATGGTGAAACATACGCATGCGATGATTTAAGGTGATTGCAAGGATATTCTTCGATAACTCCGCCTTCGCCTGAGAGGACAAAATTCTTTTCTCTTCTTCCCGAGAGCCTTCAAATGCTTCTTTTGCCTTCCTCTTGAAGGGTTTGAATGGTAACTTCGTCATCCAAGTAGGCAGGTTTCCTTCATACGGATAGACGGCAGTCCTCGTAGCTTCTTCATATGCATGGGAGGCAGCAGTCACAGCTTCTTCATAGGCCTGGACGGCAGCGCTCACACCTTCTTTGACAGCGGCTGCATGCGGAGATGCCATGTACTGCTCGAGAGCGAGATAATAAGAGGGATCAGACTTCTGCTGGTCCTGAAGATAGCGCCGCTTGTCGTAAATGTAGAAAGAGTGTTCGAAAATAATGACAACAGCTAAATGATCGACAATAAGCAGGTTCATCGCAACATAGCTTCGAAATTTACCAGAACCAAGCTGAACAATGTTCTCTATGGTTGATGAACCAGCGGCCTGGCACATTTACAACATGAGAAATGCGTACAATCTGCGACCAATGGGACATACCACAGAGAGTAGCCTCGACCGCATCTCCGTTGCATGATGCTCATAAAGCTAATCAAATCATGATGGAAAATTAATAATCGTCCATCTCTGCTGAGGATCGATACACTTACATCCTGACAATTTATAATATATTCGGTCAGCTTCGCTCGAAGTCAATGCAGGATGAAAAAACCTACTTCCTAATGATGGGATCAGCGATGTCGTTCACAAGCAAGGCTCAGATCAAAACACTCACAGTCTGTTAAGGGACGTGCGATTTCAGTCGTAAGCAAAGCTCAAGCTCAACAAAGGATCAGCACACTGACTTTCTGTCAGCGGATGAGCGATGTCATCGGTGAGCAAGGCTAAAACTTGATTGTGGGTGAAGAGACTCGCCAACTGTCAACGAATCAGGCATATTGTCGGTGAGCAGCGCTAGCACTCAATGGCAGATGAAAAACTTACAATCTGTCAACGGGAATCGGTAATGTGATTGATCAGTGATGCACCAACTCGAACAAGAATCGATGTGCTTACATTCTATAAACGGATGAGTAACGTCTTCAGTCAGTACGATTTGAGCTCAATGTGCATCACCAACTCACAATCTGTTAACAGAGCAGCAATGCTTGCGGTCAGTATGGCGCGAGAGCAACGGACAATCAAGACACTCACACCCTGACAACAGTTCAACGATTGCATGGGTGAGGAAGACAGGAGGTCGACATAAGATAGTCTCACTCACAAGCTGTCAACGAATCAATGATTTATGTAGTCAGTGGGTTAATGTCAGTAGAGGATCAATCTACTTGCCTCCTGCCGATAAATTTTCGATTGCTTTTATCAGGAATGCTGGAACTCGAAAAAAATGAATGCACTCACGGCCTATCAATGAATAGGCACCAGCCTGATTTAGGAAGGTCGAGCTCAAACGAAGATAAACACACTCACACGCTGCGAACAGTGAGCAACGACTTAGATCAGCATGGCTCGAGCTCGAAGGAGGATGAACACACTCACACGCTGCGAACAGTGGGCAACGACTTGGATCAGCATGGCTCGAGCTCGAAGGAGGATCGACACACTCACATCCTGCAAACAGCGGGCAACGACTTGGATCAGCATGGCTCGAACTCGAAGGAGGATCGACACACTCACAGACTGCGAACAGTGGGCAACGACTTGGATCAGCATGGCTCGAGCTCGAAGGAGGATCGACACACTCACAAGCTGCGAACAGTGGGCAACGACTTGGATCAGCATGGCTCGAGCTCGAAGGAGGATCGACACACTCACATCCTGCAAACAGCGGGCAACGACTTGGATCAGCATGGCTCGAGCTCGAAGGAGGATCGACCACTCACAGACTGCGAACAGTGGGCAACGACTTGGATCAGCATGGCTCGAGCTCGAACGAGGATTAACAGACGTACTGCCTGCAAGTAAACGCCCAACATAAATGAGTGCAACCTTCAAACGCCCAAAAAAATCTTACCCTAACATGTGGAAACCAGGCGCCCAATCGCTCTATCATCCGGTCCTGGTACTGAGACGTTATCTCAGCAGAGTCTAGACATTCAATGAGTCCTCTGGACAATATCAGTTGCTGACGCTCATGGCAGGAAATGAGATCATGAGTAGTCACCTCTCCACTGCATATTTCGTGCAGATCTCCAAGTTGGTCCGCTGAGTCGACACGAATAATTGCTGCAACGCTTCGTTGTCCAGAGTTCTAGCTGTCAGTTCGATCAACGGCCCGCAATCAGCATCCTCCTTGTTCATGTCTAATGGATCAGCGTCAAAATGTATCAGATTCATGAGTCGAGGATCATCTACTTACTAGGGAGGCATATGTGACATTTCGGATGGTGTTGAATCTCCTTTGAGTGGTATAGAAACTTCAACTGTGAACCAATCGCGAAGGACTCTTCGGCGTGCTTCGGCGCCAGTTCTTCAGCCTCCTCCATTGATTTTCCCTTCGATTTCAGCTGTGCGTATGCGGTATCGTAGAGGGCATCAAATTTTGTGAACAACACTATGACCGGAACTGATGATGGTGATTCTGTGCATCAGTTGAACTTCGGATATGAAAACTTACTGTTCCCGGTGTCGCACTCGGAGAAAAATTTGATTTCGCCCTTCGTGAACGACCTGTGTGCCTCATCCATCGGGATGCAGTACCTACGTTATAACCGTTAGATGGTGCATTTTATGATTGATCAGTTGAAATTACCAGATGGTATGCAGTTGACTGCTCATTTTCGTTTCCTTTGAGCGTTCCTTGATGAATGCCTTAACCTGCTCAAATTCTTTTTCGCTGCCTGCTTCGAACCCACGTGAATCATGAAAGACGAATCCTGGGTTGCTTGGGAACACCATCTCATTCTCAATATCGTGCAATCCGCGCTGAGAACGTGTCAGTTCATGTTACCATCTATTGAAAGTAGGGCCACCTCTGTCGAAGCCTCCAAAACTGTGGCATCGATCTAATGTGTTTCGCTAAGTCATCACTCCCATCCTCCTACTAGTATCGTGATGCCCACCTTTTCTCCAGCGCTGTTATATATTTCTGGATTCTCCCGTGTGTTACATACTCTCCGTAGGACGCTAGTTTTTCCTGCATTCGCTCTTCCTAGGATGAGGACTCGAAAGCGACGGATTTTCTTTCTTATCTCTGAAGGATCCATGGGAGAAGGTAAAAATGATGGAGACTCAAAGAAGTTGGAGGAGCCTTAAACTCGTTGAAGTGTGTGAACTTGGTTGCCCGAGTTGAAGTCAGCATCTAGATGATCTAGATTTAGTGGGCAAAGGGTATACGCGACAGCCGTGTACCACGAGGGATACACGAGGACTAATAGTCAAATGTGAAAGTGACTTTGATCATTCGGAATGTCTGTGTTGGGTCACGAAGATCCGTAAGACTGGCACAAACCTGAATGATAATAGGAACGAGTCGTCACGTTAAGTAGAAACACGCTAAGGAAGGCCCTCTTACATGGAGCATTATCGATTTATCAATAAGAGTGACAAGGCTGTTGCTATTAGAACAGGAAGCGAGTACAGAGTTACGATCACAGCTTCCGTGCAAAGACCTGTTCCATGGAAAGCGACAAATCCAATCAAGTTCTTACGATGAAAGGTACGACTACCTCGATGTGTAGACAAGTCTTAGAAGGCCATCAAGGGCCCAGCACGGTGGCTTTTTACGAGCGCTAATCAACCGTGCTTCCTCCTCTCACCTCAGTCGCTTCAAAACTTTCATACATATTTTGGCACACCCTCGAGCATTCCCAAGTCCGACACAGCACACCTTTTTACTCAGACCCGCATGTTTTCATTTCATCATGATAACGAGCTGGGGTGTATGCGTAAATAGCTAGTCTGGGTACTACACGAGGATACCTCCCTTCGGCGTAGCTAACGCATGGCCCACACCCGGCCTTCAGATAAATCCGCCCTGACGAAGGAAAGTATTCTCTAACTCGAATAAGGATTCGGCATGGCTAGTCCCCTCGACGCTTCAGCTCTCTACGTCTCTGGTACAAGTCATTTCATCAGCAGAATCACGAATCCTACTGAATATATCCAATAGGTGTCACCCTCGATTTCAGCAACTCGAAGAAGAGTGTGGAGTCGGCTGAAGTACGGATTAGCCTCAGGTCGCCCATGCCAATCAAAAGCGGGGCAAGAAAGGTTTTGCAACAGGCATTTTCCCCATCCATGTAAGCCTACTCGACCTTGACAACTGTGCCCACCTGAGCTGTTATCGTGTTCAATCATAGGAAGCTTTCTCTTAGGGATACATTTTCCTTACATGTACGGTACAAAAAATGGTATGGAACCAAGCATGAAGACATTGTTTTCGAACCGGAAGACATGTTCCGCAAGTGTGGTGCAGAAGAAGGCCAAGGTGAAACAATAATCATTGCGCTTTCGCCTTTATCGCTCATATATTCTACCTCGCATGCACAGGATACAGCAAGGTTCATAAAAACATTTCTATCGTCGTCCAACTTTCCGAGAATCCAACAACCAAGGTGAGGTTACATGTCTCTCATCGGAAATCATCTAAGTCGTATGTTGGCAGACCGAACAGTTTTCCTCCTCCGATGAAACCGTGGAGCTCCGGCCTACCACCGACGAAATCTTTCGCAGGTGTCCTCAGTGAGTCTGGATTACTCTGAAACATTCTTTAGGCTGATGCTAGGGGCTTTCAAGGTTCCGAATTCTGGTGATAGGAAAGGTATCGGGTTTTCATTGATCTCGTGCTAGGGTTGACACGGTATTTTCGATAGACTGGTGTTGGCAAGTCTTCGCTGATCAACCACGCATTCGGAGTAGAAAACGCGGTGGGCTAATCATGACACTATACAGTGTCCAGCTACTCATGCTCTCAATAGATGGCTTCGCACGAACAGCCGGGCGAAGCCAGCATCGACCACGAGTTCATCTCACCGCAGAATAACAGATTTGTTCTCCATGATAGCAAAGGTTTTGAACCAGGAGAAATAGACAACCTCAAGGTTGTCCGAGATTTCATTGAGCGCCGGAGAGTAATGCCTGATTTGAAAGATCGGCTACACGCTGTTTGGTAGGAGTACCATCTTAGTGCATTTGTATGACAAGCAAGCTAACTACATACAAGGCTTTGCTTTGAAATACCCTGCACAGGCGGGCGCTTACTGGAGACCGGCGTGGAGCAATTTCTCACATCGAAGCGCGAAGGAGACCTGGGAGACAGTACGTTGATGAATTCCTACCGCTCCGTGTAGGTCGCAGCTAACGTAGGTCGAAGTTCCCATTGTTGTGGTTTTCACTAAATACGACACCCTCCTCGTTCACGTGGAGCGAACTCTGGACAAGTCGACTATCAAGGGCTTGGACAATGCGGCTATCCAGAAACGCATGAAGGAAAGCGCGGAAGACAAGCTAAAGAAAGTCTGTATCGCACCCCTGGAGAAATTTGCAGGGCCCGGTATTCCGCATGTTGCAGTTTCCAGTGAGTGTTGCTGCTGTGATCGTCATCTGCGTTTTCAATACAATTTTGAGCGCAGCAAATGGACAGCACGAGGAGACGCTGGCCTGTTTGATCCGAACCACCGAAGATCTCGTTTGTAAGCATGTTGGGACCGACGCGTCGGTGATGACATCCGTCGCTCAGCGAGTGGATCCCGGACTGAAGATCAAGGCATCGATAGAGTGAGTCTTACTTGCTTCATTCTTATCTCGCAATTTACGCTACATCAGGGTTAGCAAGAGAAGTCTGTCTTGATTTTGTATCCAAAAATACTGAACAGAAGCTGAGCCTTCATGTCTGTCTTTTAGAATACTGGAAGGCACTCGCGTCAGTCGCACCATTTAAGGATCGTTCGATGTGGGAGTGTCTGCATGTGCTTCACACTGACATCGTCAAAGTGTGGAACTTTCAAGACCCTAATGACGTAATGGCCGTCTTTTTGATTCGTCGACGCATATTCTAACGCCGTTCACGGACAGTACTTGTGCAGCCCAGAGTTCAGAACACTGATGACGAACATGGCTGATGAGCTAGACGTTGGACCAACTGCCGATCCCAACAAGAACCTGTAAGGCATCATTTCGTGCGACGGATAAATTCTATCTCATCCAATATTCGCAGTGCATTTGGGCTTTCCGTTGTGGGTACTATTGTGGGCATCGTGTCTGCCCTAGCCGGACCTGCTGCCCCCATCGTAGTGCCGATAGTGGCAAGTGTTGTGGTTGCGAAATGGGCCCACGACGTATATCAGCGGTCGTACGTCCTGCTACTCATACTCTATGGAGAGAATAACAACAGGTCTCTTCCCAGCTGCTTGGCGCTCCAGCGCTTCATGATATACATAATCGACTTGACACTCGTGTTGCAGACGCTGTATCTCGTGTCTGGAAACCAAGAACTGTCGCGTAGAGCCATCAAGCTTGCGTTCAAGTCCTACCACGACTCACCAACGAGCGGAAGGGTGCATAATAAAATTCAGGAGTACGAGAGGCAATTGACCTTTTTGGAACGCGCGGACCGCGATTCATTAGACGAATTCGTCAAGCTGCTAGAGTCATGTGGCATCAGTGCAGAAGAAATGTTGGTTCTTCGGGGAAAACTTCCCGTTGTGGATTTATCTTCGGATGAACCATGGGACGAGAAGTCTTAGCACCTGATTTTTTTGTGTATGATTTTGTGTTTGCTGGTGTCTCATACCTGGATGTCGACGTGTTCTTACTCGTACTATGTAATTGGAGTTATGGCTGGTCTTTGCTACTGTGGTCTGCCCTGACGTTCTCTCTGAAAAACTTTTCCCTGAAACGACCTGAGAAATCAGTTTTTCCTGCCGGATCTCTCTCCATGGTTGGTATTCGCACCCGCATTTGCATTTTCATTCGTGTTAGTGTTATAGCATATACGTTCATCGTCTGCGATGGGACAGGGACTGAGGGCCACTCTTGATATGTTTCGAGATAACTTGCCTTGCCGGTATGCGAATCCGTCCGGATGCTGCGAGCAACGTGCGCAGGTGCATCTAAATCAAAGTTCTTGCGCTGACAGGGGTAAACAGGATTCGGTCAGACTGAACACGCGGCTCGAGGTCATGCATGTATGCGTGATAAGCTTGCTAGGATTTACCAGACAAAAATAGTGGATGTCATTCACTAGCGTGTCTATCACAAACATTGAACAGAAATCTCTAAAATCATGTTTCGCATTTGTGCCGTGTTTGGTGGGAGTCAAGTACTACACAGTGCGGGTTGTTAGCTCCCATGACCTCATGCATGATGAGCATTCAAATATTCACCACTCGAGTCCTCGTGCATGATCAAGCTGATATATGGCATCAAGCGACATCTCAATGATTATACGAATATTTGTATATAAGGTAGGGTGTTGGCCCATCACTATATGCGCGCAAAAGTAACGTGTGGTACATTTCAAATTATGGTGTATACTGGCAAGAACATCTAGCAGCTTAATGTAGATCGGAATACTGAGAGATTCGAGATGCTCATTGCCACGACTATAAAATCTGGGGGGTTCAAACCCGAAATTGTGTCGCTGCCAGCTTCAGAAAACTTTCTACCCATTAAACGTCGAGTGGGGTCAAGAGAGGAAGGGAAAAAAAGATAGTCATCGGCTGATACAGCTACTTGTATGTATGTATTTCTAGCACGAGTAAAATATTAAAGCAATGGTCATGAACTGACCCGGTGACCGACATTCTCCATACACGTTTACACTAGGCTATACCAGACGAAGCATCATATTGCATGATTAAGCAAGCAGTTCGGCATCATGAATCTACCCCTGACCATTCAAGACACCAACATTCACAGCTAAGACACCTCAGCGCTCAGCTCAGCTCCGAACCGCAACACTGCGTTACATTGCTCATTAAGGTCTCGCTAAAGACAAGCGGATCAGTGAGGTTGCGATAACATGACGGTGAGACATACCCAGGCGATGCTTCAAAGTGATATCAACAATAATCTTCCTTAACTCCGCCTGCGCCTGAGAGCACAAAGATTCTTTCTTCTCCGCCTGAGAGCGTTCAATGGATTGTTTCTCCTTCTTCTCAGAGTTCGAAAGCTTCTTTTGCCTTCCTCTTGAAGGGTTCAAATGCTAACTTCGCCATCCGAGCAGGCAGATGTCCTTCATATGGATATACAGCAGTCCTCACAGCTTCTTCATATCCGTGGGCGGCAGTAGCCACAGCGTCTTCATATCCGTGGGAGGCAGCAGTCACAGCTTCTTCATAGGCCTGGACGGCAGCGCTCACATCTTCCCTGACAGCGGCTGCATGCGGAGATGCCATGTACTGCTCGAGAGCGAGATAATAAGAGGGATCAGACTTCTGCTGGTCCTGAAGATAGCGCCAATTGTCGTAAATGTAGAAAGAGTGTTCGAAAATAATGACAACGGCTAAATGATCGACAATAAGCAGGTTCATCGCAACGTAGCCTCAAAATTCACCAGAGCTGAGCTGAACAGTGTTCTCCAGGGGTGATGAACCAGAGGCCTGGCACATTTGCAACATGAGAAATGCGTACAATCTGCGACCAATGGGACATACCACAGAGAGTAACCTCGACCGCATCTCCGTTCGATGACTCGGATAAAGCTGTTGATCATAATGGAAAATTGAAAATCGTCCGCCTCTGCTGAGAATCAATGCACTCACATTCTGCCAATGTGTAATATCTTCGGTCAGCATGGCCCTAAGTCAAAGAAAGATGGAGAAACCAGCCTCCTGTCAATGAATCAGTGATGTCGTGAGCGAGCGAGGCTAGGATCGAAACACTCACACGCTGTTAAGGAATGTGCGATTTCAGTCGTCAGCAAAGCTCGAGCTTGACAGAGGATCAGCACACTGACTTTCTGTCAGCGGATGAGCGATGTCATCGGTGAGCAAGGCTAAAACTTGATTATGGGTGAAGAGACTCGCCGACTGTCAACGAATCAGGCATTTCGTCGGTGAGCAGCGCTAGAACTCAATGGCAGATGAAAAACTCATATTCTGTCAACGGGAATCGGTAATGTGATTGATCAATAATGCACCCATTCAAACAAGAATCGATGTGCTTACATCCTGTAAACGGATGAGTGACGTCTTCAGTCAGTACGGTTCGAACTCGATGGTACATCACCAACTCACAATCTGTCAACAGAGCAGTAATGTTTGCGGTCAGTATGGCGCGAGAGCGACGTACAATCAATACACTCACACCCTGACAACAGTTCAGCGATTGCATCGGTGAGGAAGACAGGAGGTCAACATAAGATAATCTCACTCACAAGCTGTCAACGAATCAATGATTTATGTAATCAGTGGGTTAATGTCAGTAGAGAATCAATCTACTTGCCTCCTGCCGATAAATTTTCGATTGCTTTTATCAGGAATGCTGGAACTCGAAAAAAATGAATGCACTCACGGCCTATCAATGAATAGGCACCAGTCTGATTTAGGAAGGTCGAGCTCAAAGGAAGATCAAAACACTCACACGCTGCGAACAGTGAGCAACGACTTGGATCAGCATGGCTCGAGCTCGAAGGAGGATCGACACACTCACAACCTGCGAACGGTGGGCAACGACTTGGATCAGCATGGCTCGAGCTCGAAGGAGGATCAACACACTCACACGCTGCGAACAGTGGGCAATGACTTGGATCAGCATGGCTCGAGCTCCAAGGAGAATTAACAGACGTACTATCTGCAAGTAAACGCCCAACGTAAATGAGTGCAACCTTCAAACTCCCAGAGAAATCTTACCCTAACATGTGGAAACCAGGCGCCCAATTGCTCTATCATCCAGTCCTGGTACTGAGACGTTGTCTTAGCAGAGTCTAGACATTTCATGAGTTCTCTGGACGATATCAGTTGCTGACGCTCATGGCAGGAAATGAAATAATGAGTAGTCACCTCTCCACTGCATATTTCATGCAGATCTCCAAGTTGGTCCGCTGCGTCGACACGAATAATTGTTGCAACGCTTCGTTGTCCAGAGTTCTAGCTGTCAGTTCGATCAACGGCCCGCAATCGGCATCGTCCTTATCCATGTCTGATGTATCAGCGTCAAAATATATCAGATTCATGAGTCGAGGATCATCCACTTACTAGGGAGGCATATGTGACATTTCGGACGGTGTTGAATCTCGTTCGAGTGGTATAGAAACTTCAACTGTGAACCAATCGCGAATGACTCTTCGGCGTGCTTCGGCGCCAGTTCTTCAGCCTCCTCCATTGATTTTCCCTTCGATTTCAGCTGTGCGTATGCGGTATCGTAGAGGGCATCGAATTTTGTGAACAACACTATGACCGGAACTGATGATGGTGATTCTGTGCATCAGTTGAACTTCGGATATGAAAACTTACTGTTCCCGGTGTCGCACTCGGAGAAAAACTTGATTTCGGCCTTGGTGAACGACCTGTGCGCCTCATCCATCGGGATGCAGTACCTATGTTAAAACCATCACATGGCGCATTTTATGATTGATCAGTTGAAATTACCAGATAGTGTGCAGTTGTTTGCTTATTTTTGTTTCCTTTGAACGGTCCTTGATGAATGCCTTCACCTGCTCAAATTCTTTTTCGCCGCCTGCTTCGAACCCACGTGAATCGTGAAAGACGAATCCTGGGTTGCTTGGAAACACCATCTCATTCTTAATATCGTGCAATCCACGCTGAGAACACGTCAGTTCATGTTACCATCCATTGAAAGTACGGGCCACCTCTGTCGAAGGCGTCAAAACTGTGGCATCGATCTGATGTCCATCGCTAAGTCATCACTCCCATCCTCTTACTGGCATCATGATGCTCACCTTTCTCCCGGCGCTGTTATATATTTCTGGGTTCTCCCGTGTGTTACAAACTCTCCGTAGGATGTTAGTTTTTCCTGCATTCGCTCTTCCTATGATGAGGACTCGAAAACGACAGATTTTCTTTCTTATCTTTGAAGGGTCCATGGGAGAAGGTAAAAATGATGGAGACTTATAATCGTTGAAGTGTATGAACTCAGTTGACCTTGCCCGAGTTGAAGCTACAGGCATCTAGATGATCTAGATTTAGTGGGAAAAGGGTATACGCGGCAGCCGTCACATGAGGGATACACGAGGACTAACAGTCAGATGTGAAACTGACTTTAATCATTCGGAAGTGACGGAATAACTGTGTTGGGTACGAAGATCCGTAAGAGTGGAAACCGTCTCCTATCGATTGAGGCAATCAGTAAGACTGGCACAAACCTGAATGATAATGAGAACGAGTCGTCACGTCCTCCTGACGAGGTGGAAACACGGTACCCCTCTTACATGTGTACCAACTTTGGCTTGGAGCACTATCAATAAGAGTAGCAAGGCTGTTGCTAAGAAGTGAGTACTTACAATGAGTTGATCACAGCTTCCGAACTTCCGAACGCGCACGTGACCAAGTTATGTCACTGCACTCAGTGCTGCGCTGTACTGAACTAGCTGTTCCGAATTCCCTTTCCAGTATCCGTTGTTTTCATTGGTGATAGTCCACTGAAGCTCGTACCGGTCAGATGTTTCATCCGTGATCACAAACGACCACAAACGACTCTCTCATCAACGATTTGACATAAAATTCGCGACATCTCAAGCTTCTCAATCTTGTCAAGTGATACTGACAGGGATAAACGAATCATCGAGATCTGGACTATCAGAAGCTTCATTGGATGTATCCAACTTCCACCAGGCTTTCCTCATGGCAAGTGCGTGAACAGAACACATTTTAAACACGAATACGTGCTGATTTAAGTAATATATACGCAATCCAGTCATCCATGCGATCAAGCCAACTCACATGGTATGTATATCTCTGAGTTGGCCGGAACTCCAGGGGTCGGTGGATGGATGCTCGACGTTCGGCTGGATACTGCAGTTGGTTCTCTTGAAAATCAGCGTCATAATCAGGCTCGTCATCTCAGACCTGGAGTGAGGCTGGTTGGTATTCGCATTCGCATTATTCATGTTAGTGTTAGCATATACGTCCATCTTTTGTAATAGGACAGGGACTGAGGGCCATTCTCGATATGTTTCGAGACTTTATGTCTTTTCTCGAATGCAAATACGTCCCCGAGATGCTGCGAGCAATGTGTGCAGGTGCACCTGAACCAAAGTTCTTGCTCTGACAAGGATTTGGTCAAATTCAAGAACATGCGGCTCGAGGTCGTGCCACGCGTGATAAGTTGTCTAGGATCACCAACTAAGAGATCGCGGATGTCATTTACTAGGATTTGACAAACCGGTCGGAAACATGTTAAGAAATTGTACGAAAATCTCAGAATCTTCCAGGATCATCTTGTTCACATTTGTGTTGCCAGTGTGTTAGGTAGGAGTCATGTGCGACTGAACATCAAGGGGACCATGCGGGTGATTTAGATATGCACATTGTAAGATCAACAATATTAATGTGAGATCTGATGCGAAGTTAGACTTACCTCGGCTTCGACTTAGTTTCTCCCGATGTTACACTTGCCATCCAGAGTAATAGTTTCAGCCTCCTGTGGATATTGTATGACAATATGATATGATTCAAGGTGAGGCGAGACGGACAAGGGCCTCGACGTTGTCATCCAGAGTAATAGTTTCCCGAGCAGCATGTGAACATTGTATGCCGATATGATGCGATTTGACGCGAGGCGAGGTTTATTGCTGGCACCCCAGCGTTGACAAGGGCTGTCAGGCCGAAGAGAACGACGAAAATATCATCAGTTGAACGTCAAATACCACATGCATAATCGAAGTGGTACAGTAGAACGTTGTACAACAAACAACCTTCGGCCTAGTCACGTTGGCTGATCATTCAACGCTCGCAAGCCTCTTGCGATCTGTTTTTATTGCTTGAGTCTATGAAGTATGGTCTGAAGTCAAATCGTGGAGTATGTATAGATCACCTACAGTAAAGACGTTCATCGCAAATCTCCATCGCTCGTTTCCACTTCCTATATCCTAACAATTGACGACAACTCCTACCAGATCTGAATACGGATATAGGCCTCTGCAGCTGCATTTTTGAATCAAGGACTCTCAACGACTGCGGAAGATTTGAGATCTTTGAGATAGTTCCGGACCTCGTGCCACGCATTCGCATGGCTGGAATCCGGGGCATGGTAGACCTTGTCGACGCAAGGAAGCATAGAGAAGATGATACGAGCAACAGCCTCTGTATCCACGACCTTAGCGGAGCGTACATCCAATAGTTGAAGCGATGTATGTCGAGATGATGATGGCTCCGTTGTAGGGTCAACGTCAATATTCATGGCGTCGATCAACATTCTGAGCGTATCCAAATGAGGACATTGACGGAGCGCTGCGAACAGTCCACGGAATGTAATGGTGGCTTGACGACATTTTGTATCATTTAATTCTAGAGAGCGGATGTGTGGCCAACATGACATGGCTTCCAAAAGACTGTTGTTGTCAAGGTGGGCACAGCAATAAGGACATTGGAGATTCAAGACTCGGAGCTGCGGACAACGACGGAGATGTGTGATTGCTGTCCATGAGTTGTCCGGATCCTGACCTCCCGAACACCAGGATGTTATCCTAATTTTTTCAAGGGTCTGGCATGCTTTAAACTGAGATATGGCATAAAAAAACCGCTCAGCATCTGCCCAAGGGAATTGACAGAAAGAAATGACGATATCTTTCAGGGAAGGGAATTCTGAGTGTTGCATGAGTGATGTGATGTACGCAGCCGTTTGTGCCCTAAAAGAAAGAGCTGTGAGGTTGAGGAAGGGTCCGAGGGAGATATTATCGAGATTTGATGGGGAAGTGACCATACTCCTCATATCAACTGTGACAGTGAAAAGGGTAGGGAGGTTGGAGAGATGCTCCCATGCTGCCCAGTCGAGAGGTGGAAAATACAGAGTTACAAGCCGCTTGCACACACGGACACTGTCAGATAAAATGGACATCGTATCTGATGAGGTGGGACCGCTGCTCATCAAGTATAAGTGTTCGAGAGCAGTACACCGGGTTACAATCAATTTGAGATCCGAAACAATGGCGCAAAGGACACAACGACGCAGGGTGGGAGACAGAAAAAGATGCAGATATCTAGTCGGACATGGAAGCGAAGCCGTAAATAACGACTGCAGCCTCGGAAACATGCATGTCTTTTCCGGGAGGACTGACAGAAGACGAAAATGATGGTTAAATGCTACTTCAAGATGTATTGAGCGTACGCGGGCAGCGTGACGCAAGAATTGACGAGCTTCATTCGCCGATAAAGGTTCGATGTCGTCAAAGTCAGGATGTTTGTACGAGGGGCGCTGTGTTTAGGACTCAGTGATGGATGAACAGAGCGCAATGTTCTGCACACACCTTTGCACGGTATATTATTGGATACAACCTTGTGACACAGCCTAGCAGTGGATTTAATCCATAGATTTCAGCCCACAGTTCATTCATGGCGGGTTCGTAGAATGTTTTACACGTCCTTGCAAGTGCTGCAAGGTATGTTGGCGCCGATATCTTCGGAAGAAACAAGGCGATTGGGTCCTGGGTTGCATTGACATGCTTAAATATCTCTAGGAGGATTTCGAAAATGAGTAGAGCCCGATGCATCGATCTGATATCGATAGAGCAATGCTCAGCTCCATCTGAAAATGGAAGCCAGCAGCTTAGCTACGCCACTCCCATAGATTGCCGCCTTGCCACTTTTGTTGATGAAGGATTCTAAAATATTTGACCGTGTTCACCTGGTGTTCACTAACAACACCACTGCTACGATGTTACATAAGCCTCTCAACACTTTAAACCTATCTCACCCACCGACACCATTCACACCGCCTCCTTTTAACACCAGAGGGTGCAATTGTCTCCTTTGCTTGTTCGTCAACAGCGAGTGGGAGTGGGGGTGATGAAAGAAACACGACGCAGATGATTACACATCCTAATGCAAATGGACTGCTCTCAATGCTCACGCGTCGAGCACCAATGGACATACTTCATAATCATGCCGTACTCCACCATTACGAGGGAGCCCAGGATGTAGTACTGCATCATCACACGCGCTCGGTAGTAGGTCTTCTCAGGCGATGTGTTTACACAGGTCAAAAGATGAGATATGGATATTCGCTGGGTTGAGCGCTGAAGTGTGGGCTGAGACAAGGGGTTAAGAAGGGGTTAAGAAGGGGATGGGGATGGTTGAGAGTGAGGTGGGTTGACGCTTTTCTTTTTCTGTTCTTTCCGAGCTCACGCGTACTCCTGTACTTCTCACCTTTATGTGAATGTTTACTGACAAGTCACGCGTAGCTTGGACGAATAGTTGACATCCCTGCCGATGATGCTAGTTCAGAATTACAGGATGAAAGAGAACCGCTGCTATTGCTCGCTGTAAACGGTGGCGTAGAAGCTAATTGGAAGACTATGTGTGCAAAAGTGGGCTTCTTGCGTACCGGTTCTCTTTAACACTAATGCCTGACAGGCCAAAAAACTAGGAGCATACCTTGCCGCCTCCGTAAACAAACACCGCGGTGCTATTGAAGCGTCTCCACTGAATCGGACGTCGGCTACTACGAGCAAGAGCCGGACAAGGAGTACGACAACGCGACCTATGGTTGGCGGTGCCCTGCATGGCGATGAACTAGAATAATAATGCGGGTGCCGTACCGCAGGGATGTATCAGTACCATCTATCTCGTGTGACGCAAGCGTTGACAAGCTTGATTCGCCGATGATGGTTCGATGTCGTCAAAGTAAGGAGGGTTGTACCAGGTGCGCTGTGTTCAGTTGCTCGGTGAGATACTACTGAACGAAAGGAGATGAACAGAGCGCGCGATACTCTACACTCGCCTCTATACAGTACATTATTGGACGCAACCTTATCACATAGCCTAGCCGTGGATTTAATCCATAGATGACAGTTTAAAGCTGATTTATTGCGGGTTCGTAGAATGGTTTGCATGACGTGCTATAAGCTGGATGTCTACAGCAATATTAATGACACTTTGTGATACGAGTGATCATGTGGCATATAAGCTTGAATATCTCGAGGATTTCGCAAACAAGTAGAGCCCGATGATTACATAATTAGGTGTTGGCGTGCAAAAGGCCACCCAGCTGCGCCGCGTCAAATTTGGGCACTATAATTTGCATGGTCCTCGCGTCTGAAATCTGGAGAACAGATTCTATCCAACACAAATCTCTGACGAAGTCAATGAGTCTTGGAATATAAACATGCGAGCGTCAAATTGCTGAGAGACGCCCGCTGGAAGTTGAACGTTGATTGATAAGAACTGAACTTGCTTGAACATGCTTGTCTCAGTGACACCCGATCGAGTCCTTAGGCCTTAGGATAGATCCCTTCTCTTCCATCAATTTGCAGATTATCTACTAGTGAAGTCTATCACACAAGCCGTGACTTAACAGCTTCTTCATTGAAATCTTTGCGCGTTGCATATGCAATGTCGTCCGGAAACTTCCTCCCAGATTTGTCTCCTCCTGACGTGCAACAAGCAGCTCAAGTACGTACTTCAAGTCTATACTTCTTTAAGAAAATTATTTACGACACTTCCTCAGTTGATACAACAAGCATATTCGAGTGCACATGCCCAGGTGGATCAACGGCGAATCCAGCAAGAGCTGGTCGAGATTCAGAGACGACCTGAAGCATGGGGGTTAGTTGTACCTTTCCTCGAACATCCAGACCCGAACGTGCAATTCTTTGGCGCGCATACCGCGCAAGTTAAGATCATGCGTGATTGGCAAGTGCTCTACATTTTTCTCTTTGCAATGGTACTGATCGGCTGCTGTTGCTGCAGGGATTCGTTTCCTGAGGAAAACGCCGAACATCTACGAGAATTACTGCTCAAGCTCACCTCGCACTCCATATTAACTGGAAAGGGCAAGGTAGTATGCCGCAAACTATTTGTTGCAGTAAGTGCAAGTTCTAGATTCAAGTCCGTCTAGTGATCGTTTGCAGATCACATCACTTGCGCTCCGCCTTGCACCGGGTTCACCTTCAAGGTGGCCAGACTGGATAGTGTCAGCAGTCAATTCTCTCTCTTACTCTGGCATGCCTCCGGAACAACTCCTTGCCTTCCTTACCATAGTTGCTGAAGAGGTTGAAACAGCCGACCTTTTAGGGTCTAGTAAGTGAGTGTGACGACTTGATTCACTCTGTCTCGTCACCAATTTCGTTCCAGGATGCAGATGCACCAGTCTCTTCTGGATGCTTCTCCAATGGTCATTCAAGCTGTAATAACATCTATCACTCGACCAACTCTCATATTGCCCGAACTGCAATCCGCACTCAAGTGCTTTCAAGCGTGGATATACACCTTACGAGCCGAGTAATGTTCTTTCATATGTTCTGTTCAATTCTCGACTCAACGCGCCACACAAGTGACATTACACCTGTTATTCCACTGTTGATCACGATAATGACGCCCGCGCCTGAGTCTGGATTTGACGAGTCGACTTTCTCGGTGGCTTCTGATGTTCTACAGGAGATCATGACGAGGTCTTCGTTGGCTGGAGGCGCGGGTACAGGAACGTTGACGGAGCCGCTCCTTGTTTGGCTTGATGCTCATGGAGATCGCGGTGAGCCTCGATGGTCGCACATCTTCATTTGATATGACTGCTCACCATTATTTGATATACAGCCGGTTCAGTCGATGGTGTGTCTCATTCACTTTGCAAATTACTGGTCGCCCTGGGAGATCACTCCACCATGTATTTTGCCTCCAACATCACATCGTTAAAACCCATACCCGGAACATCCTACCGGCGCGCCTACTTTGTGCAGAGGTTCTTGCACCTCCTTTTGAAATATACTGGACTGCCGGGTTATTACGGTGTTGACGAAGAGGAGAGCGAGATGACCCTTGGCTTTTGGTACCTCTTTCAGGAGTCGTTGTGGAGCGTGGAGTACGAAGACCAAGCTGAGGAACAGGACGGTATACCTTCGCTTCTTGATGTCAAGGAAAAGGAACAATGGACCATCGTGAATGCGGTATACGTTCAACTTGTAGAGATACTGAGAAGGAAAGTGATGTGGCCAGACCAGCGTACTCTCGGTTACTGGGCAAAAGGTGACAGATTTATATTACGTTTGCCTGCTTTGTGCTGAATTGAAATCCTTCGTAGATGAAATCGACCGGTTTCAAGTGTGAGTAAGAGCAATGTTCATCAATTCACATGGCATTGACAATTTGCAGATATCGGAGGGATGTCGGTGATACTCTGATCAATGCGTGAATAAGATGATCGACATGTCTGTATTTTATGTTGATTCATCCCCAGATATTACATCCTGCGCAATGATATGTTGGGCTACTTCCTCGAGGACATGCAAAAGCGCTTTGCGCAACAGAATGGATTGCAAGGGTGGGAGGTGAGCGGTTCTTTCAGTTTATACAATACTCATTTAATACATAATATCAGGAAATTGAAGCCACGTTGCACTGTATCATGTCAATTCAAGAAGCGGTACCGCTGGAAGACAACCCCTTCCTCGGTCGGCTGTTTGGACCTGATGTGCTTGGTCGTTTGCCAACTTCAGGTCAGGATCGAATACGTAGGACCATGCTTGGCCTGATTGGTAGGAGCATCGCACACCTGACTCATGATCGCCTTCCTGACTTTTCGTGTTCAGCGGCTTACTCGACATGGTTTACAACCCAAGCCAAAGCACCGACACCCACCTCAACTTCGTCTCTTTTGATGAACGCCATTTCTTATGTCGTCGCTGCTCTACCAGAGCCTGCGTTATGTCTGCCGGCTGCAAATGCCCTTCGTGATCTGTGCGATGCTAATCGTGCTGCGCTTGCGCCTCATATTGGCGCATTCGCAGAGCTGCATGCCGGATTGAGTGGTATCCCGGTCCGTGAGATTCATGTATGGTCTATATCTCCACTGATGTCATGCAAACATGCCCAGGATACGGAAAAAAGCAAGGTTCTTCAATCAATTGCGAGCGTAATACAAGCATTGCCACCTGAAGAGGAGATTCCACCGATCCAGGCGATTGTTATCCCAGTGGTCGAAAAACTTGCACAAGCTCTTCACAGTTCCTCCCAGGTTCGTATTGAGTCACACGGTTTCCTCGAGGCTGAATTATTTTGTCTTCTGCAGCTTGTGGACGAAACTCGTTTCATAATCATCTCCCAGCTTCAGACGTTGTCAGGGGTAGCCAAAGGTCTTACACGCACGCAAGACTCGTTGCTTATCCTTGACGAATCGCCCGAAGAGAGAGCCGAGGCTGAGCGCCTACAACGAGCACGTGATGACTACACCATGGTAAAAGTTCGTGAAGACTTGTTCAACACGATAAGAAATGTAGCAACGTACTGGTCCATGGATGCAGGTGTCTCAGATGTATGTTCCAGTGTATTTCTACGCATTATTCGACTGACATTGAACAAGGCCTTGAGTGACTTTTTCCGTTCGATAACTTCTTTGCCTTCGGATATCACCCTGCTTTCTCTTCCTGCAGCTCCGATTTTCGAGATCATATGTCTTGCATGCCAGAGGCAACTCACGGCTGTATGGCTGTCTTTAGCAAACATGCTCGTCATTCAGCTTGATCCACCGACGTTGTTTTCAACCTCAACGCTCAAATCCACACCGAGTCCTGAGGCGCTGGGGGTGATCTCGACTCTACTGCCAGTGTTGCTGGAAGCATCGCTAGGAGTACTGGGACAACCTGGGTCGATGGAAGCTGTGTGTACCTTGTGTTTTTTTTTTGAACAAGAGTCCTGATGATTTCTCATCATAGAATCCTGACATCGTGCAAGCCTTTTTCGGATGCATGGACACCGTGAGTAGAATCGCAGACCCGATGCAAAGCTGATTTAAATCACCCAGATTGCAAAGCATTTCCTTGTGGGGTTTTATCGACTGCCAGTCGGCGCCCTCGATGCGTTGATGCAATGTTCTGTGACTTCACTGTCGCTGCAAGAGCGATATTCACTTGTTGCAACATGCACTTTTCTGGTACTTGTCGTTTTGTGCTGATGTCATCACCTCTCATTTGTTGGTGTCAGGAAACGCTCATAAGACGAACAGCTAGTAGTGATGATCTTGGAGATGCAAGTACAATACTAATTCAAGGGCATGGTCGGCCGATCATACGAGCCATCCTGTGTGGCTTCGCGGGTGTGGCGCCAAGATCCGCGACGCAGAATCTGATAGAATTGCTATCTATAGTAGCATCCAAGTTCCCGGCAGAGACGAGAACGTGGATGACTGATATCTTGTTTGCGGTATGTCTTAGTTGTTGCTCTGTGATGAAGTCTGACATGAGTGCAGGATGACTTTGTGCAGTCGAAGGCAAGCCCGGAGGCGAAGCGAACTTTTGTAAAAGCTATCATTGGGTTTGTCAATGCCTGTCATACTAGCTGGTCCCTGTACTAATTGCGAGTAGGTCTCGATCGCCGAAGAAAACGAGGGAAGCAGCACAGCAGTTTACACTTGTTGCCCGGGGTCTGGAAGGTACTAGCTTTGGATACGCTTCTGTCAATATTTGATGCGGGAAGTTTTGCTACTGGTCCGCTAATCCGAAAATTACGTTGAACGCGTTGGATTCAAGAACCGGTGCTCATCGGAGGCGTCAGTACATCACTGTCAATGTGTACACCTAGTACCACCCACGGTAATGAGCGTGGAAGGGTTGAGGGAAGTGCGGCGGCCGTAACTGCCGGTACGCTGCAGGACCTGTAGTTAGCTCCCACAGCCACGCAGCGATGTTTGGACCCATACTTACTATTGTGCGACGGGCCTCCGTCGTGAATCGTCGGTATTTCGGCGATATTGAATGAACCTAGCGTATGTGTCTGAAACCTGTGACTCATCGGATATATAGCCCGGGGTTGATCAGGATTGGTCCGGGGACTCATCTGGGGCAAGTGCCTGGCAGTCGGCGAAAGTGCGGTTTGTTGAGTGAAGCATAACGGCGGAGATCATCAAAAGCGGCAAGTTGTTCGGCTGTAGCGGGAACAGTCTTACAAATAAAAATGGCTGTGATTGGCTGTCAAGCTCCCATGAATCACAAGCATAAATTGGTAAATATCGGAACGCGAATTGCCGAGCTCACGCTTTTCTTCAAACTTGCTTGTCGTACACACAGCTGCTCGTCGGCCTTTTCGACGATGCCTATCCTCTCTTCCTCAACGCGCGATGCGGTGCGCTCGCTGCAGCGGCTGGCCGCGGGGATGGCCACTGCTGCCCCAAGAATTGGTGACACCAAAGTCCCAATGTCGCTTCTCGAGAAGGGTGCATACATAAACTACCAGCGCATTGAGGATAACCTCGCCATCGTCCGTGACAGGTGATTGAAACAATTTACCGGACTTATAATCTGACTTCTGATGCACAAACTGTTCCGCAGGCTTCAGCGCCCGCTTACCTTGTCGGAAAAGATAGTGTACGGACACTTGGATGATCCTCATAACCAGGACATTGTCCGAGGCACAAGCTACCTTAAGCTCCGCCCTGACGTATGCCTGACGTTTATCTTCTACTGCGAGTAATCATTGAATTATTATATCTTTATCAACAGCGGGTGGCTTGTCAGGATGCTACTGCCCAGGTTCGCCCCATAACGTCACTACATGTCTCATCGCTGACGTAATCATAGATGGCTCTGTTACAATTCATGTCTGCAGGCATGGACACAGCAGCTGTTCCGACTACAGTTCACTGTGACCACTTGATAGAAGCTCAAGTTGGTGGTGCTAAAGATTTGGCACGTGCCGTTGATCTCAACAAAGAGGTGTACGATTTCTTGGCTACTGCCACAGCAAAAGTTGGTTGGTTGCGACTTCAGTTCTTTGTATTTGCTCATTGGCTTGCAGTATGGTCTTGGATTTTGGAAGCCGGGTTCTGGTATCATTCACCAAATTATTTTAGAGAACTATGCATTCCCCGGTGGACTTATGATCGGTACTGACTCTCACACGCCTAATGCGGGAGGTTTGGGTATGGTTGCTTGCGGTGTTGGGGGTGCCGATGCTGTTGACGTCATGGCGGACATTCCCTGGGAATTGAAGTGCCCTAACGTTATCGGTGTGAACCTTACTGGCAAGATTGGAGGCTGGACTACTCCCAAGGGTGCGCGCAATGTTGAATTGATTCTCTTGCATGGCTAATCGTTCGTAGACGTCATCCTGAAGGTCGCTGGCATTCTTACTGTCAAGGGTGGAACTGGTGCCATCGTTGAATACCACGGTTCTGGTGTGGAGTCATTGTCCTGCACGGGTATGGCCACTATTTGTAACATGGGTGCCGAAATCGGCGCAACTACCTCGCTCTTCCCCTTCAACCGTCGTATGGTTGACTATCTCAACGCTACCAAGCGTTCCGAGATTGCTCAATACGCACAGCGCTTTTCACACAACCTTAAGGCTGATGAAGGCTGCGAGTACGACCAGAACATCGAGATTGTTTGTAATGTTGTTGATATCATGATTGTCCTGACTGATCTTCTGTGCCCAGAACCTCTCGGAACTCGAGCCTCACATCAACGGTCCCTTCACTCCTGATCTCGCTACCCCGCTCTCGAAATTCGCAGAGGAGGTCAAGAAGAACAACTGGCCCCAAGAACTCAAGGTCGCTCTCATTGGTTCCTGCACTAACTCTTCATACGAGGACATGTCTCGCTCTGCTTCCATTGCCCGTGAAGCTGCCGAGCATGGTCTCGATGTCAAGAGCAAGTTCACGATCACTCCTGGTTCTGAGCAAGTCCGTGCTACCATTGAACGTGACGGTCAAATCGGTGCTTTCGAAAACGTCGGCGGTCTCGTCCTGGCTAACGCATGCGGTCCTTGTATCGGTCAATGGGACAGGAAAGACGTTAAGAAGGGCGAGGTCAACTCCAGTACGTTGTTTGTATCATTGTTTTACGTTTTCCAACTAGTGGGTTTTAGTTATTACCTCCTACAACCGTAACTTCACCGGCCGTAACGATGCTAACCCCGCCACCCATGCTTTCGTCGCCTCCCCGGATATTGTAACCGCAATGGCTTTCGCTGGTGACCTTACCTTCAACCCGGTTTCGGACTCCCTCATTGGCTCTGACGGCAAGCCCTTCAAGTTCTCAGACCCTACTGGTAATGAACTTCCTCCTCGTGGCTACGACCCCGGCCAAAACACCTTCCAGCCTCCTCCTGTAGACCGTGCTAGCGTTGCAGTTGCAGTTGACCCTAAGAGCGACCGTCTTCAACTCCTCCATCCTTTCAAGGCTTGGGATGGCAAGACTCCAGCTGACCTTCCTGTTCTGATTAAGGTGAAGGGCAAGTGCAGTAAGTGAACTACATCTTCGAGTCCTCACACTGCGCCTCATTGGTATGTCTAGCGACTGACCACATCTCTGCTGGTGGTCCCTGGCTTAAATACCGCGGTCATCTCGAGAACATTTCGCGTAAGTCGCCTTGCCCAATAAGTATCTAGATTTTCATCTCACCCTGTGATAGAAAACTGTTTAATCGGTGCTATCAACGCTGAGAACGGCGAGGCCAACAAGGTCAAGAACCAGATCACCGGCGAATACGGTCCAGTTCCCCAGACTGCTGCTTACTACCGTGACAAGGGCATCAAGTGGGTCGTTATCGGTGACTCCAACTACGGTGAAGGTTCATCTCGCGAGCACGCTGCCCTTGAGCCCCGCTACCTCGGTGGTCTTGCAATCATTACCCGGTCTTTTGCTCGTATCCATGAGACAAACTTGAAGAAGCAAGGCATGCTTGCTCTCACTTTCGCTAACCCTGAGGACTACGACAAGATTCAGCCCAGTGACAAAGTTGATATCTTGGGCTTGGATACCTTCAGCCCCGGAAAGAACTTGACTCTTATTGCCAAGCATGCGGATGGTAGCAAGGATGTGAGTTACTGGCTTCTGTAATGGCGTTTTGTGCTGACGGGATAATCTTGCAGGAAATTTCTCTTGCTCACTCCTTCAACGAGGGTCAAATTGAGTGGTTCAAAGCGGGCTCTGCCCTTAACCTGGTGCGTTCAATTTTCAATTCGTACGTGACAAGTTCACCTTCTGACCTTGCCAATATAGATGGCTGCCAAGGCCAAGCAATGAAGACAGAAGGAGTATGTGCCATGTCTAGACGCAGTAGACTTCATATTCAGCTATCACTCCTCTCGTTTCCCAATATTTATTTCCTCGGTTATCTACATCACAGTCTCGACAGCTTGTTGATATATCTTTGTAATAACACGGACGACAAATCCTAAAATATTTTGACCCAGGAGGATACCAAGGCATCAAGCTACTCGTCCAAAGGTTCGTACATCAGCATCTTCCGTCTTCTTTCCAGCAACGCTCTCCTTGCCATACTCTCTCTCCCGGATAAATAGCCAGGTTGGGGTGGACGTAGCAAGTCTGACCCAAAGGATATCATGGAAGACGCGGACGATGATTCATGCCGAGTTGGCTTAGGCCTTGAACGTCTCCGCTGCCCACCCCTCTTCCGCGACGACACTTTGGATTGTTCAGACTGCATCGTGTTCGTGCGCGATTTCGGAATGTCACTGGGAGAAAGCGCCTGGTGCGACTGTATAAACCCATACCCGTAATTCTTCAGGTTCGCTGAGGCCGCAGCTATAGACTCGGAGGTGTAAACGCTGCTGGAACTGACATACGAAGCATGGCTCTTATCCTTGGCCATACCAATAGGAGCTGCGTTGTGCTTCAACGGTACACGGGACTCGTGTGTCCACACGGGTGTCATGTCTGGGCGAAGTGTTACTTGGCTATCGCTGGGTTCTAGATTTGACTGCGATACGTCGGGGGAGGAAACTCGTTCTCGGGGATGGCCACCCAGTCCACGAATGCGCAGTCCGTTTACATCGTCGTTCAGCTGGGCCTCTGTAGAGTATGACGGCGGATCGTGACCAGCGAGAGGTATGTCGAATTCGGGATCTGGAAATCGTTGTAGCGAATAGATTTTTGCAGACCCCAACGGAATGTCGCTTTCTTCATATGTTGATGGCCGTTGCGTGCGGTTGCCAGCAACAGTGCCGAATGCGGTCATGAAGTTGGACTTGAGGGCGGAAGCCCAACCCTCCGGAGGCCGATGCTCATTCACTACTACGTCGTGAGGCCCAGGTTCGGCCTCGTCAGGGAGTGGTATATCATGCCAGTCTGTAGGACCGATGCCTGGTGTGTTCTCCATTACTGGTCGTAACCTCTCTCTAGGCGTGCGCTGGACATGCCTCGGCGAGGGGAGAAATTGCGGTAGACCATCTCCCTGCGGTAGGAAATTTTGTGTGGGATACTGGACAGCATTTCTCGGCGGGCCCAACTCAGCTACCCTTGTGCTGTAAAACGTTGGGCCACCGTGGCTCGACTCGTCACCAGACGTCAGGTCGCCAGGGGCAATATTTGCTACCTGCAGCCGACCAAGTGTGCGCGGGTTTTCCTGGACGCTGAACGCGCTTGCGGAATTCGCGAGTGCAGGTCGTCGTTGCTCCATGGGCGGGTGGACATTGCCAACGACCGTTCTTGAGGCATTGTAGAAAGTCGCATTTATGGGGCTGGAAAAAGGATCGCCAGTATTTCTCCGGACGAGAGATGCAGGGAGGTAAAACTCAGATTCTTCGTGCGGAGTGTGCATCTGCAGGCTCGGCTCGGGGCCGTCTTCGAGTGTATCCCTCGCTGTCCAAAGTTCGTCGTCGTCTTGTGTCTTTCGCACTGATGCGCGCGAACGCATCCACCAGGCGAGAAATGCCAAGCAACAAGCGAGGACACAGACAGTGCCAAGGATGATTGCAACGTAGAACGGGGCGGAGAGCTCAGTTCGAGAAGTATGCATGGAAGCGGGAGAGACGAGCGCTGTCGGATGAGTGGATGTGCTGGTGCTACTTGAGGAGTTGGATGGAGTACTAGTGGTGGTACGTGTCTGTGATGAAAATGAGGAACTTGACGTCGCGCTGCTAAGCGATGAGGATATTGTGTCAGTTGCCGTAGCTGAGGTCATTGCCAAGGCGGGGACAGTAGTCATAAATGCCTCAGACTGTGTCAACTGGCCTCCTGTCTGCATCCCGGTTGCACTGATAGGGTCAGGACTGATCTGAGTAGCCGGCTGTGGTGCATATTCCGGCCTGCGGCTGCCTTGGGGGTTGTATGGAACATCTCCAAGTCCTGCTGGAGGGTCCGAATTTATGATTGACGGTTGCCCGTTTTGTCCTAGAATCAAGTTAGAATCCGCTCTGCGATGGGGAACAATATTTGCAAAGAACGGCATGCGTGGAATTAAAGAGATAGGCATAGTATCGTTGAGTGTATATGCGCGCCCGGCGCCGAGCTACCAGAGCCCTGAAGATGAGGTGACTTGTCAAAATGAAGAGTGCTGTCTTATTTCTTAAATCATGAAACGCGATGTGGCTTGAAATTTCAATTGAGACGGTCAGTCTGACACGTACTAGTACTACAAGAGAAGACTGATCAGTAATATCAACTTCAATCCGCTCGATGACTCAGCTCCGTACTTTGACGTGTTTTCGTCTCTAAGTCAAAATCACATCAATGACTAGGTGCAGTCAGTCCATCGTGAATATGTCTCAGATAGTACTAGACAGATCGTGGAGTGCAGCATACACATCACTGCTAGGAACATACGCCATGATAGCACTGAATATTTCGACCTACGAGAATAGCCTATCGTATCGTTTCAGGCATGAATACCGCTGATAGTCTGAAGAAACGAGCTTCAGTGGTAGTTAAACATCTGTATGGAGAATCGAGATACTTGCCGACATTCTCATCAGGGTCGCACCAACATTTTCCTTTGGTGTACACATCTCCCTGTGGACAGTGCAGGAAGGGCTCGTGTTCATACCCGATGTCATTGAAAAAGTGAATTTGCTCCTTCTTCGCGAACAGTGCAGCTCCGATGCTATGAACTGGTGCATCTCCCCAACGCTATTCCAAATAAGGTCATTTTCAAAAGCGTGCAAACACAAGACTCACCTCATAATAGAATCCACCCTGCTCATCAAGATATTCGAAGAATTTCGAATATGCCTCGCCTCGCCAGAAATCAAGATCTGCAATTTCAAAGTTGCTCCAGACTGGCCACGTGATTTCATTAGCATAGGGAAACGCCGCGATGAGCAGTAACCTACAGTGACACATATTGTAGGACTCTCCGCCATCATCAGAGAGGAATTCCATCGCATTGCCAGGAGTCACAAAGTCAGGATTAGCATTGATGAAAGCTAGAGGAAGGTGAAATTGAAATCATAGTAAATGCTGAATACGCTTACACTTTACAACGTTCCATAGCGTTGGAACAGTAGCTTGGATTTCATATATTGATATGGTAAAGCCTGTTGGTGTTCGAGACTGGTATATAATTGAAAACATCATTTGATTTACCATACACCTTGTTATGGTCTTGCATCACAAGAAAGGGATCATAGTCCACGTCGCAGAACAACTTAATGTCTGGCCTGATTGGGGAAGATAAAGTAAGCCAAGCTACATCGCATCTCCTTCGGTTGCGTCTACTCACTCGACTCTCCAATAGTACCGGTATTGCTGCAAGAGCTCATGTCGATAGAAGAACTAGGATCTGCTTGGACAACCTCGCCAAAACGCATTACGATCACGTACGCCAGAGTTAAAGCGACACATATTCCGGTATCTAGGAGCAGTTAGTTTGAAGCAGCGATGATAGCATCGTACGTACGAAACACTACCTGGAAAATGGTCAGACTACACGTATACTTGAAACAGTAAATAAGGTACCTCCGTAAATTACATTGCCCCTAACCATGTCATCGCGAGATTTGCTTGCTTGATCTTCATCGATCCATGATGGTTGATGCCAATGGTCGGGTGGGATGAGACCGAATTCGACCGTGCTATTGGTCAAGGCCCGTATGTGGCTTTATGGCCCGTCAGCAGCTTCAAAAAATCGAGCATAGAAGGGCGCACTCCTTGAAGTTCTGCGTAAAAGGTTGGTCATTCAGGAAGACATAAGGATACTGGAACTTCCTGTTGAACCTATCCTCGAGTTGCTTCATACTGCTCATGATTCCCCAAAGCTCAGAGTTCCGTACAAGTATGACAAACGAGGCGTTCGCTTTGCGGTCTTGTAAGTGCATGAGCGAATCAGGTTTGTAGTACTCGTCGGGCACGGGTGTTTTGTAGGGAGGGCTTAACTTCGGACCAGTCCATTTTCCTGCGATACTTGAGATGAATGTCGCCTTTCCGTATTCCTCATATGCAAAGCTCAGAATGTAGTGAATTGGAATCTGTTTCATTGTCAAGCCGGCTGAATTATCAAGTTGACATGAACACGTACAATAACGCCCAAGACAAGCAAGATGCAACGCATCGGAGTCATCATCTTTCCAGTGCTAGTCCCTTTGGGATCTTTATTAACACAAATAAAAAGAAAGGTAACTTGATGGTAAATGCAGGAGAAAAATTGAGGATGTAAGACGGCTGTTGGTCACGGTGGAAGGATTGTCAGACAAAAACACCCGTTGCTCACGCCTATGATGAAATGCAGCGTAAAAGTTTTCCCTCGATTCAGAGCTCCACGTAGTTTGTTCCCTGGATCTCTTCTCAATGTTCAGTCTAGAAAGATATCAACACACAAACCGCTACCTATCGTCGCTCTTGACCGTGACTGGTCAATATAGTCGTGTCCTGAAACTAGGATCAAGGGCAAAGACAAATAATGTACGCCACTGGAGCTATCTAGTGCTCGGTCGGCGTGGAGAATCGTCTTCATCATTGACATCAATGACTTCCGGATCAAACTTTGTAGCGCCAATATCGCTATCCCGTTCCAGATCGTCAGATGTGTCCGAATCAAAAGCGAAAACCTTGTGCTTCCGCTTCCCCTTTCTCTACTTCACAGGTGCTAGCAGTGAGATTGGAGGTGGATAGGATGGAAGGGGAAACTGCCTAATTCATCTTCTTTGGACATAATGACTTGCTAGCTCCGTGCGCATGATTTATGCTTAAATACGGACTTTGTGGTTGCTCTTATGCAATTGTGCAAGTAGTGAAAACGATAAAAATGTCTGCTTGGTTGCAAGCAGGGCTCCGATAGTGGCTCCGACCTGTACAAAAGTGAGTTGGGGTGAGTTGCTATTCCCACATTAGTAAGAGTGAATACGACGCAGCGAAGAAAACACCTCGACTTGAATCCCAGGAAAGGGCCGGTCTGCATGATTGAAAATCATTAGGTATACATCAGACACGGACGAGTCTGAGCGGGAGATGGGCTGATGTTCTGGAGTGTCATGTCGACTAGGAGGTGCTTTCGATTAATCATGACAGACCGGTAAAGAGGGAAGATGGTATCAGTTCATGTGTCGCGTAGAGTCGGTCGAGCTGGAGATGGACCTTTCAGATCTTAAGAAGTGATCTTGTAGCGAAGCTGAATGATTTGAGTCTCCATATATCTCCGCATGTAGATTTTCTGAGGGATTCTTGCAATATTCATGATCAGAACTTCCTTGCCCACATGGTGGAATGGATCTGTGCATGCATGTGTCTACTCAAAAATTGTCGTTCAATTCATAGTGTGCACGTGCGTGCGTCGCGGGACTTTCCGTAGGCGGGCGCAGGCCGCGCTAAGTTACCGAAGTTAACCCACCGGGCTCTTTGAAACAACGTGCACGGGCTGAATTTTCCCTACCACGAGGATAGGCTGGGAAATAGATCAGCAATCAGGTAATCCGGCATGAGCGAGTAGTCACTGAACCGACACTTCGAGGTTGTGTTCTGTTCGCTTCTGTTCAGAGTCGTGGTCACCGACAGGCTTCCGAGTTGAAGGACAAGGTTGTTCGTGTCCGTGTTGTGCAGGACTCTGCGCTGTACTTACTGTGATTTACTCCATCGACATATGACCATGCATCACGCTCTACTTGTTTCTGAAATCCTTCTGGACATATTCGCCCATGTCAACACAATCCTGGACCCATCATCGTATGGCGAGATATCAGTGGCTCGGAAATCCCTTGCAACACTTGCAACGACATGCAGGACCTTCCACGAACCTGCAATGGATTTACTCTGGGCTGACATGCACGGGATAGTACCACTGCTGGGCTGTGTAACGAGGTTACATCCCATGATATATCATCATCATGCCGGAAGGGTCAGTGCGGACTAGTCACTCTCTGTTCGTGTTATTTCGTTCATTAACTCACTGAGTGTCTAAACGCAGTACACTTGGTACTCTGAAGGCATCGGCCCATTATGTGAGCATGAAGTCCCTCAATTTTTGCGTCACGCCCACCGTGTGCGCTCATTGCAAATCCCATTCGACAACCATTTTCACCTTCTTTCAGCGCTCCCTATCAAGACATTCGTATTTCCGAGACTGCTATCGTTATCAATGGCTATACATCCGGCTGGATACTTACATCTTTTCATACTTCCTACGCTGCGTCGTTGTTCCCTATCGCTCATTCGTCCCGATCTGAAATTAATTACGGCCTATTGCGCTACGTTGGAGGATCTAAGCATCAAGGTCTCCAGCCAAAGCACAGCGGACGAGCTGTCTCTGCTATCTGACAGTATTCGTATGTGCAAGCGGCTTGTAACTCTGTATTGCCCACCTCTCGACTGGGCAGCATGGAAGCACCTATCGAACCTCCCTACCCTTCTCTCAGTGGCGATTTGTGGTGAAGTCCGTTGCCCGTTGGACACGGATAACTTCATTTTCACACATTTCCTCAATATCACGGCTCTTTCCTTCCATGTAACCACGGCTTCATACGTAATCGCAGTCATGCGCAACTCAGCATTCCCCTCCCTGAAAGAGTTCAAAATGGTTACCCGTGTTTTACCCTTGGAAGATGCTGAACAGCTTCTTCATGTACTCTCACAGTGCCAGACTCTTCAACATATTGACATTTTATCCCGTGATCAAAGAGTTCCGGAGCCCTCAGATAGCTCTTTGACACCAATCACCCAACTTCTTGGTTTCACGCATCTCCGAACCCTGCAGCTCGCTTTTCCCCATTGTTGTATTCGCCTTGACAATCACCTTCTTTTGAAAGCCATGTCAAGTTGGCCGCACATCCGCTCTCTGAAATTAGAAGACCCACTTCTTCGTCTAGCCACCATCACATTCTGCGGGTTATTCACAGCACTGCGTCAATCTCCCCACTTGCATACGTTGCACTTATTAATAGATGCTCTGAATATCGATATCGATTCTCAGGCCGAGTCTTTTCAGCATACATCTCTACAAACATTGGATGTGCGCACTTCTCACATAGTGGATCGTGAAGCTGTCGCTTACATTCTCTTCACCATGCTTCCTTCCGTTGAGAGCGTTATCCATGGCTCCAGTGGACGCCACATCCGGTACGCATGGCAGGAGGTCAACAGGCGTCTCCAATCTCTCAAGTCTTCTGCGGTCCTTGGCCGCTGTATCACAGGAGCGGCTGCAGGGTGCTGAATTTACCATACGTATTTATTCAGCAATTGTGCTAGATTTGCTATCCAGTATCTTAATACTTAGAGTGGGAGGTCGAGACAAGCAAGGTAGCTTAGGCCTCGATATGTAATTGACTTGGAATTTAATATTTGCATGACAAACCACTTGTAACCAGCTCCCATGCGCTGTCGCAGCACTTGCAGAATGTCTGGGAATCAGTCTTCATCCTACCGGTATTTGGCGTGTTTAATTGGGATATCCGATGCTGATATTATCGTGATAGACTTTAGTTTCGCACACCCCCGTGCTAGTATATGGATCTATGGGTCTGACACAAAATCTTGGTTGTGTTAACTTTTGAAGACACGTTCAATTTGACAGTGCCGTACCTACGAGCTGTCCTTGGGATTGGTGTACGAGATAAGGCGAAAGCACAGTGCAAATAGCTCAAAATGTAAATTTAGATCGCGTCCTGTGTTTATATTTTCGTTTGCGTTGGTGACCTGTCAGTGAGACGAATTGCCAGCAGACGCACGGATTGAGGCTGTCGCGTCGAATAGAAAAGTCACGCGTGAATCACGTGCATTTTTGCAATGAGACGCGGTGTCTGCTTTGTCTGATGCTCAATTATAATTACCTACCTGCGAGAACGAGCTCTGCACATGGACGAATATATGGAAAGGTAAGTTGTATCTATTGCAATTTTTACCACTCCTTACTTTATGAATCAGAGCGCTTGCTTCGAGTCTCAAAGAGTCCAAGGCCAACGCATCATCTTCGAGGGCGATTTCAATCAGTGATTCTGAGGATGATGATAACGATCGTTTTCAGTCTGAGCTGCTACAGGCGATTCGAGCATCCAAGACCGAATCTTCACGGGTCACAACGCAATCCGTCTATAATCCTGAGCCTCCGTCTCAGAGCGCTCGGAGTACCCCAGCAGCAAGCTTTTTGTCCGAACGAGCACAGATGGAGAGAGAAAGACTCGAAAGGCTGAAGAGGTTGCGTGGGCAGGATGCAGATGATGGAGGTGGCATGTCGCCTCCTACAAAGAGGCAACACATTTCCTCCTCTGACAGACACGCTAATGGTCGAGCGAACATTGCTTCTGCTTCGTCATCTAGTGTCCCTTCGGGCTCGTCGGCAAGTTCGCGAACAGCCAGTACTCCTATAAATTCTATACCAACCTCTGAACAACTGTTCTGGAACGGCGAGCTACGTCCTACAGCCAACAAACACTCTCAATCCCGTCAAGATGGAAAGCCCACTTTCCGCCTCACAGAGGTACTGGGTTTGGTACGCGTTCAATCTCCTGTGTTCTGTATTCATGATGCGTGATGCTGTAGCCCTTCAGAAATCTGATATATCCTTTGCTATCATAGCGTCATACGCGACATCTATCTCTTGGATATATGAATTCTTTGCGCCGTCTACTCCAGTAATCATCGTGGCGCAGCCCGATCAGTCAGGTCAACCAACCATCAAGAATATTCTTCCAAATTGGGTTATGACTGTTCCTTTTCTCCGCAATGGGCGAGGTTGCCAGCATATGAAAGTAGGTTGATTGGTACAACAGATTCTGGAACGCCCCGCTGACTTTATCGCGCCCAGTTCATGCTTGTGAGTCCATTCGGATAACTACATGACGCTGATTGGATTTTCCGAAGATATTTTACAAGACCGGACGGCTTCGCGTAGTCATATCTACCGCCAACCTGATTGATCATGATTGGCGCGATATCGAGAATGTGAGTCTGCACTTAACGCGAGGGAGTTCTTGAACAGTGTGACAGGCCGTTTGGCTGCAAGATCTACCACCGCGATCTGCTCCTATCCCACATGATCCCAAGACCATCGATGACTTCCCATCAATTATGCAAAACGTTTTGCGCGCTGTCAACGTTCGACCCGCGCTCGCGAACATGCTAGCAAACGACGTAAGTCGTATGGGAATCTCATTTGCCGCACTACTGATCTAAATCTCACAGCACCCAAACCTACCTATTCAAACTATCAGCAACTTGCGAATGAAATGGGATTGGTCAAAAGTGAAGGTTAAACTCATTCCCTCCATTGCAGGCAAACATGAAGGATGGCCGAATGTCATCCTGACTGGTCATACCAGGCTGATGAAGGCCGTCCGTGACATGGGGCTTCGTACAGGAAAGGGAAAAGCTGCTAAAGATCTCGTTATAGAGTCTCAGGTAGGTCAAACTTCTTTAGTTCTGCTGTAGAAATGTTCACACTATACAGGGTTCGAGTATAGGAACTTACTCGACTTCCTGGATAAACGAGTTCCACTGGTCAGCGCGCGGAGAATCAGCTGAAGACTGGCTGGACGAACCAAAAGCCAGACGTGCCAAGTTGTCGTGGCCGCCGGTGAAAATTGTCTTCCCCAGCCTGAAGACTGTGCGTGACAGTGTCCTTGGTGAACTAGTCAGTCTTGTGTCTTCAGCAATCACTCTTGAATATTTCTCAACATAATTGACAGGGAGGTGGGACCATGTTTTGCCGCACGAACCAGTGGGAAGCATCGAAATTTCCTCGAGAGCTATTTCATGACTCGAATAGCACTGGCGGACGAGTGCTGATGCACACCAAGGTATGTCAGTGCGAGTACAGCTGTAGGTCTCGATTTATTCGGCTCTCCAGATGATTATCGCGACCTACCGCCCCAAGAAATCGATATTTGAAACAAGTCGCCAGTCAAAGGGAAAAGGAAAGGAATCGTCTGACAGTGAAACCGAGCCTGAATCCGACGACATCGAAATCCAGAACGACCCAATTGGCTGGGCTTATGTTGGCTCGCATAATTTCACACCCTCAGCATGGGGAACGCTTTCTGGCTCCGGGTTCAACCCAGTACTCAATGTCAGTCAATTCAGGCTTTCTTTCTTTAATCTTTCCTAATGACCCGTCGTTCACCAGGTGGTTAACTATGAGTTAGGAATCGCCTTCCCTCTTTACGATGCGAAGGATGTGGAGAGGGTGTCGTGCTTCCAGCGTCCGGCGAGGAAGTATGTGAGTGGACAAGATAGACCTTGGGTAAGTTCAATCGTTGTATGTCGGGGCGCCTAAACTTATGACGTGTTTATTTCAAAGATACAGGAAGAGTCGCAGCTACTGCGGGAGAGCCACCAAACATGATCCTATGTATAGCCGATATCATTCTTACCAGGAAACCTTTTACCCTTAGATACCACTTGGACGTCAGATCAATGCAATCTTTCCGTAGTGCATGGCTTATGATGGTTTGGTCATCATGCACGATCCGACACTATGTAGAACCAACATCTAAGCTTCGAGAGTTCGTACAGTACATGATAGCAATATCAAATACAGGTGATCCATATAGCATGTAAATAAGTCCTTCAAACACATCCATCTTAGATGGAGATCAAACAGAGCATCGGCCATCATCACATCACAGTAACTCATCCTGCTTTCTCCGGATCCTCCCCCATCTCCCTCCTCGCCTTCTCCTCACCCTCGGTGCTCGACACCTCATTCTCGCTCTCAAACTGATAAAGCTGTTCAGGGACAGGGCTCTGAAACAATACGAACTTCTTGAAGCCGTAGGGTATCTGTCGCAGTCCGTATGCAGCGTGCGCACCGAGGGGGACTGCGAAAACTTGATCGAGCTCCTCCAGGGTCTTGCCTTTCGTCTCCCGCACGAATAACAAGATGAGCACCCAGAGAATACAGCACCACGCTGCGTACCAGCCGAAGGCACCTTGTGCTTTGAAGGCCAAGATGAGCGAAGGCCAAGTAATTGACAGAATGAAGTTCCAGAACCAGAGGGTGGCAGTGGCAAAGGACATGCCGATATCACGTATATAGAGAGGGAATGCCTCTGCGGAGTACGTGAACGGCACTGGACCTTCGCCTGGAGAGTAGAAGATTGCAAAGAGGTCTGGAGGAGATATCAATCGCAGTTATTAAGTACCATAAGATGACGTACATATTCCGACACTAACACCAGCTACACGCCCTGTTTCAGAAGTGCTCCAGAAGGAGAAGCCTGTGATTAAAAGACAGATGGCCATGCAGGGGAACGTGAATAAAAGTAAGTTCCTACGCCCGAAGGTGTCGATCTAGTGTTTCAACTTTCAAATATTTGACACCAACCATGACCGAGACCGCTCACAGTGAAAACAGCAGGGAGGGCGAACAACCAGTTAAGTGCACCAAATCCAAGGGAGGAAGCCAGCGCCGAAACCTGCGAGAAACCAGACTGTACGAAGATGTCGGTCGAATAGTAAGCTGCCATCGAGTAATTAATCATTTCCAATCATGAACACGAATCTCATACCGATGACATTGACGCCACAAAACTGCTGACCGAACATGACGATCCAACTAGCAAGGGCAGCATGCCTGTTGCGCGGGATCGTAAACATCTCAACGACACGGTTGCGACCCTTCTTCATCTCGTTTTCCGCCTCGAGCAACACGTGAATATAATACAGATCACGAGCAGCCTGAACGCGCGAGAAACGAAGGCGACAAAGTTCATTGAAAGCATCTTCGTAGCGACCCTTGGAGATCAACCAACGAGGCGACTCGGGTGCAAATAGAATTTGCATGCAGACAATGAGACCGGGAATACCAGCAGAGGCTAGCATGAGGCGCCAGTTCAGACCGGTCACACCAGGGGTGTCCGGAATAAAGTAGAATGTCAAATCGATAAGGTCTCCTAGAGCAATGCCAAAAGCGGTCCACATCTGCCACATCATGACGAGAGCACCACGGATCGGTGCGGGCGAACACTCAGCGCTATATACCGGGACGGTGGCAGATTTGGGACCAATACCAAAACCAAGGAAGAACCGTGCGATGAAAAGGTGCCACCAGGTGTTTGTCAATCCAGACCAGACACATGTCAAGAACGCGATCATACAAGTGGCGAAGATGGTCTTTTTACGCCCAAGATAGTGGTTAAGCGGATGCGTCATCCAACAAGAAATGGTGGCACAGCATCTGTGGAGTGATGAGGAACGATATTGCGCAGTGGGAAGAAAGCACAGACAAGTAGGGTGCAGAGTTGACGAGACCGACCAACCATGAATCACGTTCTGCACATAATTTATGGATGAAGATGATTTAAATGATGGAGAAACTTTTACGCACTACTGTTGGAATCGCCGATACCAAACTGCGCGGGATAAATGAGCTGAGCGCCATTGATAACAGCCTGATCCATTCCCTGAACAGCCGCTGCAAGTGATGACATCACGACCATCTATTTAATGATGAGCTATGACAAATATTTTAAAAAACGAGATGATACCAACGTAATACAGCATGGGCGTTTGTCGCCACTTGTGCGTGACCTCTTCCGTTAAAATTTGTTTGTCTTCATCTGAAAAGATGTCCATACGATTATGACCTGCCCATCAAGGATTTCAAGTCAGCTACTAGGGAAAATGTCTCTCATGGCAACATACAAGTGGAATCCTGGGCAACGAGCGCCCCCTTCTTGAGCTCAGGCAGCAGATGGGTCAATCCTTTCTCTTGCGCAAAAGATTCGACGTCCGCCATTAGACGATCGTGAGGTATGCCATGCAAGGGGTTTGATAATTTAGCATCAGCGTTACTGGCGGGGAAAGGTCAAGCTAGGCACTTGTTCAGGGAAGAACTCATAGTACGCACGCAATGGCTCTTGTCTCTGCATCCATATGTGATGTATCGTGGTGAGCATGGTCCGGACGCTTTACCACGGCAGATTTTTCGCTCAAAGGCGGGGATGTCGACATTTCAGTCGTAGGCGCGCGGTATGAAAAGAGGGTGGAAGGTAGCCTCACTCCTACCGGCTTATACACCCTTGGTGTTATATAGCTTAGTACTTAACCCAAAAGAGCAAAGCTATACAAAAACATCATGCGCCGTACCGACTGCCGTCCAACATATCCGAAGCGCAGCAAAAGCCCACTCCACATTCTAGTATATTTTTATCCGGCATGTGACTGCTGTATGATTTGCCAACAATGTATGGCTGTTCCGGTATTGAAGGATCCCAAACGACTGCGTAAAAACAGACGATAGAGGGTGTCAATAAAGCAGAACAAATAATCACTCAACGGGCGCTTTGACAAAGAGTCACGATCAGGACACAAAGTAACTTGACGAAGCTGAACCTACTGATCATGGGGCTTTGTGATAGAATCATGTTCGTTGGTAAAGGATCAAGGGGGTGAAGAGTGGAAGAACGAAATGCTGCTGGGGATTAGTTTGATAGAGACGAGCAGTTTTCGTTTTCGTTTTCGTTTTCGCATGAGCGATGTTATGAGCGATGAGTGCGGAAGGCAATATTAATAAAGCGAAGTAGTTAGTGACCACGAAAGCGAAGCTTTCGTGGCCGTAGGGAGGGTCTGGCTCTGTCAGACTGCGCTTGTGTGCGTGTTTGGGATGAGCATGCTAAGTTCGAGTTATTGGAGGTTTGAAAGAACCGGATGCAGAGGCCAGGTCCTTGGAGCGTGTTGTGATCGGATCTCGGGGTGCGGAATGGAGGGGATCGCAGAGAAAATGAGACCAACCCATACCTGGAACATGGCTCGAACACGAATCGAGTGCCTTTTCGAGGTGCTCGACCCGACACAACACGAGAAATACATGAAATTATTGTGGGACTGGAGAGTGCCAAAAGTGTGAGATGTGCAAATGAATGAAGTAGTTTTAGTAGGGTATATCGATGGTGCGAAGGCGACGATATTGATACATGGTGGATTCCAAGCGAGTGAGAGCAATGGAAGTGGATGAAGCAGAGTTGATAGATAATGGAGGAGCAGACTCACTGTGACCTGATACACCTGCCGTCCCTTAGAGGCCTTCTAAGGGCCGATGTGACCTTAGCGTTCCATCGCTGGAATGGGACGTTTTGGTGATGAGGCTCTCGATTGCCAGTACTGACCCTGATTGGCTAAAACACAGGGCGATCATGATGTGATCAGCATGACATAGTAAGGATGAAAGTACTCAATAATGTCATTGGAACCGTAGACAGGTAAGCTGCATGATAGCACTACTCAATAACCATTTTACTTGACCATTTTATTTCGTGACAGTTCGTGCAAAGGCTTCCGAAATAAAATGCAAATGAAATGAACGAGCAGCACGCATATTTAGCGGCGCTTAAAATCAGCTAAGCGAGGCGCAGGGGGTGTTGACCTCGAGGTAAATCGGAGTCGGTTCGAAACTAAGGCAGTTCGATACAACTCGATTCGTTTGTTGTAAATAAGCATTTCCTCAATGTATTCTGCTCCTCCCTTCAACTTTTGGTCTAGAGCATAATTATACGTATTTTCATCGGACCGCAGTATTGCTTTAGCGCCGGAGAACAGGCGCCTGCAATGCTGTACGATACAAGTATTGAGCAATCCTCAAGCATGGTTAGGCAATGATGCATATTTCGTATTTCTTAGTATGCACGCTGTCTTGTTTCTTATCTTATTCTGTCTCTAGATCATGTCCTTAGTTCTTATCCAAGACAACTGGTGTCTAGGTCATCATAAAAATTCATGCATCATACTGTGAGTTTTCACCAATGGAACGGGTCTGCAGCTTCCGCTACTAGTATCCCTATCTTACACCAGAAGTCATCCCATACCTGTACAAGCGATGTCGGCAACAAATTAAATACCATGTGAATAAATTCATCAAACACATCCATCGTAAATGGAGATCAAGCAAAGCGTCGCATCACAGCTCCACTCATCTTGTCTTCTCCAGATCCTCCTTTATCTCCCTCGCTGTCTCATCGCCCCCAGTGCTCGACACCTCGCTCTCGCTCTCAAACTGATAAAGCTGTTCAGGAACCGGGTTCTGGAACAACACGAACTTCTTGAAGCCGTAGGGTATCTGCCGCAGGCCGTATGCAGCGTGCGCACCGAGGGGAACTGCAAAGACTTGGTCGAGCTCCTCTAGGGTCTTGCCTTTTGTCTCGGGCACGAATAACAAGATGAGCACTCAGAGAATACAGCACCATGCTGCGTACCAGCCGAAGGCACCTTGTGGTTTGAAGGCCAAAATGAGTGAAGGCCAAGTAATTGACAGAATGAAGTTCCAGAACCAAGTGGTCGCAGTGGCAAAGGACATGCCGATATCACGGATATAGAGAGGAAACGCCTCTGCGGAGTACGTGAACGGAACTGGACCTTCGCCTGGAGAGTAGAAGATCGCAAAGAGGTCTGGAGGAGATCTCAATCGCAGTTATTAAGTACCATAAGATGACGTACATATTCCGACGCTAACGCCAGCTACACGCCCCGTTTCCGAAGTATTCCAGAAGAAGAAGCCCGTGATTAAAAGACAGATGGCCATGCAGGGGAACGTGAATAGAAGTAAGTTTCTACGCCCGAAAGTGTCGATCTAGTGTTTCAATTTTCAATATTTATGGAGACACCAACCATGGCTGAGACCGCTCACGGTGAAAATAGCAGGGAGGGCGAACAACCAGTTAAGTGCACCAAATTCAAGGGAGGAAGGGTCAGGTTGGGCACTTGGTCAGGGGAGATCTCATAGTACGCACGCAATGGCTCTTGTCTCTGCATCCATATGTGATGTATCGTGGTGAGCATGGTCCGGACGCTTTACCACGGCAGATTTTTCGCTCAAAGGCGGGGATGTCGACATTTCAGTCGTAGGCGCGCGGTATGAAAAGAGGGTGGAAGGTAGCCTCACTCCTACCGGCTTATACACCCTTGGTGTTATATAGCTTTGTACTTAACCCAAAAGAGCAAAGCTATACAAAAACATCATGCGCCGTACCGACTGCCGTCCAACATATCCGAAGCGCAGCAAAAGCCCACTCCACTTTCTAGTATATTTTTATCCGGCATGTGACTGCTGTATGATTTGCCAACAATGTATGGCTGTTCCGGTATTGAAGGATCCCAAACGACTGCGTAAAAACAGACGTGTCAATATTGTAGAACAAATAATCATTCAATAGGCACTTTGACAAAGAGTCACGATCAGAACACAAAGTAACTTGACGAAGCTGAACCTACTAATCATGGGGCTTTGTAAGAGAGTCGTGTTGGCTGGGAAAGGATCAAGGGGTGAAGAGTCTGGCTCTGTCAGACTGCGCTTGTGTCCTTATTTGGGATGAGCACGCTAAGTTCGAGTTATTGAAGGTTTGAAAGAACCGGACGCAGAGGGCACAGATCCTCGGAGCGTGTTGCAACCGAATATCGAGGTGCAAGATGATGGGGACCGCGGCAGAGAAAAGAAAAGACAATGAGACCACCCATAGCTGGAGCATGGCTCGAATACGAGTCGAGTGCCGTCTTCCAACTTGATTGGATTCCGCAGACGATGATATGCTCGACTGCGGCTATGTCTGACTATCGACCTTCTCAGCATTAACCTCGTACATCCCATCGTCCCTACCTCAGGCCGCAATAAATGTCACTTTGAAAGGTGAAACGCTAGCCAACACCAACTAGGATTCCAAAGCCCCGCACAGCCCAGATTCCCATATCTCCTTAACGCCCTCCCTAAACCACACGACGTTCCACTCTACCAAACCCCTGCGCATATCATACACCGTCGTCGGAAGGAGTGCCAGCAATGCGAGGTGCGGTGTGACAAGGTGGTACGTGAGCGTAGTTCCTGGACGTGAAGGTGAGAGCGATGTCGCTGCTGAGGGGTAGAAGTGGGGCTTTGAGGGTGAAACGGGAGATGTCGATGAGGTGAGTGGCGGTGTTCTGGCAGGAGTGGAGGTGGGAGTGGATGTCGTGGCTGTGGGTGGGGGCGTTGGTGCTGGTGCTGGTGTTGGGGAAAACCGACTCATCCGTGGATCGTCGACGTTGGACCTGGTAGGATGGTTTAAGAGTGAGAGGGAAATTTATGGTACATACGTACCTGTAGAGAGGTCCAAAAGAGTTGAGCATGGATAGGTAGTCGCAGCAGAGATTGTGCGTAGCCTGGTCTACTGGTGAGGCGTCGGTTGCGACGTGAATTTTACTGGATGTGTCGAATAGGAAAGCTTTTGGGGACGCTGTGTTCTGCAAGCGATGAGATGTACCCATGGAAATAAGTGGCAATGAAGGTACATACAGAGCAAAAGACGTTTAATAGATCTTCAAGATATGGAAGGGAACCGATCAACTTATGAAACACGCGAGAGAACGCCTCTCGAAGAGAATGGTCATATATGGAGGTAAGATGAAAATTGAGAGGGAATTGCTCAAATTCGGGAGATTCGTCTATGAGGCGGTCCATGACGCGCTCATGTATCTGGCGGAAGTTTTCTGCGTGCTGTTTCATTGACGAGCAAAGAATGCATACGGGACTGGCATACCTATCTTGTCGTCCTCTTGAAGCCTTTCCGCTTTGTGCACAAATACTTCAAAATTTATGTCTGGGTTGATTTGGCATGCAGCAACTATGAACTCTACGAGCTTTGAGACAGGGTGTTGGTAGAGATCCTGTGCATCTGGATGAGGTTGGTAGTCAGCGGATGAATTCAGTACACGTACTCGAATGTCTATGACAAAGACTATAGTTGAGAAATCGGCGAGAGATGCGCCGAGTGTGTCGACGGTGATGTTTCCTGGACAGTCCCATATCTCCAACGGGATGACGGTGCTGAGAAACAACGTTAGGTACGAACAGAAGTCATGTACTCGTACATACTCAATGAGATGCTTTGCAACGCGCATGGTGGGCTCGAGGTAAAAAGTTTGTTTGACTGGGAGATCATTGAAGAGGACTTGGAGTATGGAGGTCTTTCCACTCCTGTGATAAGTTAGTACTGGCAAAAGGAGAAAACGTAGGGATTCACCTTCTCATGCCCAGAAAGAGTATCTTTGTCCTACTTGTTCCATTGGAAATGGCTGCGCTTGAAGAAGAGCTCATCGCACATGTACTATGATAAATTACAGTAAGAGTACTGCTATTAGCCAAAAGCCAACAATTACAAATACGCATCCATGTTTAGCCTCCGAAATGACTGTCCTATTGCATCACTGTCACATCGAGGTTTGAAATATTTAGGACAACATTTAAACCACACTTAAATGTCTTTGGGTGGCTTAAACTTCAAGTTAAAAGCAAAAAATACGACATTTTGACCTATCCTAAATATTAGAGTCCCCGATGTGTGTGCCCTAGATTGATTCATGCACATCTCACTTTTGTGAATGTCGAAAATGTACTTACGGCCACCGCACGACGTGCAGCAAACACTAGTGGCATCTAAATTCATTGCAAAGTCATGATAGTACCTAAGATCGCTTCTTGCTTGCAATTATTATTCATTCCACAAAGTTATTTTATTGGATGGATGCCGAGACAGAGCTGAGCTCAGCGCTCAGCGACGGTTCTTGACGAGTGGGAAATAGATGCCTGGTAGGTAACTACTATTATTCCCACGCTCCCAGCCTCCCTTACCGAATCAGCCTCGGCACGCCCACCGGTATCACCACCGTCTCCAAAATCCTCAAGAAAACGTCAAGATGGTGAGTCTCGCTGCCAATTCGACGTCCGATAGGTCTTGGTACATGCGTGCAAACTTCCTGGGTGAAAAAATAGGATGGAATTGGAGGGTGGATGGGTGGATGGAGATGATCTGTGTCGGATGACATTTGTGGTCGATGGACGTTATTTCGCGTGTTTGACTGGTATACCCACTGTTTCGTATTCGCTGACGCCCTTTTTATTCTCTAGACGAAAGGTTCGTTTGGTTTCGATTCGATCGTTGGGGATTGGATTTGACAGATGGCTTTTAATGTTCTCTTCTGTTGATCAGGTACTTCGTCCTTTGGGTGCGTAGTGTTTTCCCTTCGATCTGGAATATCTCTCTCATGTGGTTGGACTTGAATCATGCAGTAAGCGACACACCAAGTCCCACACGCTCTGCCGGCGCTGTGGTCGTCGTGCGTTCCACAGGCAACACAAGAGTGCGTTTCTGCATACCTCTTTGCGAGGTGGCATCTAACCTTGTATTGATTCGCCCCGTCCTGTCACCACGCCCTCCATCCCAATATACGCTAAACAACCTGTCATTGTCATAAACCAGCTTGTGCCCAGTGCGGCTACCCCGCAGCAAAGTTGCGCTCGTATGAATGGGGCCAAAAAGCCAAGCGCAGAAAGACCACCGGTACCGGGCGCATGCGCACGCTCAAGGACGTATCGAGGAGATTCAAGAACGGATTCAGGTGCGCTCCATCCATTCTATGCCTATCCCACCCAACATATTGATCATATGGCGTGGACTTTTTGCAATATAGAGAAAACACAGTCGCGAAGAAGCGTGTCAGGCCATCCGCGGAGGCATGAGCGTGAGCGGAAACGTGCATACGTCGATGCCGTGTTTGCATGTTGTTTTACATACTCGAGAATTTTTAGCCTATGCCGCGCTCGCATCATTTTCTACGCACGTACAGAATACATGATTCATGCTATGCCTCCTCGTCGAGCGGAGGAACCGAGTGATTATGCTGAAGGTCAATTAGTGTCTCCTTTGTCTGATGCCTCGAATCGTCCATTGACGCCTGGTCTATTCCATCACTCGAAATTCTCATTAGAAATGCACTCGTTGGTTCCACTGTATTGATAGGCTAGCCCTACATTGACCAAACCGTGCGATAATCCACAATTATGCAATTATTTATCATGTGTAGTCCCAGTTCCAGCCAATAGGTATTGGTCAACGCATGTACAATGAACGAATGGAAATAATGAAATGCGAAATACCGATAAATACTATACACCCGGTCGCCTGCGCACAGCGCATCCACCACTATTGCCCACAACACACACCCGGGGCATTCCACTTCTTCTTCCCATCCTCCAACCCTAACCCCAACCTAATCGTATCCCCATCACTCTCACTCCTCACATGAGACGTTCTTGCCTCCGCAGCCTCTTCATACTCCCACTTCTTCACCACCCGCTCTACGATATACTCAAATGCGTCACTAACACCCGTTCCTGTCTTTGCGGATGTGAAGAAGAGCTTTGGGCCTGTGTCTGGTGGGTCTGGGAGAGTGAAGGAAAGAGGTTGGTCTGGGTCTAATTGAGGTGGGGTAGGTGGTGTATGCGAACGTTGGCCCTTCGTGAATAGACTCGGCGTGATAGTAAGCGCAGACGAAGAAGAAGTCGTAGTAGTCGTACTAGACAAACTCGTCATTCTCCTCACTCGTACCGGTGATTCAGATCGAGACCCAGGAAGCGGAGATGACCGTGCGCTTGTATATACATCAGATAGGGAGGAAGAGGGGGTATGAAAAGAGGTTAAGCCGGAGCGGAATGTTCCATATAAAAATGTGCTGGTGTGGGGTGTACGTGAGGGGGAACGAGATTTTGAGAGTTTGCGGTGGTTTTGAATGTCTATTCGTGCGGAAGGGGCGAGGAGAGATGGATCTGTATCATCTTCGTATGCATGTTCGTGCTCGTGCTCGAGAATAGTATCTTCGTCTTCCCCTGAACCAATGTCTTCTACCACGATTTCTCCCTCTATAGGCTCTGGTTCAGGAATAGGCACAAGTTCCTGCACGAATTTCTTCGCTTCTTCCGCAGTGATGCCCATCCCAGGCTGCAACAGATCCATTTTATTCCCAACGACCACGCAACAAAAGTTATCAGCCTCTTCATCGCTGACCGGTGCTTGGTGCTTGAACTCCTTCCACCATTTCGTGAGCGCGTACATAGTATCAGGTGCACTGACGTCAAACATGAGTAGGACAGCATCTGCGCCGCGGAAGAACGCGGAAGAGAGGGATGAGAAGCGTTCTTGGCCTGCGGTATCCTATCGTGTGCATAAGCGAATATAAGACAAAGGGAGCTCGAAGCAGACGTACCCATATTTGAAGAGAGATGGCCTCGGTTGGTTTATTTGGGTCAGGAAGGGATTTGGTGATGAAATCTGCACCGATTGTTGCGCGGTAGCCGGTGGAAAAGCGACCTGATATGTACTGCCCGGGTAGATAAGTAACGTTCAAGCAGCTATTGAGGTTGAAAGGCGGAATACTGACCTGACCACGCAAAGAAGTCTTGCCTACGCCCGAAGCGCCGATAACGACGAGCTTGATAGTCCGCATCGCTCTGCGTGTTCTGTTGAGGACTAATCATCCATAAAGTTCGGCGGCCAATGGCGCCATATGGTACTCTCTAAGTTCACCGGTCGTTCCCACTCGGCGCGAAAACCAAACAAGTCTAAACTCTTTAGACTTCGCCAACGCATCTACTGTACCACCTTCATCGGCCTACTAATCATCACAATCCTAATATTGATCATTTAAGTGAACACCGTCATCAAACCTTGATATATTCAAGAACAACGTACGTGCAGCGTAACGTAAGAACATTATAACAAGACCTCGAAAACCTCATCAGCTGTCTGACCTCCCGAGTAGCAGGAACAGCCGCGGCAAAAACCTCTCGAGCATGAACAAGAAACTCTCGCCAATGCCAATGATTTTACGCGAATTTACAGATGAACAGCTTCAGCTAGCATTATTTCACAGACATCATACCTGTACAAGTGATATCGGCAACAAATTAAATAGCATGTGAATAAATTCATCAAACACATCCATCTTAGATGGAAATCAAGCAAAGCATCACAGCTCCAACTCATCTTGTCTTCTCCAGATCCTCCTTCATCTCCCTCCTCGCTGACTCGTCGCCCCCAGTGCTCGACACCTCGCTCTCGCTCTCAAACTGATAAAGTTCTTCAGGAACCGGGTTCTGGAACAACACGAACTTCTTGAAGCCGTAGGGAATCTGTCGCAGGCCGTATGCAGCGTGCGCACCGAGGGGAACTGCGAAGACTTGATCGAGCTCCTCCAGCGTCTTGCCTTTCGTCTCACGCACGAATAGCAAGATGAGCACCCAGAGGATACAGCACCATGCTGCGTACCAGCCAAAGGCACCTTGTGGTTTGAAGGCCAGGATGAGCGAAGGCCAAGTGATTGACAGAATGAAGTTCCAGAACCAAGTGGTCGCAGTGGCAAAGGACATGCCGACATCACGGATATAGAGAGGGAATGCTTCTGCTGAGTACGTGAACGGAACTGGACCTTCGCCTGGAGAGTAGAAGATCGCGAAAAGATCTAAAAAAGATGGTGTCAATGGCAGTAGTTAAGGTACCACAAGGATGACGTACATATTCCGACACTAACACCAGCTACACGCCCCGTTTCCGAAGTACTCCAGAAGGAGAAGCCCGTGATTAAAAGGCAGATGGCCATGCAAGGAAACGTGAATAAAAGTAAGTTCCTCCGCCCGAAAGTGTCGATCTAGTGTTTCAACTTTCAATATTTACGGAGACCCCAACCATAGCTGGACTACTCACGGTGAAAACAGCAGGGAGGGCGAACAACCAGTTAAGTGCACCAAATCCAAGGGAGGAAGCCAGCGCCGAAACCTGCGAGAAACCAGACTGCACGAATATGTCGGATGAGTAGTAAGCTGCCATCGAGTGAGTAATCATTTCAAATCATGAATACGAATCTCATACCGATGACATTGACGCCGCAAAACTGCTGACCGAACATGACGACCCAACTAGCAAGGGCAGCATGCCTGTTGCGCGGGATCGTGAACATCTCAACGACACGGTTGCGACCCTTCTTCATTTCGTTCTCTGCCTCAAGCAACACGTGAATATAATACAAATCACGAGCAGCTTGTACGCGCGAGAAACGAAGGCGACAAAGTTCATTGAAAGCATCCTCGTAGCGACCCTTGGAGATCAACCAACGAGGCGATTCGGGTGCAAATAGAACTTGCATACAGACAATGAGACCAGGGATACCAGCAGAGGCTAACATGAGGCGCCAGTTCAGACCGGTCACACCAGGGGTATCCGGAATAAAGTAGAATACCAAATCGATAAGGTCTCCTAAAGCAATGCCAAAAGCGGTCCACATCTGCCACATCATGACGAGAGCACCACGGATCGGTGCGGGCGAACACTCGGCGGTATATACTGGGACGGTGGCAGATTTGGGACCAATACCGAAACCAAGGAAGAACCGTGCGATGAAAAGGTGCCACCAGGTGTTTGTCAATCCAGACCAGACACATGTCAAGAACGAGATCATGCAAGTGACGAAGATGGTCTTTTTACGCCCAAGATAGTGGTTAAGCGGATGCGTCATCCAACAAGAAACGGTGGCACAACATCTGTTAGTGCGATGAGGAGCGGTATTGCGCAACGAGAAGAAAGCACAGACAAGTAGGGTGCAGAATTGACGAGACCGACCAACCACGAGTCGCGTTCTGCAAACAAAAGTTATGGATGATCATTATTGGCAAAGGTTTTACGCACTACTGTTAGGATCGCCGATACCGAACTGCTTGGGATAAATGATTTGAGCGCCATTAATAACAGCCTCATCCATTCCCTGAACAGCTGCTGCAAGTGATGACATCACAACCATCTATTTTAGATGGTGAGCTATGACAAATAATCAAAAACAGGATAATACCAACGTAATACAGCATGGGCGTTTGTCGCCACTTGTGCGTGACCTCTTCCGTTAAAATTTGTTTGTCTTCATCTGAAAATATGTCCATACGATTATGGCCTGCACATCAAGGATTTCAGGTCAGCTGGGGGAAATGTCTCTGATGGCGACATACAAGTAGAATCCTGGGCAATAAGCGCCCCTTTCTTGAGCTCAGGCAGCAGATGGGTCAGTCCTCTCTCCTGCGCAAAAATTTCGACGTCCGCCATTAGACGATCATGAGGTATGCCGCGCAAGGGGTTTGACAATTTGGCATCAGCATTACTGGCAAGGGAAAGGTCAGACTGGTTACTCGATACAGTGGCGATCTCGTACGCACGCGATGGCTCTTGTCTCTGCATCCATATGTGATTTATGATGGTGAGCATGACTCGGACTCTCTACCACCGCAGATTTTTCGTTCGAGGGCGGGGCTGTCGACATCTCAGTCGTAGGCGCGCGGTACGGAAAGAGGGCGGAAGGTAGCCTTACTCCTATCGGCTTATGGGATTATATAGCGTTGCACTTGACCCAAAAGAGCAAAGCTATACAAAACATGCCGTTAGTTGGCCAACACATCCGAGGCGGAGCGAAAACCCACCCCACTTTCTGGTGTATTTTTACCCGGCATGTGACTGCTGTATAATTTGCCGACAGTACTGATAGCCGTTCTGATCCTAGAGGACAGCTTGAAACTTGCACACGAACGGCATCTGGACTCTGGAGGGTTGTCATTTACTTGGAACAATTATTTAGTAGTGGGTACTTTGACCAAGTCTCACGGTCAGAACGCAACGTAACGCTGGACGTACTAATTCATGATCCATGGTGCCCAGGCCGGAGCCTATATCAATCTTCTGATGCGAGACTGAATTACTTCACTGGAGATGTATAGATGACCGGGCCATCTTAGAAATCACTCACGCTTACTGAGCTGGTGATGGAAATTTGAAATTTTGGTCTGTTCGCGGAGTTTCTCTCGCAATCACACTCCAACTCGCCACGCATCCGCCCAGCTAGCATCGTGAGGCCAGGGAAACTTTGATGGACAAGATATTACATGGCACCGCAATGTTAACGGAACTTTCCGAATCGATGCAGGCCAACATGCCAACGTTTCTTCTTCAAAGCCTGATGTTGGCAACGTCCTGTGCGGGTACAATTATGATAACGACATTCCGTTAGGATGTACAACCTAAGGCGGTAATCCATGGTTCGGATCCTAATACCTTACATACAAATGTTGAAGTCATAGATAGTGCATAATTAAGTGTCCGTTGATATCTTCTCACAGGCGGCTTGATGGAATGGGGGTATACACCGTAGCAGTGAGCGCTTTCACTGCCTCTTCCGAATGAGGCGGATACCGAATCGCCAGGTGTGGCTCAGCCCTACCCATATTCATATCAGCCTTCATAGAGACAAAAACCTAACCACAAGGAGAACTCACTCTTTCGGCATGTCAATAGAACTACGAAGCTGCGTGAACGTATCGTACGTATGTTTCATAACCTGGTTTCCATCTGTCAACGGAGTTCAGTATCAGTTACATTCTCTACATTCTCAGGTGGAGTAAAATCTCACAGCCGGACTCCCCTACTCCCGCAAATGGTAGTTCTTTCACTGACCGATAAAGGTGGATGAGCGCCAAGTCAAGCATGACGTCAATACTGCCAATAACGTACCAGCAACATGTTGGAAGGTGTCATTGAACATAATACCACCGCTCTGTGTTTCCGCGACGACTGTTATAGAAAAATTTGATTGCAATTTTTAGCATGAGCCGACCGTTATCAGCCAAGTCAAACATACGTTGTTGCTTCACGTTCTCGTTGTCACTGAAAGCATACAGAACTAATGGGTGAGATCTTTGTGAGATGAGTCAGCAGCTGACGAGTTGGATTATGGGACGAGAGCTTACCGTGCATTAACAAAGTCAATTGCTTGCTTGAGAGAATCCACAGGCACGATTGGCAAGATCGGACCAAAGATTTCTCTATAAATAGTATGCAATCAAAATCGCGTTTCAGTAACACAAGGAAACACTGACTCTTCTAACAAGGAATCGCCTTCCGCAACATCCTTGACAATGGTAGGCTCGAGTCTCTTCCTCGCAGCGTCAGAGCGACCCCGAAGAACGACTTGACCCTTTGTGCGGGAAAGAAGTGAAGTAAGGCGTTTATGGTGCAAATCCGACACGATACTTCCAAACAATGGCGAATCTAGCGCACCCTCAGGGAAGAATGAATCATAATGCTTCTGGAATGCCTTGATCAGCTCGTCTTGCTTGTCCCGCTGTACGAGGACATAGTCAGGTGCAACGCAGATCTATCAGAATTCCCGTTCAGTTTGCTGTATTGGGAGTGACCCCAGATTGAACGACATCAACTCGCCTGTCCTGCATTGTTGCACTTGCCCCACAGGATCCTCTTTGCGGCAAGATCGATATCGTATGCCGAGTCGATAATCACAGGACTCTTTCCACCTAATTCCAGTACTAATGGCGTCAGGTGCTTGGCCGCAGCAGTGGCGATGACCCTAGCAATCCTGCCGCTCCCCGTGTAAAAAATGTGGTCCCATTGAAGCTCCAGAAGCTTTGAAGTTTCAGGCACAGCACCATTAACAACACGGTACGTATTTGGGTCGAAGTACTTTGGCACGATTTCATCCAAGAGCTGTGAGAAGGTGGGGACAAGCTCAGACGGCTTTAGTACGGCGGTGCAGCCTGCTGCAATTGCTCCAATGAGAGGTTGGAAAGTGAGGATCATAGGGTAGTTCCATGGCCTGTTCAAACGGTGTCAATAAGTGGAGTTGAGACGATATCTTCCATCTCACGAGATTATCAACGCAGTGCCCCTTGGAGCCTTGTAGAGCCTGGTACATGTATAGTCATCAGCCACATCGACAAATGCGTTAAATTTGATGATTTGATCGCTCACGCTGGCTTCCATGGCTTCTGCCAATCAGCCACCTCTGGATATTCAGTCTTGGCCCATTCTGGGAGCTGCTCTGCGCTCTTCAAAGCTCTTTCGACGACGCAGCCTACTTCAGCCATGAGGACCTCTGTTTTTGGCTTTCCGAGATCCTTCTTTAGGGCATCACAAATGAGCTCTCGTTCATTCTGCGCCATGCGTGCAAGCTGGTATAGTTGGTGCTGACGCCACTTGATGGGACGGGTCACTCCGCTACGGAACGTCGCTCGAAGAGCATCTCTGATCTTTACCGCTGACTGAGATCATGTAATATGAATGCTGGACAAACCGTACTCACCTTTGGGATCGTACTGATTGGGGTCGCCATTTCTTCAATTTCTTGATAGTCAACCGCGCGTGGGTGACAATCGATTTATTTAAAATCGACGTCAACTTGAAGCTGTACACAGGACGACCAGATAAACAGCCGCCCGCGCGACCCTGTAGATTGTTGACATGTTCGTATTTGAAATTTGAAATCAGTGCTGCCTATGTGGCATAGTGGATGGTATTGCAAACATTTTCCAGGCTGGTTGGCCAATTTGAAATACAAACACGGAGGTGGCGTTCTACTATTACCATGAATAGCTAGTCGGATTGGATCTGGTACTGTACATACTGTACATGATACATATGGTACATACAAGTGATAGTCCACGTCAATTCAACCAATTTCGAGATCAAAATTACAATTCCTCGTCAACAGTGACCCAGCTATCTCTCTTCGAATTCGCAGATCTGTATCATACATGTTAGCCACCCCCAGTCGGTTGGAATAAAACAGAGCTCACGTCATAGGCGAGATGTCAAACTTAGTTTCCAGCACCAATTTTACGGTTTTCACTTCAAAACCTCTGAATTCGAGCTTGAGGGTGCTGTGCGACCCCGTCGTGAACACAAGTCCAAGTTCTCCTTTAGTGTCCTCCAGGATATTCGTAACATACGCGCTCTTCACAGGCAAGTGTTTTCCAACGTGTAACTTGATAGAACCATGCCCACCAAACGCTTCATACATGCGCAAGATGACAGTTGTGCCGGAAGCATTAGGTTCAAAGTCGTCTTCTCCTCTCTTGATGGTCTCTAAAAAGACGTTTGATGTACCCTCAAACCAGAATGGGAGAGGTGGAACGTGGCCCGCGTTCTGTCCAGGAACAGTTCTCACTGGGGATATCATTAGACTTATCAATGCAGATACAACAAAGAAACCCAACTGACCATGCAAGGGCGAATTATAAATAAAGGCGGCCATCGGAACGTCAGATTCCAGGAAGGAGCCTACGTGAGGCATGACTGCCCATGAGAACCCGTGCTTGCCTGAAAGAGCATGTGAGAATCGATTGACCGCAAAACGTTTGAGGCTAGAATCAAACCTTGGTCCTGCTCTGGGTCAGGGGCCGTGGCCGCTCTAAGCAGGGAGATGCGAAGGACGTTACCTTCGCATGCAAAGCCATACTTGGATTCTGAGAGGAACGCGACGCCATATCCATATTCGCTAAGATCTGCGAACTGGTAGCTCGTGTATAAGCCTTGAAGAAGAACCAACTAATGAAAAAGCATATACGTACCTTGTGCCCACAGACCTCAAACTTGGCAGCATCCAGCGTTGTGTTCTTGTGCGTCGGCCGCTGGACAAAACCAAACTGTGACTCATAAGTCGCATACGTGTTATTGATGTCGAGGGGTAGTTCAACTGGAGTCATGCATAAGAAGAAGGCAGAAAAGGGGGTGATTATCACGCACACTTGAGGAACTTGTGTTTCTCATGCCAGTCGACCACAGCATCAAAATTGAAAAAAGAGCGGGAGTCTCCTTTCATCGTCGCTACGCTTCCGCTGTAAGTACCCGTTTCTGCATTTGCGGAGTTTCTTACCAGTGATAGCATCGAGGGAAATCTGTAGAAAGTGACGTATTCTGTCAGCACATCACTCGCAAGGTAACATGATAAAAGGAATGGAGGTATGAAAATACTAGATACGCACCGTAACATCAATTGTACTTTTCCCGTACTTAATCTGTGTCTGAACAGCGGCCCGAAGGGGCCCTTCAGCGACCACCCTGACTTGGCAGAACAAAAGCGGAGTAGAAGTTTCGAGGTGGTGGATTTCCACATCTACAACACTAAAGTCACATCTAGTCCGCAATCAACAACTTAATGAAAATACAAACCCCAGGCATCCCAGTAATTAGGACGATCTTCGAAAATAACCAATCCACCAAAGCTTCCTTTGGGAATAAGCTCACGACTCAAGAGTAGAGTTAGTGGGTTACGACGGGAAAAAAGGAAGTGACTAACCCAAGCCTCACGTCAATCAGACTGGTAATTCGTCCCTCGGAGATGGTGAGCTGAACATTGGCATTTCTGAGGACGAAGTGATTTGTTCCATTGGTGAACACTACAACGGACGTTGAGTACCGATACTTAGGTCCTATAACAATAGGCATACCAGATGCAGGCATACAAACAGAAGACATGCTCACAGGTTGTGATGTGGCCTTGTTTCCCGCCGAGTGCATTAGAGCATATCCGTGCTTGCCGTCTGCAGATGTTTGAATGACATGCGCTTTCATGCCATCTCTGGACAAAGGAACCTTGATGACATCGTGGCGCGCAAATGATGTGGTGTTGAACGCAACTAGTGTTTCCGACGTCGAGTTCGACAGAAGGGGTGACGATCGTGGGAGAAGAACACCGAATGCGTCCTCGAGAAAACTAGTGCATACTTCGCGAACTTCGGCGTATAACTTCTCTGCGTCGTCATAGACCATGCCACTACAGAACCAAATCAAACTCCAGTTAGGCATGGAGAACTGCGACCCACATTGCAGATCCAGGTAAGACTGGAATATACGTTTTAGATATCGTAAAAATGCCAAAACTCCAAAAGCTTACCATCGTGGACTGCCAAAAATGAGTATATAAGCTGGTTAATACAGTATAGATACAGAGCACTTACACTGATTGAGTAACACTTTCTCCCAGCACTCATCAATAGCCCGCTTCGGGTATGCATACGAATGTCCCTCGGGCTTGAGGAGCGAAGCTAGGGTAGCTACGCGCTGGGATCGTTTAGGATATGAGGGTAACAGTGGATTCGACCAAACCAACCTCCACGTCCCTCAAAAGTATCTCGCACTTCCTGTTACCTTTCTTGATGGAACCTAACAACCATAGCATCGGTATTGATAGTGGGTGCGACTGATAATGACAACCGCTTACCATGCGAGGTATAGGTCCCCCTATGGAACTGTCTCTGAATTTCAGAACTGGAGTCTGCCTGAAATGCTGAATAGACTCACTTCGAGGTACAATTCCCCTTTCCTTCACACCATGACATGTCAGAAAAAGACAATAAGAATGGGAGGTCTGACAGACCAAACTGGTAGCGTTCTCCCCTCCTTGGAATTTTCCTCGATGTCCGCGAAGAAATCCTCGACAGAACTTCCCATACTAACAGATGGAAGTTCTCTGTGTTCATTAGTAGTTGCGCGAATGCGACGCAGCTGTCAAGTATTATTAGGCTGAATTCAAAGAATCGAAACCAATTCTCGTACATTCTCTAGCATCTTGGCCAATGCTCCTCCTCCTCCATCTCCGTTTCCAAAGACCAGAAGGGCAGTAGCATCTGACTCAAGGTTCTAAATGACGCAAAGTGAGAAAAAATACCTGTGGCTGATTGTTTTGCCTATACCTTGTGATTTGTGATCCCCTTGTTGACGTCCCCGACTGTTGCTTGTGCAGTGTAAGTATCTGCACAGGAGAACGAGTCAGCATTGGTAGGACTGCTAACTGAGCATGACATTACCGACGGGTGTCATATGACAAAGGACTTGCGAGCCATCGATGCCGACCCAATTGAAGGTGGTATGTGGGAACGAATTTCTTTCTTTACCATCAGTAGACTGAGACAATAACCCCAAAACTACACTAACATGTTATTCCTGCCGCAAGCCGTAAGCCGGCTGTAATTCAGACTCATGTATTCACATACCAGCTCAACTTCTGTGTGAAGAAGTATTTCATGCCCGCATCCCTGATCAGCTGCGGATAGGCCGCAGTGAGCCCGAAAGAGTCCGGGAGCCAAGCAGTCTCACACCGCTTTCCAAAACGCGATTCGAAGTAGCGTTGACCGTATAGGAATTGCCGGACAAGGGCTTCGCCTGACGGCATATTTCCGTCGTTCTCAACCCACGAACCACCGATAAGGTGGAATTGGCCAGATGCCACTTTCTTCTTTATACGTTGGAAAAGCGCAGGATATTGCTATGAAGAAGGGATATATGAGTAAGTGAATTAAGAAAAGACAGTCAAGCGCACCTCCTCAAGCCATTTGAATTGCTGGGCTTGAGAACAGGCAAATCTATGCTCTGGATAACGTTCCATCAGATCAATTTGGGTGGACCAAGACCTTGCTGTCTTCTGCTGAGTGACCGAATAAGGCCATAACCATGCTGTATCCTGTTGAAACACATATTAGACATGATCTGCGACCATAGATGATAGCTGACGATATGGCAGTATGAAATCCCGACAACCTGAGCCTTTTTGGGGCCTTCGTTGTATACCTTGTCGCCTTTTGCATGCCAACCTTTTCCGAATACATCTTCAGCAATTCCGCGCATACGTTTTACGTTCTCGGGATCTCCAGATTTAAACGCATTCATGATTTTATTGGCTGTAACAAGCGCCTTGTTTTGAAGGTCAGTGTTGCCAGGGACAGTGTCCACAATCTCGCGAAGAGTAGTGAAGTCCCACATCAGATGCCCTGCGGCAAGTTTCAGTCAAGGATACATTATAATGTGCAACAACATACAAGCGTCTTGGTTTGGGACGACTAAATCTGCGGATGCAAGCTGAAAATACCTGTTCATCTACGTGGAAATAAGCATCCCCGTTGCGCTGGAAAGATACCAAATTTACATCTGGGGGCGCGATGGTGTCGCCATTCCATGGCACGCCAAACATACCGTTGCAACTGGACTCGATGACTACAGCATAATGGCCGTCACGAACAGCTTGAGGCGGAATGATATGTTCAACTCTACGATCTCCGCCATAGCCTCCAGTAATTCCTAGATAGCAGTATTCATTTTGGATTACCAAAAAGGTTGTGAAATATACCTTGGAGCGGGACACCGTCCGTGGAGAATATCATAGCTTCGCAGCCAGGATCAAACTCAACTGTGGAAAGGGTACTTGAGCATTTATTGACTGGCTCAAAACTCTCGCTTTACATTGTACACGCTCATACTGTTGCCAATAGGAAGGAATCTTGAGAGTAACCTTCCACCAGTGGTTTGTCTGCGAACAAATATACACGCATGTGAGAAGGAGGTACGATTGCACAGTATTGTCATACCCCTATAAAGAGAAGCTGCCATCAGAAATGATAATGTTGGATATGAAAGCGACTTACAAGACGGCCCAAAGGAGTCATTCTTCTTCGCTGGTTTGAATTCGTGCTTCATTGCCTCTTGAAAGGAGGGCTTTGTAAGACCTGGTGCGCTCCAAACTTGGAGATCTACGTGATGCGAGCCATCGATGCGATGCGTGTAGAGTACAGAGGACAGATTGAC